CGGTCAAAATTATGTACTGTTGACCGCTACTAGGTACTGTTGACCGCTACTTCTGAAACATTTTGTAAACGTTGATGAAAATGACTTTACTAGGCGACAAGTATAGCAAAAATACAAATAGAAACTTAAAATTAACATTAATTCACTAACGAGTACGCCGTGATGTGCCAAATACAGAGTTAAGCTACTTGCACTGTCTCCAGATTTTCTAAAAAAAATATTGCTAACGTGGTTCGGAGAAAAGGTTGTGAAATGAAGCCATGCCGATTGATGATTGTCGTCTATGTCGATTATTAGTTTACTCGGACTAACAAAACAATTGTAGACCTCTCCATTAGATCAACCGTCAAAATCATATACCTCGACTGTAAACTTCGGTCTCTGTCAACAGTAGTTTTTCGGTTTACAGTCTCGGTATAGAATTTTGCCGGTTGACCTCTGGAGAGGTCAACAATTGTAAACTGTTGACCACTACTAGGTACTGTTGACCGCTATTTTTGAAAAATTGTTTTTTTAATGTTGAATTTTTTTTAATTTTGAAAAAATAAGTTGTGTAAAAAATTACAAGTATTCGACGGTTTGGGGATTTTTTGCTAAAATATGATACCTTTACTTATCAAATATGTTCACGTGATATTCGATTATATATTCGTCCAATTATTATATTATTGGACTAACAGAACAATTGTTAACCTCTCTTTTCGGTCAACTGGCAAAAGTGTCCTCGACCTCTGGTCTTGATCATTAGTACTTTCAAGGTTTACAGTATCGGTATACAATTTTGCCAGTTGACCTTAAGAGAGGTCTACAACTGTATATTATATCCTTCAAATACTATATTCTTCGGACTAACAAACAATTGTTAACCTCTGTATTCGGTCAACTGGCCAAAGTGTATACCTCAACAGTAAACCCTGAGAGTACTGTTGACCTCGACCTCCGAACTTTCAAGGATTACAGTATCGGTATACAAATTTGCTAGTTGACCTTAAGAGAGGTCTACAATTTTATATTATATATCCTTTGTTATCCCACCCAAAGTATGATGTCATATATCAAGTTGAAGAGTTGTATACGCTGCTCAGGAGTTTACGCTATCCAGGATATATAACGGTTATTTACTGAGAGGGATTCAATATTAGTTTTAATCCGAGAGACAATATGATATTTCCCGAGGGCCCGGGATATCTGGGATAACTGCACCCCTATCAATTTACCTCATTTTGGGCCCTTAATCTTATCACTTTTGTTTACCTTTTTACTCAGTCGGAGAGAAGGAATCCAAAGAGAGCAATAATTCGACATGTGCGTCGTGCAAGATTTCCATTAAACGTGTATCTAAACGGCCTCTCTAATAAAGTCAATTAGACATTTTTACACGTTGGCTCTCCAAATTGGAGGAAATAAAGAATCATATCATATTATATCATAGATGAAGCAATCACAGTTAAACTGTTTTAGTTATAATTTGATAAACAGTGGTAACGTACATCTACTAGTTTATCAATGTTCCACAGATGGATGACAGATTATTTCCAATAGCTCGTCATGTTTACCGAGAACGAAAGATGTTTGTCCACCATTTTGAATGATACTAACTGGAGTCAGGGTCATCAAGCTATGGAACAGTGATTAATGAAAATAGATTGGGTTACTAAAGCTTGCCATGTTAAAGGCGATTGAACTATGTTATAGAACAACGTCCAGTACATTATAATATTTAAAAGTATCTTCGCCCGCAGGACGTGTACTTTGAATGCCTTGAGAAGAACGCAAATATGGGTAATGGGTAACGGTGTTGCAATAGTAGCATTTAAAAATCTGTTCCTCTCGAGATTTATGGTCTTCTGAAAGTATACTATTAATTGGTGTTGCTGCATCATTGCTCAAATCTAGAGGAGTGTTGTTGCATCTTCGGTTTGGTGTTGTTGCATCAATAGTGAGGAACTAAAACCGTGAACTTATTGCTTCTTGGTGATGGTACATGTATACTAATGACAGTTTCTTTAAATATAGATCGTGCGCTAACTGCACGTGTATGGTTATTGAGCAAATCGTCCTAGAAATGGGTTTAAATTGGGGAAACAAAATATCGTACGAAAATCGATCACCGGAAGTCTGGCCATCTTGATGCAACAACACGGTGTTGTTGCATCACGATACTCCCCAGTGCTATTGGCTAATCAGAATTGAGTATTTTAACTGAATTATTAACAATACAATTTTGGGCAGTCTCAAGGAATATCTAAAATTGAGACGGTCCTCTTTATATTTTCATGTAATTTAATTAGCTGATTTGGTATCTTTGAATGTTTTTGGGATTATACACATACCCATTGATCAGATTATAAATAAGCTCTATTAACAGGGATAGGAGCATTTCATTTATTATTTTGAGAAACATTTATTTTATCATTAAATTTTGGACATTACATATAATGCACCTCCAATGATGTTCTCTTTTTTTGGAGCTTTGCCTCTTGAGTAAAATTACACTAAAAGCCCTGTATATGTTATCTCCTTACATCTAGACTGTTGATATTGATTTGAGAGCACTGTATGAACTATGAATAATGCATTGAATTAGACAAAGAATGTGATTCCATCCCTTATTTTAGCTATGAATTTTAACATTGCTGTATACAATAGGATTATTTAAGTATTTATTATAGAATTGGCATTTTTTACCTGCAGAGGGACACAATGAACCCTATCAATTTGAAAAGCTTAGATGGTGCTTCATGCTTAATGGTATTGGCTGTATCTAAAGAATTTGTAACGGATGATCTCGCATCAAGCCCTTGTGTATCCCCCTCCCTAAATGACAGAGTCTTGCATATTTATGGCACATACAAATATAAGCCCACTGTCTGCCTACCTTTATGATCAGCTCTGGGTTTGATCTTAAATCTTATAACATAGAAAATCAAGATTTTTCTGCATACTAGAAATCTCAAAATCTCAAATTTCATTAAAAAAAGATTTCGTAATAATTTTCACTGGGCTATGATGGGAGAATATATTGTAATTAAGAGTTTTATATTTTTCACTATTTTAAACAATACATAATAAAAACGCAGCTAAAACTATTCAGTACTAATGAAAACGAGTAAGATTTCACCTGTAGTAGGTAAGTACAGCTAGGTAGGTTAAAATGATTTGTCTGCACATGGGCTATAAAAGGTACCACTGAAACATGATCCAGATAAGTCTAGAAACATATGTGCATTTGTATTGCAGTTATACAGATAGAGCAAGGGGCCATAGCCAAACAAAGGTCACTGATCAATACACTCTGCTATTCACTAATGACCAACATATGATATTGTGACCTTATCAACCTGACTCATATGTTATTAAAACAAATGATATTTGTTTCTCTTCATTCAGTCAACAACAGAACATGTATTGCAGCTAATCTGTAATCAGAGTATCCCATTAATGTCATACTGGACTTTTATTAAAAGAACTATGAAATGTTTATTTACTGTATACTGATATTGTATGTTAAACATGATGTTTCCTTAAAATATATATATAGATAAGAGTACTGTATATCTGACTGTAAGCCATAAATTTCTGTATAGCACTGTACTTGACTGTTAGCCTTTATCGGTTTCTGTAGCATAACTCACATATACATGTAGTACTTTACATATATCTATTACTGTGAATAACATTACATCGGTTTAAGCTATCATGCTGTACAGAGTAAGGTGGAGACATTGATAGAGTCTCTGAACCCTTCCCCATCTCCTACACCTTCGTGAAGGAGAGGTTTGCAGGACCAGGAAGGGGGAAGGTTGCTTCTTAAAGCAACTGAATATCTAAGCACAAAACAAAACCCATATATCCCAAAACCATGATCTAATGTAAAAAGAAAAAAAATGTCTATTGTCTAAACACATACTTCCCCCACCATTCAAGAACCAATACCACAATCCAAGACCAAAACACCAAGGGACATTTCATTCATACTGAAGTCATTTATGGTATGGTCAATGTTTTCAAAAAAAACAAGCAGATCTAGATAGTGTGACATGGCTAAATGAGGTGACAATTTCATGGTTGAAACTTGGAAAATTAATTAACCATTAAATCTGGAATATCCATTGTTCAATGTAATTCAAACATGACACTAAAAAATGTGGTAAAACTAGAGTCTAACTTTTTCAAGCTCTTGAGAAAATTAGCTTGAATGCTTGATCTCTCTCCTAGCAAACAAATCTTTTTATCCCACGCATGAGTGTGGAATTCCCGACCAAATTCACTTATCTATAATTTTCTTTTACGTTTTAAATTCAGCAGCCATTTTGAACATTTCTTCTTCAACAGTCCTATATCTCTCAGGAATCAGCATATAAAATTTAAGCCAAACCTGTCAACTGGTATGATTTTTATGAAAAAATGGCAGCAACTATGAATTGAGTGCACACATTAAAAAAATTTTCTTGAGTAGAGTTCTATGTCCCTAGATAAAAGTGGCTGTAATTTTTCAAAATGGCCAACTACTAGCCAAGTAGACAATATCCCATGCTTCAAAGTATTCACATATAGAACATGAACAAAATTCCTTCAGTACTTTCCAAGGTACAGCAAAAATCATTAAATAGCATGTCATGGCCATAATCTATCAAAGCGGACAGACAGATGGAGGGGTTCTCTTGGGCGGAGGTGTTCTCTTCATCTCCCCAAACAAACTTTGTTTGATGAGACAATGAAGGAAGAAGCTGACGCAAGACTACTGTTCTACTAATATTAGCTTTATATAGAACACATCACAGTATCAAAAACTGATAAAATCAACATGCAACACAATTACTGCCAATCTAATAGAACACACATACAACTATGCCAGAAATGCTGTATGTCTGATTACATAACAGAGATTTAACATTGAAAAAGTTAGGACGTTTTACCTAAATATGCAACATCCTTAAATAACAGAGGAATTGCTTCATTCAATAGAATAAGCAGATAACACAAAAGCCCATACTAACCTCATCAGTAACAGACAGCAAACACTCCACAGCAGCTGATTTACGAAATTCTTCAGAGCTCAGTTCTGCCGATTTACGTTTTTCCTGTTTCTTGCTCTTATGAGTCTTGACTTTCGAATCTCGCTTCTTCTCAAAGGGGAATGAGTGAGTTTCAATGAAATCCTGGTCGTGGTCCTGTTGTAAAATGCTGAGAATATAGCGTGTATAAACAACGGCATCTATGCCCCGGATCTCCAGCTCATGGCCTGAAATTAGTTTCAAGGAAAATGCTTTATAATATCTATTCCATTGCATAAACATAACAAGACACACAGTGATAAATATCGCACTTTGAAGAGTAAACTGGCCACCATGCAATTTACCCAGCATGGCCAAAACCTAATCAGACCTTGGCACCAGTCTGCTCTTGCATCTAAAATCCAAAATATCAATTTAGAAAATCAACTTTTTGACCTTTTCAAGGTAAAAAAAAAATTTAGTCAATTTGGAGCAAGTTGAAAAATTCAAAATGGCCGCCAAATTGAAAGATTCAAAATGGCCACCATGTAATTCAGCCAGCATACCCAAAACCTAGTCAGATCTTGGCAATAGTCTGCTCTTGCATCTGTAAAAATTTCAAGTTGAACGGATAAGTGGTTTTCCTGAAATTTTGATGACAAGATTTGTTGAAAAATTCAAAATGGCCACCACGTAGTTTACCCAGCATGCCCTAAACCTAATCAGATCTTGGCACTAGTCTGCTATTGCATGTGTAAAAATTTCAAGTTGAACAGGTTAGCGGTTTTCTTGGAATTTTGATGACAAGAATTGATTTGTAGTGTCAAACTTTGAGAAACTTGGATAACATGATTTGTGACCTACCGTATTCTCTGTAATTACCGCCCACTCTCTAATAAGCGCCCACCCCGCTTCACAAAGTTCAAGAAACATCGAGGAATCATAATAATCCATAATGAATGAAGGAATTGTTCTTTATCGGCATTCAGAAAGGGGACATGCCATTAAGAGGCCATTCTCTGACTTAGTCATTTTTTCAAAAGTGTGAAAATAAAAAAAATCATGAAAAGTTCTTAAAATATTCTGAATAACAAGTTGAATATATATATTTAATGATGGCACAAGCAAAAGTCTGAAAATTAACATGAAATGAAGGGTTTTGACAGATGCAAAAGATGGTAGATTTGTGATGACGAAATAGAGGTTTTTGCAGTAACAACACAATTACCTCGAAATTATCCGTTATGAGAGGCTGAGGACTAAACTTGACATAATTTTCAATCTCAGATTATCAGTAGTATCTAACTTAAGCCAGACAGCCACTCAAAATGTATATGGAGCCCATAAGATTCATTTTTCTCAATTGAAGTCACTATTTCTGTTTTTAGCTTCAGAGGATAGGAGGTACATGAACATGCTAAGTTTACCTAGATCACAAGCCTTACCACAAATATAAAGTGTATAGGAATAGAGTTGATATGTGTGAAAACCTTAAACTTCCCATTTTATTGGGGATGGAACTTGTGGACCATGTGTATTTCTAACTTCTTCACATGTGCATGGATCTAAAATTGTGGCAGCCATCTTGGATTTGTCATATTATGTGGACATGGTTTTGGTTGTGCTGAATTTGTTTCAAAATAACATTTCTTGTATACCTTCGATAAGTGAGATAGGCATTTGAAATTAAATACAGATAGTATACTTGACATTTAATGCAGTAAACAGTAATACAATTCATTCTTACATAATAAGTAAGTCCAGGCAAAAAGTTGTTATTGTGTTGCATAAATTATACTAATTGGTCTTGGTTTTCTTAATTGGCTTGGATAAAATGTTGTTCTGTTTATTCAGAAAAGGAGTATAGTGCACTATACAAGTTCACATTCGTTCCATCCTCTTGTAGAAATGAATCTCATATTATTTCATCTCAAATATAGAACACAAAAATATAATAAAAAAAGTTTCTATTAATTGCAAAAGTTAGCTTCTATGTCATGACTGAGTTTGGGTTCCATCTGGAAATATCGTATTGACCATTGCTATACACTCCATATTTAATCCTCCCAGTAAATAACATTGATATACAGTATACAAGTATATGACATCGAGGATCTGGGGTTTGGGTAATGTGAGACATGAGGCCACTTGTCTTTTTGAATCTCATATCCAATATTCTTTCTTTAAACCCTCATATTTAATATTTTTGGAGTGGTAATTCAATTATGCACCTATTTTTTATTCTTTATCCCATAGTTGAACTCCGTTCTGCTCTGTTAGGTAACATGAAAACATATTTATGATATTTTGCAAATGCGTGGAAAAAGGGATATCTGTGGAATACGGAAAATATTTCACAGATATTACCTTTTGGCAGTGATTTGAAAACTACCACCAATATGATGTGTTTTGTTACATAGTGATTTCATGACATCGCGGGGATGAATGAATGAATGGATGTTGTTTTGATATGCTTTGTTTAGTTTTAGAGGTGAACTATGGGAAAAATAGAACATCCTATGAATTTTCGTGATATTGGTGTTAATCCAACTCGTTGATATCAATATCTGCGCTAATTCGCTATGCTAACATGGCAAGATTTTGATATCAACTCGGAGATAAAGATAAAATCATTTAAAATCATATGATATCCTATACATATCCTTTACTGTTCCACAACTTTCTCATATGTTATATATTTTGGCACAGGCCATCATTTATTTTCCTTGAATTCATGCTTGAGAGGAAATCTTTGATTTTCCTTGTATTTAAGTTGCTTAAATGTTGCCCTGTGATGTTGATAAAAGTCAATAGTAATTCATTACAGTCACAGTTGAAATGTACCCATTGCTAGCCCAGAACCTACCAAAATAGCATTTGCATTTTGTCAATATTGCCCTATGTGCTTTTCCATGAAAATAATTTTAATCGTATCTTTTCTTCAGTATTTCATATATTACATTTTAATATATTTAAATTGGTTAATATTTATATACTATTTACTTAGACAACAATAAATAAAGATTTTTTTGTAAAAACACCAAAAATGGTATATGATCTTTAAATGACTGTTGTGTGAACATCAAAGGTCAAAATTAGCTGAAATTGTATTTTTATAAAGCACAAATGATTTTTCTTCAATATGATATGCATTATTATCAGATATCTTTGGGGGCTAAACAGAGCCCTTAATGACACCCGTCCTTTCAAAAGCTACTGCGCAGATGTTCTGCGCATGTCAAGGTCGTGAACTTTCTGGTTTCTTTTTAATGTTTCTCGACTTTTACACGACTTTTGCACGAATAATGATGATCTCTCATCAAATAAGAAATAATGTATAACTTTAGATCGATATCCAGCAGTCTCTAGTGGAAATATTGAAGGTAATCGGCGATAATGACAAAGTGGGCGTGCCGGAAATAAATTAGACATAGACGGGTCTTCAACCACTGTCAATATTGTCTAAGCGATCTTTACCGTATTCTCTCCAATAACAGCACTTGTCATATTATTATAAAAGTATGTTGAAGAAAATGCATTCTTGTCAAGAAAAATTGCCATACATGAAATTCCTCGGGATTTCTGATTTCTTTCATACATGGGCGCTTATTAGAATGGTCTAAATAATGTATTTTCAATTTTCTAAACGCCCTGGGCGCTAATTACAGAGAATACGGTAGTTTAATGACCTTGACCTTCGACCTTGAAAATTTCAGACCTCAGTAGGTGTTTTGTAATTAAGCTGACCTAAATTTAAATCCAAAATATCAATTTAGAAAATCAACTTTTTTACTGAAGGTGAATGAAAGGTCAAATCTGAAATCTAAGGTCAGATTTGAACTTCTGAGAACTTGTAGATGTTTTTAAAAAAAAAATTTGGTCAATTTGGAGCAAGTAGAAAAATTCAAAATGGCCGCCAAATTGAAAAATTCAAAATGGCCACCATGTAATTCAGCCAGCATACCCAAAACCTAATCAGATCTTGGCAATAGTCTGCTCTTGCATCTGTAAAAATTTCAAGTTGAACGGATAAGTGGTTTTCCTGGAATTTTGATGACAAGATTTGTTGAAAAATTCAAAATGGCCGCCACGTAGTTTACCCAGCATGCCCTTAACCTAATCAGATCTTGGTACTAGTCTGCTCTTGCATCTGTTAAAATTTCAAGTTGAACAGGTAAGCAGTTATCCTGGAAATTTGATGACAAGATTTGGTTTCTATCCCGCACGCCCGCCCAACAGCACAAGACGACGACAATATAGCACTTTTTCAAAGTGCGATAAAAAGTGTTATTCCTAGGTAAATTACTGAAGTTGTGAGTTCTGACTGAACTGAAGTTATTCTGTCAAAATGGGTGTCAGATACATTCAATGCTAGTTTTGATTCAAATACTTCTCCAACAAGTCATTTCAAAATTCTATTTAATTAATATTGGAGAAATGTTACATATTACGTTGTTGTAGGTAGGCCTAGCAGGGAGTAGAATTTTGTCAGAACCGCCAGAATTTACCTTCAGAAATTCCATTTCTGAACTGCTTCCTCAAGTTCCCAAATTTTGGGAATTTATCATTTTACTTCAAGAACATTTACATGTAAATCTTGAAACAGAATTTTCAACTCACCTAACCAACTCTGAAGGGATGAGCTAGGCATGGTGGGATCCAGTGCCATGATGCCAAACAGCTGCCTCATACAGTCTATACCAAATACATATGATGATGATGATGGCAATGTCACTATAGAAAGTTTAAACACTTTGGCTGTTCAGAAATTCAGAAATGTCATAAAGTTAGAATTTTATGTGTAGATCTGGAGTTATTCACTTTTCTTTATGTTCAAAAGAGATGTAGGTATGATACAAAGTATGTCCCATAATGACATATTGTCCATTTCTACTCTTCAAGTTTTTTGATATATATCATCATTATGTTATCTAACAGTCCTTATATTTGTTAAGCATTTCTATACAAGGATTGGAAAAGGACCAGTTCTTGGTAAATTTTAAGGATCTCTAGAAAGTCACTGTTTCTATTGTTATAGGCCAGGCAAAGGCAACAAGCCTGCCATATAGGCAACACCACACATGGGTGTTAGAAACTCAGGCACACATAACTAGAGGATGTCCAAGTGAAGACCCTACTGGCGAAACTCTTGCATGAAGCTGTGATCCAATAGTGCATTAAAGTGGGCGTACATCTTTCTGAAAAAAGCAAATGTTTTATAGGTAAGCTACATGTATATGAACTAAATGATAGTGATGAGAAAGGTAACAACTTAAAATAATCTCAGATTACAAGTTTTTGCTCAACATGCGCAGCCCTCTTATGACGTTCATAAGATCCGCGCTGCATAAGCATAACCCGTTCCGAATGTCCCGCCCCGAAATGGATAATTCCCGTCACATCCCAAATTATTTTTGTCCCTTGATGTCACTAGATCAAAGATTGATAGTTTTAAAGTTAACTTTGGAGTTTTACTTCCAATCAATCATAACAAATATAAAACAACATGCAAATTATGCCAAGACACTGTCGTATCAACTTATCAAACAGGTTTGTTTCTTTTTTGTTTGTTGTCAGAAAGGGGGTAAAATTATTACTTTTGAGGTATGGGAATGGTCAGGTTTTTCCACTTTCTGGTATGAGGATGATCGTGTAAAATATGTTACCTCACACTTGTGGTGTGACATTGGTCTAGTAGCTACACATCCTTAATTTGACGTTGTTTTGGATTGTAATCCTCAAAGATCTGCCTCCTTTTCGGGGCCTTATGTTTAGAGCTGGCATCGAATAGGATTTTAATGTCGACATGTCGGAGCTCTCGATCGACAACGATATCGACATTGTCGGGTCCAATGATATTGGAAAAAATTTTGAAGAAAATCCGTCTGAATTTTTTTTTTTCTAGGCTTGTTATTAGCAATACGATACATAATAGTCATCCTCAGTTGTATGTTTTATATTTAACTTACAGGTAAACCATGTTTAAGTATCAGACTTTGACGAAAAAGCAATAAATAGACATAAAACTACGATTTCTGTTGTTATTTCCGGACAGCCATTGAAAATAAATCTCGAGGGTAAATCTCGAGGGGCCCCGAGACCTAATTCGAGAGCAGGAAGTCGATCAAAACAAAAAAGAAAATTTGAAAATGTAGGCGGTAAAACATCACTAAAATACACCATACAGCAGGTAGTAACATGGATTTTAATTCATAGGGAAATAGCCTATCATGTTGTGAGTTCCGACTGTCGATCAAGAGGCGTTGTGTCGACAAGGATGTCGCAGAGAGCATTCGACTGACAATCGACCATTCCGACATTTGATGCCAGCTCTACTTATGTTGGAGTATTAGTTTTTTTCTTGTGTGGTATGGCATTGTGTGGTGGATTTTTGGTATGGCCATAGTCTTAAATTTGAACATTTGGTATGGTTTTTGAGTTACTTTGGTTGGTATGGGAACCCATTGAAATTTGACAGATTGGTATGGGAATATATTGATATCTGAGGGTTCAGCCTAAGACCCCCGCTGAATTTTGTAGACAGTGAACCCCCCTGGGATGAACGGTAAGCCCACATGGCTAATGTGACAGCTAATAAGGCCTAAAGTTTGGGCAATAAATAAATGAGTTGATTTTCTATTAACCATTTCCAAAACTTGGTGGTTTGAAAGCCCACAGTTTCCAATATTGTTTAAAGAAAAATATCACCTAAAATTTGTAAATTTTACATTTTGTATTCTCTCAACCACTGATGTATGGCCTCTAGAAAATTATCTTATTCTAAACCTGGGAAATCTTCATTTATAGAATGTCACTTGAGTTTTTGGTGATTTTTAAGTAACGTCTGCACTTCACAGTTCAAAATTACCTTCTGTAGTGATTTGACACCACTTTCTAGAATACAGGGAGGCAATGTCATGCATGTAGGTAATTGTCAGACAAATGACTGTATACACTGAGTGTCTAACAGTTACCTACATGGACGACAATGCCTCCCTGTCCTCTAATTTACCTAACTGTCCCTTTATTTCTTGAAAACATGGTCTCTCAAAATCAGGAAATTAGGGTGATGAGCAGGGAAATTTTTGTAGGGAATTCACAAGAATAACAAGTGACAACTTACACTTCCTCCAACTAATTTAGCTAGTCTATTAGGCCTATGTATTGCCCAAACTGTAAAAGGTTAACTTATTTCCTATAAAATGGCCACTTATACAAAACCTGCTTCCCTGTGACAGATTTTGCAGTTAATTTATAGCTGAGATCTTCATCTTTCTATTTCTACTTGTTTGGTTTGAGTAAATAACCTATGGACGCAGTAATTTGACTTTTGATACAGCAAATATTTTTCACTCGATCCGGGCTCTTGTGTGTCCAAATATCATTACTAATTCTGACGTCACATTTCTGGAATCACAGGAGCACTATTCACATTTGGAAAGACAAGAGCCCACCAATAAAAATCACTGTTTTGGCCTCTTATCAACGCAGTTTTGCTTGAATAACATTCATTAGGGCGAAGGGGTGTAATGTCGACGTGTGGGGTAATGTCGACATAATAGACGGGGTAACTTCGACACTTACGTATTAGAAGTAGAATTTCCGTTTTCCGCCATGTTTGATTTCTGGAAATATTTAAATCTCGCGAGATCTCGATCCATGCGAGAAAAAAAACATGGCTTCCCCCTAGATCGGAAATTAGAGCAAATAAACGGGGTGTCGAAGTTACCCCACATGTCGAAGTTACCCCAAAACGGTGTCGACGTTACACCCCTTCGCCCTAGTGATAAAAAAATTAAAGAATAACAAGACGCTTCAAATGAGGTATGATTTGTCTCATATTTTTCAGAAATGGCTGCACAAACGTCCTTTTATAATTTCGAAATTTTTTGGTGTCTCATCTTGAGGAATATTTAACTGATCCAACTACAAAAGAATCTGGCAGGGATCTATGATTTGAATAAAACATTTCATGCTCTTGCAACATCACCTTTTGATAAACTTGACACGATGATAAAGTCGAGCGACAAGGACGAAGTCCTATGTTGTTGTTTATAAGTAAGTAAATCATGTGCAAATCTGATATGTAAAGAAAAAGTATAGAGGGCCAGATCCATCAAGCATGCAATCACAAACCATTAAGTTGTTGAACTTACCAATCGTCTTTTATATTTATAGATGATGGAATGGACACCCGGAAAACAGTGACCTGCTTCGTTTCGAACGTGAAGAAATGACACGATGATGCAACTTGAGCCAAAGTTCTATCAAACGGGTGCGCATGAAGCGACCTTTGATCCTGTTTCAGAGTTGCCAGTCCCTAATCCTTCATTATTTCTTGAAAACGAATCCAGATATATCTAATTTGTTCGACAAAATAGAGAAAAATCAGCGAGGAAATATTTCACGAAAATCCCTCGCAGGACTTTTCAATGTCGGTTCACTTCTTTGACGCAGGAAAATTCTACGCGACATAATATATTGTTCATATATGTGTTTAGATTAATTTTATAACATGTTTCACGCACAATCAACCATTGTTCTGTACAAGGAATGTATCACTATACTTTACAATACTCAGAATATAGCAATATTATATAATTAAATATATTGAATATTATTACGCGAAGTAAATCTGCTTTCAGAACTACTTCCATTTTTGACATTATTCCAAATTTTGGCGCAAATTTTAAACAAATGGGGACGGATCAAGTTGGATCAAATTGTACGGTCTAAAGATGATTAGTGAAATATATGAAACCAAAATCATCCGGTGGCTTATAAGTAAGTGAAAATTACAATTTCATTTACAGAAATTATCATCATCATACAAGTCACAATAAAATGGTGGGCATCCCATTTCATGTTACAAGGGGGGGGGACTCAGGTGACCGTCATGGTTTGTGGCATGGCAAATGGAGCAGATTCGCACACAATCGAGATAGTTTCAACAAATAGCTAGAGTATAAACGTGCACTTCATTGTTTGAGGCGAATGGTGGGGGGGGGGGTTTCGCTCATATTGTCATCATTCTTCTATGCAGTTCTAGACTACTTACTGATTTCCAAGTCCAAATATTTCCTGATATAAATATGATATGTTTGGATAGTTAAAATCAGTTTAGATAGAAGAATTAATAATAGGATATCTAGATAGAAATATGCGGAAAATGCAAATTTATGATTAAAAATTTCCTAAAATATTCTAGAATGTCTTTATCATTAATTTAAAACAATTTCATAAATTAGAAATAACATTTTTATTGTGTACAGCTAGGCGACACTTGTTGGGCAAACTGGGGACATCAAGGGAGAGTAAAAAAAAGTTCAATTGACTGCCCCGGACAATCTCTCGGACATTTTTAGTGGACATTGTTCTATTTGGCCGGAGTTGTCCAAGGTTGTTGGCTGGTGATTTTCATCATTGTTCAATTGTGTCCATTTGATTCCGATGAAATGATGAATGAATAATATTCAGTTTCACTTATGACACATCCCAGGCTTTACTTCAATTAGAAATTACATAATGACACATCCCTATAGTGGGCGTAACTGTGTGGTTCGTCATGACCTGTATTACGTCACGTGACCTATCGCCATTTTTGCCAGATAAACAACTTCGACGGAGATAGTTGACGAATCGATCAACATCTCTGTAAATACTGACCCTACCACATTTATTTTCACATATTCTAGTAGAAGAGATATTGAACCAGAATGTATAAAATTAGGGAAATTACAGATAAAGTGTAAGTATTTTAATTTTAATCTTATCTTTGCCGGAAGTTTGAAATATTTTTGATTTGATTTTTAAAATAATTTTATTTTTTGACAGTTTTTATTTTAGAAAGACCCAGAGAGTTATTTCCAGACATCTGAGGTTTTAAAGTTTCCCAAGATTTGATAGTCAACATTCTACCCTCGTAAATTCAAACCTATGCCTTATCGTGAAGTAAAACTGAAGCGAGTTTATCAGCTAAAGATCATTTATACTTCTTCAGTTCTTGTTCTTCTGACAAATACTGTCAGCTAATGGAGGTCCCATAGGCTCTATTTGATAGTCTTTTATTAATTTTCATGGTAGCAGCATCACTTTGTATTGAAGAATGACATATGATTTAAAATTGTTTACCATTGTAAAAAATACATGTAAGGAAATGATATGATACTGCGTATCTACAGTCAGATTCATGATCTGTAAAGAACTTTGAATCTAAAAAATAAGCAATCAAAGGACAACAGTATTTAAAAATAGAAACATTAATAAGGCCTAATTTTTGTATATTTCAGAAGGTATAGTTTGTATCCAACAGACTCAGTTAGAACTCAATATAAGAGGCCACATAAAGTTAATATTTTTTTTATGTTGGGAACAAGATCATATGGCTAAAGTAACAAAATGATTTGATGTAACCATGTATCTACTTACCAGTGTGTTCTATGTCATTTTTCGTCCGAGGTTATATTGTGAAACTCAGCCAAACACGATAGTGAAGGCAACGACATACCGATATTGATCTTAGCAGAATGTGTTGAAATTTAGATCGTCCATTTTGCCAGTCATGTGTCTGGTCACTTGCTTACAGCCCATTACACTGTTTTATTGTGTCAGTAAAACCCCAAAAATAAGAAATCAGGAGACCATTTTGCAATAATATATAGAAAAGTATATTGTACATGAATGACAATTGTATATTTCAGATTATTTAGTTTTTTGTGCAATAAGCCTGTGCCCTCACGTAATTTAAAGAATTTCAGAATGTTAATCTTATTGAAAATAACATGGCAGAGAAGCATCAAAATATAAGAGGCCACACACTTATTAGCCAAACTAGAAGCAATCCAAGCTAAACAAATGTCATTTATGTACAGTAGGAATATATTTTTCCATATATTAATGCACAATGTTCTTTTGATTTTTGATTTTTTTTTAGGTTTTACTGACGCAATAAAACAATGAATTGGGCTGTAGTTACTAGTTGAAATCACGTTACATGTGACATGTCGCTCAGGAAATCTAAAAACGGATTATTTCAATTTATATTTTATAACCTCAGAATACTGCCTTCTGTCGTGTTCAGCTGAGTTTTACAATGTATTCTACTTTGAGAGATGACATAGAATACATTAGTTAGTAGATACGTGGTTACATCACATTCACAACATTTCGTTATTTAACCAGATGAACTTGTTCCCAACATAAAAAATTTAACTGTAAGTTCGGAAACAATCAAAACTATACAAAAGTTAGGCCTTGTACACATGTTTCTATTTTTTCACATATGTACTGTTGCAATATTGTCCTTTGATTGCTTATTGTTTAGATTCAAAGTTGTTTATAAAATTATGAACCTGACTGTAGTTAAGTTACTGTACCAGTATGTAATATGTCCAAATACCCCCTAGGTTACATAGCAAAAGTCAGTTCAAACACAACATAAACACCCTTGGTATACGCAGCTAACGAAAATTGACCGGTACGGGTCAAAAGCTGGACCGGTACGGGTTAACGGTTTTATTTGAATTTAAAACAGCCATATCTTGCTCAATATTGACTTCCTCGTGTCTAATTTGAAATATATGATGCCTCCCGATGTTTTAAGTACCCCAATTTTTTACAGATTTTTAAACGGACCAAAACTCTCTAAATGCGCATTTATGCTCTTTTCTCTCGAGAACGACTGTCTCATTTTCACGATAAGTTTTATTTAGTACTTCTAACATATAAGATCTATTTTTCCCCATCAAGGTATGATGTAAATGAAATGCTATTTACATCTTGTGAGTTTCAATGACGCGCGTTTGACTTTTTAAAAAATGCCAAACTTTGTGACAAAGAATTTCATCAGCTATTGCCCCGAACCGGTCCGTCTTCTCGCTGCAAGCAGATTGCCCCGAACCGGTCCGTCTTCTCGCTGCAAGCAGGATGAAATTCTTTGTCACAAAGTTTGGCATTTTTTATAAAATCAAACGCGCGTCATTGAAACTCACAAGATGTAAATAGCATGTCATTTACATCATACCTTGATGGGGAAAAATAGATCTTATATGTTAGAAGTACTAAATAAAAGTTATCGTGAAAATGAGACAGTCGTTCTCTAGAGAAAAGAGCATAAATGCGCATTTAGAGAGTTTTGGTCCGTTTAAAAATCTGTAAAAAATTGGGGTACTTAAAAGCATCGGGAGGCATCATATATTTCAAATAAGACACAAGGAAGTCAATATTGAGCAAGTTATGGCTATTTTAAATTCAAATAAAACCGTTAACCCGTACCGGTCCAGCTTTTGACCCGTACCGGTCAATTTTCGTTAGCTGCGTATACCAAGGGTGATAAAAGGTAATAACTTAACGATTTAGATTTTACTACCTTACCAGTCATGTCAAACATTGTAGGAAGGATGTCAAAATCCAAAAGACGTATAGTATGATTAGGCCTGTGTATCATTTCATTTATGTCATCTTTACATCTTAATCTGGAAGAATCTGACATAGTACCAAGACAGCAGTATAAGTACTTGTAAATGGAAATTCTCTCCTGATTTGTTTTTATTATAACGAAGAATGGATATTGTTGTCAGCTTGGTGAGCAGGCACTGTCATTTCTATTTTTGTCAAAAAAGTTATTGACAAACTACTTGATCGATTGATAAGAATTTTTCAGGGATGTACTGTTCCACAAAGTTACTTTGGCAGAACGTCAATGTAACAAAATGGATGAAATTCCTGGTTCCTGGTTACGAGTTTTTTGTTTTCTCGATATAAACCTACTTATAAATCAATTTGCAGATTATAATTTGGCAAATTATAAATTATAATCCGCAACATGACTTATACGTAAGTTTTCATCTAGAAAACAAAAAATAGTGTTTGGGCAAGCTACGGAAATTATAATTAAAGGACAACTGAAATAGCTTTTCTCAACTTGCAGCTACAAAAATGCGGTTTTCTCCATTGTAAGCCCACCGTAGAGTTCTAGCGATAGCCATTATAAAATAAATGTTAGATAACTGCTAACGGCCATAGATAACGAAATAAAACTAACTGATAAATAAAATTGGCCCCCACGTGGTTAGTAACGTCATATACAAAATATAGCTTTGGTTTATTGGTTCCATAGTAATCACAACGTCACGGCAACCATAGGATTGTCGTGTAAACAAATAACAAAACATTTTTGGCATTATGACGTCATGATCTAATGGACCAAAATGGGTCACGTGGGGACCAGTGAGAGATCACGTGGGGGCCAGTAACGTCACAACCAATTCGAATATTGCTTATTAAGCAGCTATAACGATCGTTAGAGTGAAATAGTTTTCACACTACTGATGAGAAAACATGTCCAAATACATCTATCAAAAAATTATATTGATTCCTTTAGGTTAAAAATACCATTTCATATCTGCTTTAAGATGGCTGTTTTTAGCACACATGGTGAGCTTTTGCAATCACTCACTTGTCCGTCTGTCTGTCTGTCTGTCCGTCAACAATAGTGGCACGTTTTAAAACCTCTGTCGATAGGATTCCTGTTTTAAGTTATTTCTGTTCAACATCAATACAGAAAACCCCCCTATGACTCCTGGTTCAAAAGCTCGCCTATTTTCAAAATGGCCGTCACTTTTGTCTCACGAAATTCACTTTTAGCCCATTACCTAGCTAACCTCTGTCGATAGGATTCCTGTTTTAAGTTATTTCTTCAACATCAATACAGAAAACCCCCCTATGACTCCTGGTTCAAAAGCTCGCCTATTTTCAAAATGGCCGTCACCTTTGTCTCGCGAAATTCACTTTTGGCTCATTTCCTAGCTTTACAAATAATTTCAGGTGTCCTACATTGTAAAAATCCATGTCAATGTAAAGATTAGATATATGAAATAATTTTGTTACAAAAAATCAGCGAAAAATTGTATCCATTTTTTTATTTTCAGCCATTTTAGTTAACATAGATTTGTATATCTGACTCGCGAAATCCACTTTCTGTGGCAGTTTTAAAACCTCTGTCGATAGGATTCCTGTTTTAAGTTATTTCTGTTCAACATGAATTCAGAAAACTCCCCTATGACTCCTGGTTCAAAAGCTCGCCTATTTTCAAAATGGCCGCCATTTTTGTCTCGCGAAATTCACTTTTGACCCATTTCCTAGCTTTACAAATAATTTCAAGTGTCCTACATTGTAGAAATCCATTGCAAAGTAAAGAGTAGATGTATGAAATAATTTTGTTATGAAAAATCAGCGAAAAATTATATCCATTTATTTATTTTCAGCCATTTTAGTTAACATTGATTTGTCCATCTGTCTCGCAAAATTCACTTTTGGACCATTTACCTTAAACCCTCTGTCGATAGGATTCCCATTTTAAGTTATTTTTGTTCAACATCAATACAAAAAACTCTCCTATGACTCTTGGTTCAAAAGCTCGGCTATTTTCAAAATGGCCGTCACTTTTGTTTCGCAAAATTCACTTTTGACCCATTTCCTAGCTTTACAAATAATTTCAGGTGTCCTACATTGTAAAAATCCATGTCAATGGAAAGGGTAGATATATGAAATAATTTTGTTACAAAACATCAGCGAAAAATTGTATCCATTTTTTTATTTTCAGCCATTTTAGTTAACATTGATTTGTCTATCTGACTCGCGAAATCCACTTTCTGTGGCACGTTTTAAAACCTCTGTCGATAGGATTCCTGTTTTAAGTTATTTCTGTTCAACATGAATTCAGAAAACTCCCCTATGACTCCTAGTTCAAAAGCTCGCCTATTTTCAAAATGGCTGCCATTTTTGTCTCGCGAAATTCACTTTTGACCCATTTCCTAGCTTTACAAATAATTTCAAGTGTCCTACATTGTAAAAATCCATGTCAATGTAAAGAGTAGATGTATGAAATAATTTTGTTACGAAAAATCAGCGAAAAATTATATCCATTTATTTATTTTCAGCCATTTTAGTTAACATTGATTTGTCCATCTGTCTCGCAAAATCCACTTTTGGACCATTTACCTTAAACCCTCTGTCGATAGGATTCCCATTTTAAGTTAATTTTGTTCAACATCAATACAAAAAACTCTCCTATGACTCTTGGAACAAAAGCTCGCCTATTTTCAAAATGGTTGCCATTCTTGTTTCGCGAAATTCACTTTTTGCCCATTTCCTAGCTTTACAAATAATTTCAGCTGTCCTGCATTGTAAAAAGCCATGTCACTGTAAAAGGTAGTTGTATGAAATAATTTTGTTACGAAAAATCAGCGAAAAATTATATCCATTTATTTATTTTCAGCCATTTTAGTTAACATTGATTTGTCCATCTGTCTCGCAAAATTCACTTTTGGACCATTTACCTTAAACCCTCTGTCGATAGGATTCCCATTTTAAGTTATTTTTGTTCAACATCAATACAAAAAACTCTCCTATGACTCTTGGTTCAAAAGCTCGGCTATTTTCAAAATGGCCGTCACTTTTGTTTCGCGAAATTCACTTTTGACCCATTTCCTAGCTTTACAAATAATTTCAGGTGTCCTACATTGTAAAAATCCATGTCAATGGAAAGGGTAGATATATGAAATAATTTTGTTACAAAACATCAGCGAAAAATTGTATCCATTTTTTTATTTTCAGCCATTTTAGTTAACATTGATTTGTCTATCTGACTCGCGAAATCCACTTTCTGTGGCACGTTTTAAAACCTCTGTCGATAGGATTCCTGTTTTAAGTTATTTCTGTTCAACATGAATTCAGAAAACTCCCCTATGACTCCTGGTTCAAAAGCTCGCCTATTTTCAAAATGGCTGCCATTTTTGTCTCGCGAAATTCACTTTTGACCCATTTCCTAGCTTTACAAATAATTTCAAGTGTCCTACATTGTAACAATCCATGTCAATGTAAAGAGTAGATGTATGAAATAATTTTGTTACAAAAATCAGCGAAAAATTATATCCATTTATTTATTTTCAGCCATTTTAGTTAACATTGATTTGTCCATCTGTCTCGCAAAATCCACTTTTGGACCATTTACCTTAAACCCTCTGTCGATAGGATTCCCATTTTAAGTTAATTTTGTTCAACATCAATACAAAAAACTCTCCTATGACTCTTGGTTCAAAAGCTCGCCTATTTTCAAAATGGTTGCCATTCTTGTTTCGCGAAATTCACTTTTTGCCCATTTCCTAGCTTTACAAATAATTTCAGCTGTCCTGCATTGTAAAAAGCCATGTCACTGTAAAAGGTAGTTGTATGAAATAATTTTGTTACAAAAATGGCAAAATATTATATCTGTTTTTTTATTTTCAGCCATTTTAGTTAACATTGATTTGTCCATCTGTCTCGCGAAATCCTCTTTTGGACCATTTGCCTTAAAACCTCTGTCGATAGGATTCCAGTTTCAAGTTATTTTTGTTCAACATCAATACAAAAAACTCCCCTATGACTCCTGGTTCAAAAGCTTGCCTGATTTCAAAATGGTTGCCATTTTTGTCTCGCGAAATTCAATTTTGGCCCATTTTCTAGCTTTACTAATAATTTCAGGTGTCTTGCATTGCAAAAAGCCATGTCACTGTAAAGAGTAGTTGTATGAAATAATTTTGTTACAAATTATTGGCAAAAAATTATATCCGTTTTTTTTTCAGCCATTTTAATTGACTGAGAGACAGATGGCTTGAAATAATTTTGTAACAAAAAATCAGCAAAAAATGTGACCATGTGAGCCCAGTACCCACGGTACTAATTTTTAGCTTTTAGGTACAATATTGTTCACCGTATGCTTTGTTTGTGTATATGGTAAGTGTTTTTATTTAATATTCATTGCACTATTCATCATATACACTCATCATTGTTGTTTCTGATTGCAGCACCAATGTGGTGATGAACTACTCGGAGGTAGAGACCAAAGTCCGTGAAGCCACTAATGATGACGCATGGGGACCTCATGGGACCTTAATGCAAGAAATAGCTCAATACACATTCACTTATGAACATTTCCCAGAGGTTATGGGAATGCTATGGAAAAGAATGCTCCATGATAATAAAAAGAACTGGCGCCGAGTATATAAGGTATGTAGTTGTATTTAACAAATAATTTATATATAATGGACATCCTTTCAAGGTAATTCAAGGGTAGGGAAATAAAAAACAATAAATGACATTCTATAAAATACAAATGGCTTATAATAAAGCACCATCTTAATGGATTAACCTCCCCCCCTAATGTTTAATGTTCAGTAAAATAATTAACAAATTCAATTATTTGTTTGACCACAAACCTTAAAATGGACATTTTCATATTTAACAAAATGACACCTAAATTAAAGTATGAATATTCAAAAGAGGACATTTAAATCTACAATATGTAAAAATATCAAAATTGTCTGAAGCAGGCGTTATGTACTTCGTTCTCCAAACAGAGACTAGTCTCTGACACTGAAGAGGCTTTTTTCTCCGGGCAACTTCTGGAAAAAAATGAACCCCCCCTCAAAAAATTCTACAGGCCTGATATGATATGCCATTAGAAAGAAAATTCAATTTCGGATAAATGATATGCTATTTATTAAAGGGGTATTCCTTGCCAGACCATCTCACTCCTAATATGGTAGCTATAACCATATACATAATTTGCAAGTTTATCAAAAAAAACAGAAAAATGTTTTGAAATGGTCAATATTGATCACTTAAAAATGTAGTGCTCAATCCCAGTAGGCTGCCATCTTTTAAAATTTCACTCAGGAAGTGATGTCATCGACTCTCAACTTTGCATATAACATTAGGTAAGGAGCTATTAGAATTACTAAACCAGCTGAATATTTTTTTCAATTTGGTCTATGATTAAAATCCTTTTGATGATCTCTTCTTTAGTTCTAAGTTGACAACTCCTGAAAATATTTTTACACAGAAGATAAGGGCTTCTTGTTTAGAAGTGATTTTGAACTTCTTTCCTATATTGTAATAGACAAGGTTATAACAGGTGAGAGTCGATGACATCACTTCCTGAAAGGAATCTGAAAAGATGGCAGCTTACTGGGAATGAGTACTACATTTTTAAATGATCAATATTGACCGTATGAAAACATTTTCCCGTGTTTTGCTAAATATGTAAAGTATATATATGATTGTAGCTACCATATCAGGAGAGAAATAGTCTGGCAAGGAATGTTCCTTTAATACCTTTGAATTGATATTAGATTTATATTGAGAAAGATTATATTGACAACAGGGGTATATTTGAATTTTGCAATTACTTGAAAAAAAACCAAGCATTTTTTAAATCAATTTTAGAAATGTGTCACTAAGTAATGTAAAATGTGTTAGAGCTTATTCATGGGCAATATACAGTACTGTACAACCATTCCCTTCAATTGCTTGAATAAAAAAGTTGAACAGCACTTGTCAAGGTGATTTTATCAGTAAGAATACGTGCTTCAGCATAGTGAAGAGCTATGTGTACATATTTTGATAAGGTTTCTCTTCTAATAAGATAAAATGTAATGTCATAACTGTTTTGCACTATTTGCCACCTGTAAAGCAGGACTTCCTAAAAATTAGTCATAATCTCATTATATCACAATAGTAATCAGTACTGAAACCAGTATGACATGGTTTCTAAAATATGGGTGAATTAGACAGTAATTTGGTATCTGAAATTGAAAGAGTATTATTTACAAAATACACTAAAGAATGAAATATGGTCTCGATTCATGAATGTATCTCCTTGTTTGAAGTGTTATTTTTAGTAATGTTTTAAAGCAGGTATACATGTATTTATTCTAATAATTTAACAATAACAACTATTTGTTCACACTTTTTGCCATAGCAGCCATTGATTAATATTCACATAAGAAAAAGTAGCAGTAAATTGATCTTGCAATGTATTTATATCACAGCAATTAATTAGACATATTGATTGAATTATCAAGGGATGGGAATAGACAGTGGCGTGTATGTTCATTTTTGTTTTATTAAAATGAGTACACTGTAATAAAAAAAAGTTAAGCAAATATCTGAGAACACAAATAAAACACTTTGATGAAACAGTAAAATGAAAATGTACAAGTGGCTGAATAAACTGATTAGAGGGGAAATAAGTTTAAGTTGCCACCTTGGCGACCAGGATTGAAACATGTAAGTCGAATATATTCATCGTGCATTTGAGAAGTTTTAGGGTCATATAAAAGATAATTAGCACATCCTGAACATGGACCGAAATCTTCGGAACACATGGGTTGTCCCGTCCCATCCCGAGACCAATATTGGGAAACCGTGACATCCCTAAAACTCAACCAAGATTTTTATGGCTCTTATGTTAGTGTTTGCCCTGCTCATTCTGAAAATAGGCACAATTGTTTTATCACCAATTTAAGATTCAAATTATTCCTCTTATGAAAAGTGAATTAAGCTCACTATATTGACTATTTAATGTTCCATTGGCTATATTTTGGATAAAGAGATCAGGTCACCAGACTTTTTCTGTTTTACGCAAAAATTGAAAAATGTCAAAATGAATGATATAAAGACCTTTCTCACTTGATAATGTGAAACAGACATTCAGTTTGAATTGAAATGGCCTTTCTCATTTTAAAATGTGAAATAAACATTCAATTTGTTATGGCCTTTCTCATTTTATAATGTGAAATAAACATTCAATTTGTAATGGACTTTCTCACTTAATATTGTGAAACCGGCATTTGATTTGTTATGGCCTTTCTAACTTATTATTGTGAAACAGACATTTAATTTGTAATGGCCTTTCTCACTTGATAATGTGAAACAGGCATTCAATTTGTAATGGCCTTTCTCACTTAATATTATGAAATAGACTTTCAATTTGTAATGGTCTTTCTCACTTAACATTGTGAAACAGACATTTGATTTGTTATGGCCTTTCTAACTTAATATTGTGAAACAGACATTTAATTTGTAATGGCCTTTCTCACTTAATACTGTGAAACATGCAATTTGTAATGACCTTTCTCAATTAATATTGTGAAACAGACATATAATTTGTAATGGCCTCACTTCTTATTTCAGTCTCTGTTGTTATTGACCTACCTGACTAGGAATGGATCAGAGAGAGCTGTAACCTCAGCAAGAGAACACGTATATGACCTGAGGAGTCTAGAAAATTACACTTTTGTTGATGAAATGGGGAAGGATCAAGGCATAAATGGTAATTATATGGATATGTATATGGGCAAGTTTTACAGTAATACCCGAGACAAGTTTTTGTCACATATTTTATCTTTTGTGTATTGTAGACAAATATGAATCAGGAGCTCGCATTTGAAATTCTGCAGACATTAACGTACACTATTTGTGACACTAAATAATTTCTTTGGGGTGCTTTACTTCATAATTTTAACATTGACTACTATTAAACGTTTGAGTTCTACCCCCAATACATAAAATATGTATTGATTTGTGTATTTCAGTGAGACAGAAATGTAAAGATCTTTTAGATTTTGTACAGAATGATGAAAAACTCAGGGAAGAAAGAAAGAAGGCAAAGAAAAATAAAGACAAGTATACTGGAATAAGTGGCGAAGGTGGCATGAACTTTAGATATAGTAAGTATAACTACATCTCGGACAAATGTTTTTCTTGAAAGTTCAAATTTTGATGCTTTTTGAGAAAAGTAACATTTAATGTGACGGATATTTCTTGTTAGGTACCTTTCTTTTGTTTGTAATCAGTTTCACATTAGGGGTCGTGTCAGTACATCCAATAAAAATATGCAATTAATTTTATTTTTACCTAACCCTAAAGTGAAACCTTTACACTTGTTTTTTATGGATGTGACTAAATGTAAGTGGATGAAAAAAATGTTCTGAATATAAACCTTAGAAATCGATGCTGTCACAAAACTAAATGAGCTTCTTCCCCTAATCTTCAAACTTACACAATTATGTCTTTGACAGAAGTCAGTATTTTGACCTGATCCCTTCAAATGTAATGAATCAAAATCTTCTTTGACCCAACTCAAGTACACTTAATGATATCAATACTTGAGATAAATGTCAGGTTGGAAAGTCTTATCTGCATTTATTGAAGGTGACTAAAGAATTTGAATGACTCACTACAGGTTACTTAATAGGGGTGACCTTATAGAATTTTTAGAACATCATATACCAAATTTCCTATTTTTTTTTTAATTGTCATCATATAAATAAATAAAGTCTAATAGTTGGGAAATTATATTTCCGGGAAATTCTCTATCACTATTTTGTCATTATCTGTTGATATCCAGTTCTTAGAAGTACTGTGTATTTATTAAGAATTTCTTTGTTTTTTCAAGAAATTCCACAATGGAAATCAGATTTAAATCTTAATGAAAAAATCGAATACATACCATGTTATTTCTACCCACCAAAAATATTAAAATTTTTCAAACACAAGAGACTTTGACATGATAATTTAGAGAAAGAAAGAACAGAGAAAGCTGAAGAACCAGCGGCAATCCTACTAGATATCTGGGATGATGGGACGAAGGTGAAATGGAAAGGTGATGGGCTCAACAATTCTGATAGGTGCCCCATGATTTATGCATTGAATGTTCCCAGTTATGATACAGCTTGACCAACAAGAGAATGAAGAATTTTGTGAAATCAAAAAAGTTAATTGCAGTTATGATAAAATGAATACCTGGTGGTCATTCAAAGATTGGGTCTGTTAAAGAGTTTTGCAGTTTGATATATCATGGAAAACTTTGTAGTTTTCTGAGGCAGGTGGTTCTTCTATTTATTACCTAAGTGTATATTGTGATACAGATGATTCGTCTCATTTTTGATTTCACAAATTTCTCATGCTCAAGTTTTAAGGCATGTTGTTTGTTTTCATTTTCTATTCTAGTTGCTCCATGTCGACCTATTCCAGATGTACTGACATGTTGGAAACACATTATTCATCAAAGCATGCTCATAACCAATCATTACATCATTAATTCCACCACAATTCTCCATGCATCGGTTTGCTTTTTATATTAACCCAGTTTTGCTTTTGTACTAACTCAGGTGACCGATATGGTGAAGAACCAGCTCCGAGACGAAGGCAAATGGATGATCTTGATGACTGGCGTGGGAGTAACAACAGAAAAAATAATATTGCAACAGAGGCTATTGATAAAGTAAAAGAGTTCTGGAATAGAAGGAAACCCGGTGGAACATTTGACGATGAATACAGGTAGACTTTCATCGAATATCATTGTTTGGTGAAACTGATATGTTTCGTTAGCGTAGCATGATAAATGTTGTCCAAAAACAAACTTTTTATTTATTTATTGTTTTGACATTGATTCTTTTTTGCATGTGATTTTTTCATTTAATTTGTACATTTTTTGGATCTTTAAATTTGATTCTCGTAATTGCTCATTTTTTATGTTTTCATTAAAACTTTGTCTTGACCTTGAGACCAGGTTAGAAAAATTTAATCTCATTTAAGTGAAGAAAATATTATTGATAGGCTTTCTGTGCAAATTCAATGGGGTCATCTTTTTGACAGTATTTTCTATAATCTTCTTATGTAAAACACATCACTATTCATTTGTCAGAAGTCTGGTTTTTGCATGAATCACAATTCACCAGTTTTTCTGTACACTTATTTCTTAAACATTTTTTCATGATTTTGTTGAACAATTATTCAACTGGGAATAGAGTTAAATTATCTCTAAACCATTCAGTACATTGCCATCTTCAACATTCTATTCCTGACCTAACATTGTTGGTAAATACCTACAACACAAATCAAAGTAAGAGCAATATAAATCTAAACTGCATCACTATTTGGAGTTGAAACTTTGCTCAAGGAAAATACTGTACACCTTTTATAATGCTATAAGCGAATGCTCCATGGAAGAAATGGTGATGCATATGATTTAGCAGCTCTGGTAGTACCTTATGATTAAGAAACAGAACACATAATACATACATGTAGGGATTCTGGTGTATCTTTAGCACAACTGCATGTATCGGTAATCTCTCTAATTGTTACCTAATCTATTTGGTCAAAATATGTGAATATTTTCACAGGGATCAAACATACTTTCAACTGGGTGGCATGTAATTGTAATTTCTGCATACCTTCTACATTGAAGCTCACCATTCACACTGTGTTCTGTTCCTTTGGCATAGGGTGGAGAGGCTAGTTTTGTGTTGTATAGTGTAGCTATGTTGTATTTATGTTGTGTAGTTCTGACTATGATCGAGGCTATGGAAGAAGCAGTAATGAGTTCCGAGATGGCGGGGAAGTAGGAGAATATGACCGTGATTTTGACCATAGCCCTTCTGACTATAGTCGTGACTATCGGTAGGTCAAGAATGGCCTTCTATTTTATTCAATCATCTGTATCTACACATGTATTATAACATTTATGTATCTCTTTGCAAATGTTGTGCACAAAAATTCTAGGTCTATGTTGCAATTTGTCAAAAACTGCACATTCATAATAGAGTAAATTATCACTCATTTTCTTCGCTTTATTTTTATTTTTGCTATTTTCTTTTAACATTTAGTGTATTAACTAATCTATTTCTAGTCTTTTGTTGTTAATTGTTTTGTCAATGACACATATTGTTATAGTAACTTTTTTATGAACTGTGTTTGGTGGCGTTTGACAGTCGTCATCTGTAACAAATGGCAGGTGGTGACATTTTGCACATCAATGCCCTGTTTTCCTTTATTTTATGTTTAAAGTTACCATTATCACTGAATGTGTGTGTGTTTTATATATCAATTATGAGACTGTCTGCCTTAGCATCCTTAGATTACAGAACTTATCATATTTCAAATATTTGAAGATAGTGTCTGATGGACTTTGCTTTAAATTAGTTGAACTGACCAATGTTTGGATTATTAGTGTATGACATCATTATACGCAATCATGCATATAAAATCCATTCACTTCACCTACCTTATACCTCTGTCACATGGCAACCACACGGCAGCTGTAGCTTTCCAAAACTGGAACAAATTTGCAGCTTGAAATAAAACGATAAGCAGTAAGATTTTGTGAAGGTATGGCCACCATAGAACAAATGTGACTGAGGCATAAGAGAATATAACAGACACAATTTTAAGAACTTTAATACACAATTGGAAGAAATTGGGCTCAATTACTAGTATATGAAAGGAAATTATTTCTAGCAAAGTTAAGGAAGACCGAGTGGAATAATAAGTTAAAGTATATGTAGAATATCCAAGTTGATTTGCTAGATAATCTATACCACTAGGCCAACCTTAATGAAAAAATCTGGTGTAAGATGTTTCATTTAATGCATGTTTCAGTAATGATGAATATGAAGATGACCTTAGTCGTGGCGACACTCGTGACAAAGACAGAGATTTAAAAAACAACAGGTTTAAAGATGAATTTCACGATGATGATTCAGAGGAATTTACACATGTGGAACGCACTCACACTACAAAAACTGAAAAAATTATATCAAATCGTAAAAAAAGTTCTAAAAAAGTTGACTTAGGTGCTGCTGCTAAGCTTGGCCAAGAAGATGATAAGGTAAGATTGTAGTGTTGAGTTCTGTGTTAATTAAGTGTTTGGTTTTTTTATGTCCATAACCAGAAATTATACATGAATATGATAGATGAAACTTAACCTACTTTAGTACTACTCAAAAACAGAGATCTTTCATCAAATGTGCCAAAATTTAAATTAAACATATACTAATAATACAACTGCAGAATATAATTTTGTTACACTGCTTTTATAATAAAGTTGACTTTAACATATATTTTTCAGAGTGTGTCGAGTAATGACGTTTCAGATCTGTTTGGTGACATTCCCTCCACTAATGACTTCAACCCCAGGGCATCTTCAGGGGCAGTCCAGGTTGCAAATACAAGTAAGATATTAAATTACAAGAAGGAATCAGAACTTTATTGACTTATTTCATAAAACAGCCAAAGAACACCAGTTTCCAACACTCATTCTTACAAAAATGTATCATACTGGAATTTGAACGATAATTTATAGTTAACGATTTCTTTAACAATGTTTCAGATACTGCCAGCAATGGTGACTTTGCAGACTTCTCAAACTTCCAAGGCGCCTCAACAGTACAGTCCCCTAAGACCCCAGCAAGGTAAGCCAATTGTATATTCCATTGTTTTTTTTCATATGAAATTTCAAAAAATTTCAGATACCTTTACAACGTATAAAAGCTGCTGTTCAATTTTATTGTAATTTTTTTGTCAAATTTTCCATATTTATGGCATAGAATTGTTGTATATAAAGATTAAAGGAGAAAGTTGTACATTATTGTTAATACAAACATTTTTTTCATTATTTGAGGTTACATATGTATGCTACTCTACACTCAATCCTTCATTTTCATTTTTTGATTTAAAAGCAGAATGTTTAGCTCAATGTTTCATTTTTTTAAAACTTTTCTAAGTGTTGTCCTCATTAGCTTTATTTGTAAGGTAATTAATGCTTCATCACACGTCCCTACTTTGCGGTTTTAGCAATGATGATTTTGGAGATTTTAGCAGTTTCTCTAGCGTGAGCGCAAATATATCTACAACGACGACCACGACTACTCAACAATCTGCCAATATAGAATTACTGAATGGAACCTCGAGTACAAGGTTCATATATTACTGTCTTGTATTCTGATTTTGCACTTTTGCTTTATTCTACATTAACATTTCTTCTCATTCTCGGTGTGCAGTGTGCGTACTCTACGTTTACTTTTTTGTGATTGTTTTTGTTTATCCGTAACATTATTATGTCCTCACCAGGAAGTTGTGACATATTGTTACAGCCACTATTTGTTGTGACAATTGTAACAATCGTTACACTTTTGTTACCATTTGGAGGGAGTGACATTTTACAGTAATGTTTTTTAAAATGATGTCAAGTTTTTCACACAATTTCAATTAATGAAATACTAACATATTAACATGTCCAATATACATGCTTTGAAACATTGAAATCATAAATAAAAAACATATTTTCTCATATTATATAACTTATGCGAGAGTGTCCTGTGTTTGAATTTGACCAATTTGGAACCCTATACAGTGTAGATCTGGGAACCCCTGAGATTAGATTTTAGAACTCCTGGAATTTTATCCCGTAACCTATGGTATTAGATCTTCACCTTTTGGAAGTGATGTAGATATAGATTGTTTCTGGAATTATTAGGTTTAGATCCAGACTTCCTCGCTTCAATTTTCTTTATTTCTTTTATTTCTTTTACTGTCTGTAACATGAGTGCTTTCTTGCCTCTAACAGCTCTTTATTAATACTATTTGGTACAGTGACATTAGGTGTTAATTCTACCTTATATTAAAGCTACAATAACTTGCATTTCACTTTTCAGACTGCTTTTTGATGTGATGAAATTATATATGTATTGTAATGTTGTTGAATATTAATCTATGTTTGTCACTGATTATGATTTAGAGTGTGATTTAGTAAAGTATGTTAAAACCTCTACACTATTATTAAAACACTCACATATTGTAGAATTAAATTTAAGTTCCAACATTATTTCTCAGCACTTGATTCGAAATTACTTTATTCGAATTAGTACACTCTTTATTTTTGCATGCTTTAGAGTTTATAACAATTTATTTGTAATGTGTAAATTAGTACTTACATAATTCTTTGCTTATTCCAGTCCAAATGATTTTGGAGATTTCGCAACGTTTAAGTCAGGAGGTGCACCTACCCAGAATACATCTGTGCAATCGCCATCCTCAAACACAGATCTATTAAGTGAGTATTCTTGTACTGGTAATCGACATGTTTGATTATACCAGGAAAATAATTCCTATCTCTGCAAAAGGTTTTGTACAAGATTTGAGTCGTAAATTACATTGACATTTCCAAACTATGTCTTAATTATCATTGCAGCTTAGAGGGTATGTCAAAGGGAATTGAAGCAAATTAGTACTAGCTTTAATAAAAACTAAAAAACATTTTATAAAAAAATATCTTGGGAAAAATAACTGTATATCTCTGATCACCCTGTTAAGATCTCTCATTGCATATGTTTTCTAGATATCCCTTGTGAATAAAGTGTGTCTTATTTTCAGGTGGAGTAATGGGAGCTGCTCCTCTCCAACCAATGTCTAGTCAACCTATGATGAACACCCAACCCATGGGTAATCAACCCATGATGGGAGCTCAAATGGGTGCACAACCAATGATGGGAGCACAGCCCATGATGGGTAACCAACCAATGGGAGGTCAGCCTATGATGGGAAATCAACCAATGGGAGGTCAGCCTATGCTGGGCAACCAACCAATGGGAGGCCAGCCTATGATGGGCAACCAACCAATGGGAGGCCAACAAATGATGGGGATGCAGCCTCAGTTGAACATGTCACAACCTGTGAGTTTACTATACTATACTAAAGTGCTTTATATACTATACTACTATAGTATTGAATCTGGGTAGTATTGAATTGGATCACTGGGGAATCTGTGTGCTGGAAGTCGTGTTCATAACCAAAAAAAATTAAAATTTGCAAAACCATACAAAAGTCATAGATTTTTCCACGGGTGTTGACAATTAGACACCATCCTATGTTGTGTATATGTATTGTTGACTTCACTATTCTACACTTGTCGACAATTAGACACTTTTCTATGATGTTTATATTGCTGTTTTAGATGGGTGGAATGCAGCAGCAACAACAGGGAAGCACATCCGGACCAACTGCAACTACACCATCAAAGGTAATTACATAAACAATGTTTCAATAATAGGTACATACATACATGTTATGCAGGTGATCTCACAGTTCTGAAGTCAGGGGATGCTAAATTTATTAATACTACATTGAGAATTTACCTTTACTTGCCCTACTTTGCACAAAGCTGAGATTTAACAGAAAATGAGATTTTTTACCACTTTGGAAATGACATTGTCAGAATTGGTGACTGATGGCCCTTCCAACTTACCTCTTCACTAAAGCTCAGTCCATATTGCCCTGTCAAAATATCAACATCTATTCCTTCCCAAAATGAAACTTGCTGTTTATTAATAAGAACATTTGATACTCAAATAAGACACAATGCATCATCATTAATAATAATACTTATAGTTACCAGTATGTAGTTTTTTTTTACATGTAAATGTCTTCTTTTTCCTTCCTTTATAATTGTTATAATTTTTGTTTGTACATGTACTTGACCCCAAGGGGTGTGAATGTACTTGAAATATAAATACATAATCGTGTTGCAGAAGGATATGTGGAGTGAGTCTAGCAGTAAAGTTAACATCAGCTTAGATGCCCTGAGTCCCGTCAACAAGTACCAGAAACAACAATCTCCAAGCATGAACCAACTCCAGCAGCAGCAAAGCATGGGTAGGTCTAATTTGCAATCACAAATCTCCTTATGTAACATGGAAAACGTTATCCTTTGTGTTTGATCTCTTCTGTGCAATCAGTCTGGTGTATAGCTCCAAGAAATTGTTTACAGTGGGGCAATTTAATGGTGGCGAGTCTGGCGACACCTCCGATTGAGACATTTCTTGGGACTGTATGTGGACTGAAATACAGGTCCAGTTTTTAATGCAAATAATTTTAATGTTCTGTACCTATCTGTATTGAAATTATTAATATGAAGAATGTAAATTCCATTTGTGACTCTATGAAATTTGGCATTGTATTGTTGTGAACATTGTCATGTTTTGTGCACATGTAGCTGGTTACTATGGTGTACAGTTTCAAAGCACTGTTCAAAGTAATAATAAAACAGGTAAACACGGGCCACGGGCTTTCTTCATTAATTAAGATGAAAGTGGGTTATTGTATTACTACAACTTGAAAAATGGTCATTGGGCTTTCTTTGTTGATAATGTTATCAGTAAAAGTGGTAAATTGGCTTTCATTTGTTGTTGATTAATGTTACAAGTAAAATTGGTCACTGGGCTTTCTTTGTTAATGGTGTTACCAGTAGAAATGGCAATCTGGCTTTCATTGGTAATTAATGTTTCAAGTATAATTGGTCACTGGGCTTTCTTTATTAGACAAGTATGTTTTACCTTGTATGTTAGAGGGCCTTAAAATTCTTAACCAATGGGCTTTTTGTGCTTTCTCAAGATGGCCCATGGTTTAGGTTAGTTCCTCATATTTAAGACCTGAAGATGAGATGGGAGGTGGAAACATGAAACTAAGTTGACATAATAAATTTGAGTTCATTTATTTGGAATTGTTTCGAAGCAATTAATAAGACAAGCAAAACACTAAGAGCATCATTGATGTGTAATATTTGTGTGTTCAGACTACTACCAAATGCCTGGGTATATGTATTCGCAAGCACAAGGTAAAGTTAAGTGTAAGGTGAAATATACTGTTGTTTGCATGGTTCTTTGTTGTAACGAGAAATATTAGCAGTTTACACTCTAGGGGTCTGTCTTTGGTATTTTTCTAGACACGCATCATTCTAAAACTAGCTGAATGATGACTTTAAGTATGAAGGATGGGCCCCTTGTGCATAATATAATAAGATTTTCTTGAATTACATGATTTTCCAATGAGACAATTGGAACATTGGTTGTTTTCATTTTTTAGTGTTATAAAATGATAAGTTCACTGTTATTATCCCACCGAACGAAAAATGGTATATAGAGAAGTTTTCCATCCATCCATCTGTCTGTTTGTCTTTCTCTCTGTTCATCCATCCGTATGCTTCATCCATGCATCCATTTGTGTGAAAACTAGCTGATGCTATATGATAATAGTCTACAGGGTGTCCCGAAAGTATGGGGCCCCCCCTAGGCAGACATATACCAGTGTCATCATAGTATGTGTTATATATCATTTGAAAGCTTATCCAAAGTTACATTGATTCGCCAAGTATCATGGTTCACCTCTCAAATGTGAAAAAATTACAGGCATTTCAAAATTTAGTGTTTGGTCAAAACTAAGTTCAATTTTACACCAAATCACTAGTCAATGTGTCCTCCTGGGCCATCTTAACAGCAGCAATTCTTTTCGGGTCGGAGGGATATTGAGTTGGAAAAAGAGAATGGTGAGGGTAGAAACTCTTCTAAAGTCCCTTAACAGGTTTTAAGAGGGTTATAAAATCCCACACCCCTATTTCGAGGGCTTTTAAGGTCATATCTGAAAATAATTGCTCCCGTTAACATGGCCAAGGGGGGACACATTGACTAGTAATGTGGTGTAAAATTGAACTTTATTTTGACAAAACACTAACTTTTAAAATGACTTTAACTTTTTCCCATTTAGGAGTTAAACCATGATACTTGGCAAATCAATGTAACTTTGGATAAGCTTTAAAATGACATATGACACATAGTATGAGGACACTGGTATATGTCTGCCTAGGGGGGGGGCATACTTTCGGGACACCCTGTATAACATGAGAATAAGACTTTGTTCAAGAAAATGTCTTTTGTTCGGTGGGATTAGCTTCTCTCGAGAGTTTGGAACGCTGCTTAACATTTTATTTAACAATGAAGCTTTTATATAAAATACCTTGCTGTTTTCATGGAAACTAAATAATACGAGGGTTGTCCCAGAAGTAATGCACTATATGCTCTAACTTTCTTTAATATTCTTCAATTCAGCTGAAATTTTGTATATATAACAATTGAAGTTTTATCTATTATATCCTGAAGTTTCAGCATCAAACATTAATATTAAGTCTCAATATGGTTGCTATAACAACATGGGGGTAGGGGTGGGCGGGGCAGGCACCAATTTTTCTAATTATGAAAAGATCTAAAGTGTTATTTTATTAATATTTCGTTGCTTTAAATAGTCAAAATGTTTGGGAAATTGTTAAATTTATTCAACATGATGTTAACCAAGTACAAATAATGACATTTAGCACTGTGATATCATAATACCACATTTCAATAGTCACGAATTCAAATACAGTCACAGTCAAGAAATTGCAAAAATGGCTGCAATTCTTACCTGATAACAGAAGGCCTTGCGTTTAGTGGCCTAATTTCATACTTCACTTGGACTCACAGCCACGCAAAACAATGCTACCATGAAGAAAGTATATAAGGAGTATATACCAGATAGAACTACAATTATGGGGTGGCAGAAAAGATTTAAAAAAGACTATTTGACCCTGGATGACGACCCCAAACATGGGAGGCAAAAACTCCACAAGTCACAGTGGAAGAAATTGCCAAGAGTGTTTGACCTGACAGGCATCAAAAGTACATACCATGCAAAGGTCATTATTTTGAGAAAATGTGAAATGGGACACTGTGCAATATACTTCCATTAAATCTAGGATGTGCTCATAGTAATTTAGTATCTCAAAAATGTATTTTTGAGCATATTTCTTATAGCTACACAAAATGGTATTTGTTGATTAATTATTTAATATTTTCAATTTTTTATTCCTTTTGACGTGAATGTATAACCTGCCCCGCCCTACCCAAACTCACCAACTTGATTTTATTATAACATCAATATAGTTTTATCAGTCAACATGAAATTTTTCAAAATAATCAAAATGTCTCTAAGGAACATTTTCTGAAAATTTCATGGAAACATCAATTATTGATAAAGTTAGAGCATATAGTGCATTACTTCTGGGACAACCCTCGTACATGTTACTTTTTTAAAACCTTTTTTTATTAGTTGTTTTACTGTTTTTATCCCAATTTTATCCCCTTTGGTGGTGGTAGATGTCCTTTTAGATTTGGGATCTTGGTTTTATTTTAAATGAAGGATTGTTGAATAGGGCTTGTGTCGCTTTTTGTATTACTATCAATGTTTTTGGACATTCAAAAACTGACCATATGTTGATATAAATGCATGTTTTATTCCCATGTTTGTGCACTTTGAATGAGGTAGTCCAATTATAGTTTTCCCCACAAAATGACATTTTGCATTATCCTATACGATTGTGATGTAAGAAATGCTCCCTATGTGCATCCAGTCGCATTGCATTGTATACCTATTCCCTTGCATTGTGACTCATTTTAACTAGTATTCCTTAACAGTTAATAACCTTATGAGCCACCAAGCAGGGTTTGAATTATTTTAGTCTTAGCAGTTTTGGTTTCTAATTTAAGAACATGTTTTAATTTAACTAAGGGTGGTATTCAATTATCAACAGTCATGGAAAAACTAAGTTATTGTTTGATCCCTCCCACCTCCTCTTATTTAACGAAATTCTAAAATGTTGATTTGTCTTTCACTTAAATTTAAAAAAAACCAACACTCCTAACATTTACCCCCTCCCACTAATAAAACTAACTTTGTTATTCCACAACTGTTTATAATTTGACACCATCCCTAACCACCATAATGAGTTTAACTTTGACTTAACTACCCTAGATAATGCAACATAAACATAGTGGTTTGATTTTGATTAATATCTGGTGTTTTAACATGCATTTAGTTTAACCTACATAATATGTGGAGCATGGTGTGTGGATATTTGATGCATTGTAATGAGCATTCATAAAAAATACAAATATTGACATATGTTTTTTTTTATATTTAGGTGCAGCTCAAGGAACTCCTAACATGTATCCTCATAACATGATGCCAGGTCAAGGTCAGATGGGTGGTGTCCCCCAAGGTCAAGGTCAGATGGGTGGTATCACCCAAGGCATGGCCCAGATGAATATGGGCCAGCAGCAGCCTGGCATGATGCCACAGGGCATGGGTAAATATAGCACTTTCTCATCTTCACCTGGACTTTGTCCAATTGTAGAATTTCTTATTGATTTGGCTTGCAAATTGTTCTCGAGACTGAATTTCTTTTATCTCTACAATATTGCAATTTTTCAAAAGATTTCTGTTGATTTTAAGATTTTCATGATCACCTGTTTTGTTACTGAAATGATGCATATGTTTTTTGCAGGCATGCAACAGCCAAATATGGGCATGATGGGTATGCAGCAGCAACCAATGGGAATGCAGCAAAACACCATGAGCCAACAGGCAACACTACAACAGACACAAAGGACTAACGCTGCTTTCAGTAGCTTTGGCAACTTTGGAAAGTGAAACATTCCGTAAATTGTTTTAGTTGATTAAACAGAAATAAAATTTACTTCAAGGCCTATATGTGTGATTGCAATATTGAATGTTTGCCTAAGCCAGAGACATTAATGGATCTTTTGACTTGGAGGAAAACATTTAAAAAATCTCTGTTGTCAGAGATAGCAGTACTGAACTAAAATAAAGCCATACTGTATATACGGGGTGACCCAAAAAACCTGAACCTACAAATCTTTGAATAAAGGATTAGGATTCTGTTTTTTGGGTCACCCTGTATTTACAGCTGTAGAGACATAGTAGATCTGTTTATACTTGTGAGGTTTTATTTTAAAATGTGCTTTGGTTGTGTAGAATTGACACCTCTGAACAATCCAGTATTTTCCAAATAACATTTTGGACACAGGTACGAGATGTCAAATATTTTTATTGAATATCTCGGCCTTATCAATTTCACTATTTTTTACAATAATAAGGTATAGGTGAATTCTTGAGTATAAATTTGGTTTTAGTTCAAGATACCAAAAGTTGATATTATGTCGATGCACTGTGTATTTTTATTAAAAGTTGATGTCCTTTGATTGTTGTCAATTTAGTGCATCAGACAAAGGCTGCTTAATGTATTATCCGATATATGCTCTATGTACTTAAAATGTTAACATTGCATAATACAACATGTATCAGATAAGCTATATTAACATATTTGATTTTTATGAAATACATTTTGGAATAAAAATAAAAGAAGTAAATTTGCATCCAAGGTTTTAACTTTTTGGCATATCTTTCATGACATTTTAAGAATTGTATATTATTAAGTGGGCGTGTATTTTTGAGTTGAGGGGTTATGTGACTATGAGTATCAACATTTTATTTTGGTATGAATTAGTTGAATTGCCTTTGTTTTCAACGGTATGGACACATTGTCATGCGTGTGTATTAGAGAATGTATTGTACATGTGTGTATAATGAAATCTTCTTTCTGAAGTAGGAATTGTTATGTAGTCATTGACTGGATCAACTTGATGATAACAAGGGGTACGCTACCAGTGTTATTTACATTTCCCAAATCGATTGCTGTAACCTTGAATAACACAATGTCATATTAAGGGAACAATTTTTAATGCAATACTTTTCATTTACTTTTAAATCATGTTTCTATTGTAACAATAATGGAATTATGAATAGCAACAAATGTTCTGATAATGCACTTTATTCATGCTTACTATTAGGTAGCCCCAATCAGTTGATTTTTGTTGAATAATGTAAGATATCTTGTGGGTGAATTTTATTGTTGTATATACGTATTGCATGTAATTGACAACAAAATGATGGCACATTTTCTGTAAGAAAATTAAATTGTAAATAAAATAAAATAGAAGATATAATGTACTATTTGTGAAAGTGATAGTATATATTGTGTATATTCATGTACAGAAATGAAAAATATAGAAAATTAAGATGTATTTATTCATTTAACAAAATAATAAATGATCTTATGTTTATTAAAATGAATTTGGTCAGATTTTTATTTTTTACAGTTTGTTTTCAATTTTGTATACTTTTTCAAGAGGAATAGTGAAAACAAGCACACTATGCAAAAGCAGCAGCAACATCGTACTGATTTTTACTGAATAAGAATAATACGAGTACATGGGATTGATGATTTGAAGGAGTACTTTTATTGGTGTCTCAAATTCTTACCTGCGTTTCAAAGCCAACCATTCCATTAATTTCTCTGGGATTTACAGGGTACAAAAATCTAGCAGGGACTAGTTTTTGGTCTTGGATTTTCCTTCCTGAAATCATGTCCAGTACAGGGATTTAGTTGAAAGAACATTTTTTGCGAAATATATTTTCAGACTTACCATGAAATGTTTTCAACATAATATATGGAAAAATTAACTGCACGTGAAAAGCGAAATGATAATCTGCAGCCATTATGGTTCCTCACTAAAATGTTTTTTACATGTTTTATATCTATCCTATTTATTAATATTTGAAATGTATTCAATTCTAGCATATTGATATACAAGTTGTTTTTAATGCAGATATTTATCACTAATTATGAAATAAGTTTTTGGGCTCTCAGGATAGGATGGTAATTTTTTGATATTTTCTAAGTCAAAACCCTGACTCTATTTTTGTGTCTTAATGTGGTTCATTGTAATCAATTCCCAGTGTCAGACATTTTTAGCTAATTTGGAGAAAATTTTCTTCAATATAATAATTGTTCTGCATTTCAAATATATGGAATTTCCTTGTGGAGATTAAGTGTTAATTATTATATGTTATCAGTGGAGGTCACATTTTTGTAAAAGTTTGAATCAAAGTATCTGTTCATCATATTTTGGATTTTCGAAGAGAAAGAAGATAACAGACAAACATTGGGTATTTTTTGACACAATGGAAGCATGGTCTTATCATCTCCAAAATAATCCATAACATATTATCAAAAGCTTAAGTGTGAATAAATAGTTTTTTTTTCTTCACCCATCAAGAGAAAAATACAAAGATGGAAGAGTTATAATTCTGTTTTATATTTGTATATATTTACTCTACAATGGAATCTCCTGTATATGTACAAGTGGTTGAGACAGTATATAAATTATAAATGAATTTCTGATATTGGACGACAAAATACAACACATTCGCAATTCACACACTATTTCACAAACAAACTACAAAGCATTCTCTAAATTATAAAATACAGCAAAACTTGGAAAGTTCATAACAGTTCACTGAGGCTGGTTTTGCTGTGATTTACATCAGTTTGAATGAGGACAGAAACTAGCATTATTTGAGGAAAAAAATAAAACCAAGAAAAGCAAAAACGTTACATATTTCACATAAATGCATCAACACATTACGTAATGTTTAATGCATGGATACATATTATGCAAATGAGATCAGTTGGAAAACCAAGGAGCCGTTTTGTGTTTCAAAAGTCAACATGTGAAGGATATCACATGTGAGTCATACAACATTTACAAGTCTGAAAGTTCTGTGAAGTCTAGCAGATAAGCTATTGAGTAGAACTCTGGTATTGCTTTCGCAGGTCTAAAGCTGAAAAACTATTGTATTATGTTACCAACAAGCTCTGAAAATGTTTTTATCTCTTCAGCTATTGGTTATTGAGTACAGAAATGACATAAAATTAATAATTTCACATTCATACAATTTTCATCTTATAAATTCTGATACAAAATTCCACTTTGAACTATAAAAAACATTTTTTCTATAACTGATTTCAAAATGTTATCATTTGTGAGAACTTGAGTCTCTGGAGAATTGTGGTGCAAAAACTAATTACATATTACCTTAATAATATATCAGTCACCACACATGGCTAGTTATTATTTATACACTGTTTTACAATATTGGCTAGAAATCACATAGAAACATCTAGTTCACTTTCATACTATTTTCACTTTACATTGTAAAGCACAATACCTGAATACGATCCGAATAGATGTTCTAGTATTATGAAATTAAAAATAAAATTCATGAGTATGTACAATGCAAGAAAAAAAGTATGGTTATTTACAATGTAGTTTAATATGAGTATCTATAAAACAACTTGCACATGATATTGTTTAAAATTGAACACATACCAAAAGGTGAATAAAATTATTCATAAACAATATAGAGAAAATACAAAACAGAAGAATTCTAAAACAAGGCGAAACTAAAAATATGTAGTCATTCTAACAACATTTTGCTCAATTTGGATTAAAATAGTGTATGACACTAGATTATGGTCCCAATGTATCAAAAATATCTACTAAAATCTTCATGCAAGTTTGAATAACATCAACATGTATGGCTGTACATCGTACATCCTCCCTGAGAAGCCATAATTGTTACGGACATGACACATAAAGCAATCAGACATTCTAATAAGCCTTTGTCATCCTCATTAAAATGGTAACACTAGTTTGGAGTTTAAATTACCAAAAAACATCACCATCTTCACACATAAAGGTATGTTTTCCAATGTTATGCTTTTTAAAAACTGGAATTTCCTTAATAATCAAATTGAAGTACTCTCCTGCTCTGAACTAATCATTTCCTGCTTTAACAGTTTAATAGCAGTGTACATGTGTTCATATTTACAAAATATGTGTTGATCTGTGCATACAAAACTTTCAATTTTTACTCGTTTCATGATATTCAATCGCACTAGTTTAATTGAAGAACATCCAGTGTCAATATCATAATAGAATTCAATTCCCTCCAATTATAATAAATAATATACATCAATATGAATTTTTTACTAAAATGTATGTTTGTCTTCGAGTTGGTTCAACCAACTTGAGGGGAGATGGGCTGTTCCACTGATCAAGCTTCCTCCCTGTCATGTTATATTCTAAAAAAACAGTTAATTTAATTTCATTTATTTCTTAGATCGAGTTGTCCGTTTAGCTACAGGAGATTTTGATTTAGTTGCTTTAGTAGTGGCCTTTCCCTTGGTTTTAACTGGAGTCTTCACTGGTGAAGCAGTTTTTGCTGCTTTCTTTCCACGAGTTACTTTAGGGGTGGCGGCCTTCTTCACTGGGGAAGCGGCTTTCTTTCCACGAGTTACTTTAGGGGTGGCAGCCTTCTTCACTGGGGAAGCGGCCTTCTTTCCACGAGTTACTTTAGGGGTGGCAGCCTTCTTCACTGGGGAAGCGGCTTTCTTTCCACGAGTTACTTTAGGGGTGGCAGCCTTCTTTACTGGGGAAGCGGCCTTCTTTCCTCGAGTTGACCTAAAATATTAGAGAAAAATAGGAATTTAAAGTTTCATCAATTCAGTGAATTGTAAATCTACCGCAGCATCAGCTCTTAACATATTTTTGAACCATTATTATACAATCACCGATAAAAGAGAATAATACCTTGAAGGTTTCGGTGTTGCAGGTTTAACAGGACTTTCAGGCTTCTCTACTACTTTCTTGGCAGCAGGGGCCTTCTTTGCTGGGGCAGCCTTCTTCACAGGGGCTGGGGACACCGCAGCTGGAGCACCACGCTTACCTCCTCGCCTGAAACAAACACATAGATACAAATTGTAGAGATGAGTAGTTTTTCTTTCCATTTGTTTCTTTTGAAGGAATAGTAGTTTCATTCAAGATAAAGTTGAAGATTCATTCCTCAGTCAGAAAGTATTTACCTGGTCACTTTAGGTGAAGGTGCTTTAGGGGTCACACTTTTGGGTTCAGGGGCTGGTTTTACTGGAGTAGCTGCTTTGGTTGGAGCTGCTTTCTTACCTCGTCTAGAAACCAAAGGTTTAAGTGAATTATTTCATTGAATTCACTCTTTAATAATTCAACCAGGGTCTGATAATTCAAAATAATTAAAACAGAGGATAATAATAATGAGGCCTATTTAAAATCTGAAAAACATACCAAAACATCATAAAATGCTTACCTGGTAACTTTAGGTGTAGGAGCTTTGGGAGTAGCAGCTTTAGGGGCAGCTTTCTTTCCTCTCCTAAAATAAGAATAAGAAACATGATAGAAGCTGAATATGAGAGTATTTCATCTTTTTCTATCTTTCTTAATACACTTCTGCTCACTGAAAAACAAAGCACTTGTCAAGAAATATTTCTTTCCCTTGTGGTAAACAAACTTTGCTTCACAATGGCAATGGGTTTTGTATCGAAATGCTTCCTATTTCCATTGTCATTAATAGTGTCTCAGAAGTCATGAACCTACCTTGTTACTTTAGGTGTTGGGGCTTTGGGAGTTTCTGGTTTAGGTGCAGGGGTTGGCTTCTTGGCAGGACTTGCTTCACTGACTGCTGGTTCCACTGGAGCACCTCTCTTGCCTCGCCTAAAAAGAATAAGAAATTGCACATCACATGAAGAGTAAGTTCAGTTGAAATAAAGGATCACGTTGCAGTGTTATGTTCATATACAGGGGGTCATTAACAGAAACTTCTATCATGCCATTTACAAACATAAGACTTACCTTGTATTCCCGAATGCAACTAATGCCTGCCAGCTACCGGATTAAACTCCTATTTTATGGCCAACTCATTTAAATATGAATGGTTAAGTGGCAGGTACTATTCATATTTAAATGAGTTACCCACAAAATAGTAGGTTAATCCAGTAGACAACAGGCATTAGTTGCATTCGTGGATACAAGCTTAGTATTTCCAATTCAATAACAAAAGCTTAAAGTAGTATTATTCTATAGGAACTTAAAGAGTAGAGTAGGGTACATACCTTGCTACTGGTTTGGCTGGCGTGGCAGGCTTGACCGGACTCACAGCTTTCTTTGCAGTTTTTGCTGCTGCTTTAACTGGAGTAGCAGCCTTTTTGGGAGTAACAGCTTTTCCTCTTCTGCTGGTTCTAGGTTTCACTGGTGAAGGACTAGCTGCAGGAGTAGGAGCTGCAACCTTCTTTGCACCTCGCCTTCCCTTGGGTTGCACTGGTGTTAACACCACAACAGCTTCCTCACCCTTTGCTTTCTTTGTAGCGACCTTCTTTGGTGTGGCAGCCTTCTTGGGTGTGACAGGTTTCTTGGCACCTCTACGTGTAGTTCTGGCCTTCACTGGTGATGGGCTGGTTTCCGGAGTTGGTTCAGGCTTTTTGGCCACCTTCTTCTTAGGAGTTTCCTTCTTAGGAGCAGCGGCAACCTTTCCTCGTCTAGTGGTCCTTGGTTTGACTGGAGAGGGGCTAGCAGGGGTAGGTGGGGCAGCCTTGGCTTTAGTGGCTTTTCCCTTCTTTGGAGCAGGGGACTTTTTGGGAGTGGCAACTTTGACAGGGGAATTTTTCTTGGGAGTAGGAGCCTTTTTGGGTGTGACTGTTTTGACAGGAGACTCCTTCTTTGGGGTAGGGGCCTTTGCTGGAGTCGCTTCAATTCTGGCCTTCTTGGCAGTTGGTACTGGAGCTGGACTTGCTCCTCTCTTCCTCTTATTGACTGGAGCTTTAGGTGTGGCTTTCTTAGCTGGTGTTGCTTTCTTAGGTGTTGGCTCCTTTGCAGGAGTTGCTGCTTTCTTAGCTGGGGTCTTAGCCTTGGGAGTTGTCATCAGTTCTTTCAGACCACTCAAGTCAGCTTCCCTGGGAGATTTGGGAGTCTTCATAAGTTCCTTGACACCAGTTACTTGCGGAGATTTAGCCTGTTTTGGGGTCTTCAGCATATTTCTAACGCCAGCCATTCTGGGGGTCTTGCTGACTTTGGGGGATTTCAGCATTTTTTTAACACCTGCCAACTGAGGAGAAGACTGACTTTTGGGGGATGTCAGCATATTTTTTACACCTGCCAATTGTGGAGAGGACTGAGCTTTAGGTGTCTTGAGAAGGTTCCTGACTCCACTGAGATTAATGCTTCGACGAGATCTGCTTGGTGTGCCCTCACTTAGTGGTGACACAAACATCTCTCCTACAACATAATACACACATACATCTACATATGATTTTACAGAATAAAGTGTCAGAATCTTATAAACACAGTATTTTTATTAATTTATAGACTTGCATCAATCCCTTGTACAACATCCTCTATCACAGAGATGAAGAAAATTGGGAATACAGGACAGACTCGTTCATTTAATATAGCAACATTAGCATACTGCTAAATACAATGTATAAGTAATTGTATCAGACTTTTTGGCATTACAGACCTCTTGGATATTAGCTCTGACGAACCAAAGAGGCCCCAATGTTAATAAAAAAAGTTTACTTCAGAGATGCCGACACATTTTAACTTATTTTCTTACCTGGTCCTTCTGGGGTGGCTGGTAGATCAGAATAAGGAGTCAGAGGAGTCTTTCCCTTGGGGGTCTTACTGGGGGTCCTTCCCTTAGGGGTCTTGCCTTTAGGGGTGGTTAACATATCTCCAACACCAGTGAAACTCACGTCTAAGTTTGACTTTGAAGGCTGGAGTGTACATACATCAATAAAACAGATATTAAATTTAATATATTAAATTCAAAAATCATAATCATTATTTCAATAAATTGTTATATTGTAATAACATATTAAATATGACACTGATGAACAAGCTTACAGGTTATATCCATGAACAGCAAAAATCTTTACCAATATCCATCTACTTGTCATTAAACCTTTGTCCAACTAAAATGACAGGGCTTTATTTCAATGCTAGTTGGCTCGATTCATTTGAGATGAATACAAAAATTATTTGGCTTACCTGTTTAGCTGGAGTCTTGCGTCCCTTGCGTGTTGGCTGCACAGGTGTCTTGGTGATCTTACGCTGGATTACTATAGTGGCAGGTGAGTCGGCATGTCCTGTAGAAGCAGCAGCCCCGAGCTTAGCCCTGGGGGTCTTCTTGGGAGTCTTGCCACGTGGGGTCTTCTTGGTAGTTTTCTGTAGCAATAACAAGAACTTATGCATTCACATTTTACATTTCCCACTCAAGGAAACATAAATAACAAATTATAATTGTTTTTCTTAAAATTCTGCATATCATTTTCTAATATGGTATAGTTATGTACAACAAGATAGTTTAACGAAGCCAAGGGTGTGTATGTACTTATGAAGGAAAATTCTCTACTTACCAGTTGTTTAGCAGGAGCTTTTAAAGCTAGCTTCTTAGCTGACCTAGCAGCCGGGCCTGTTGCAGCAATACCCCCCTTCACAATCTGAGACCATGTCTTGGCTTTGGGGGTCCTCTTTGGGGTGGCTTTCTTTGTGGATGTGACACGTTTAGGTGTCTTCATGGACTTTGGCAGCTTTGGTGTTGCGGCTTTACCTAATATGGCACGTAGGGCTACAGCTTTCTTGATTTCAACTGGTGGAGAAGCCAAGTCAGCTTCAACTCTAGACTTCTTAGCACTAGGGGGTGCTGGTGAGGGTGTGGCTGCCTTCTTGGGGGTAGGTGTCTTTGCCTTGGGTGTGGCTGCCTTCTTGGGGGTGGGTGTCTTTGCTTTGGGTGTGGCTGCCTTCTTAGGGGTGGGTGTTTTAGCCTTTGGTGTGGCTGCCTTCTTGGGGGTTGGTGTCTTAGCCTTTGGTGTGGCTACATTCTTGGGGGTTGGTGTCTTTGCCTTGGGTGTGGCTGCCTTCTTGGGGGTTGGTGTCTTTGCCTTGGGTGTGACTGCCTTTGTGGGTGTTTTAGCCTTAGGAGTAGAGAATAAGTCAGCTATTCCAGACATTGATACATCAAGAGCAGGTCTCTTTTGACCTGGACTCTGTTTGAAGGGGGATGTAGATTTGCGAGGAGATGGAATTCTCACCACAAGGATGGCAGCCTTTCCTTTAGATGATTTAGGAGTTGCTTTGCTCGATGTAACTCTAACAGGGGTCTTCTTGGGAGTGGCTGTTTTAGGCGTAGCAGCTTTTGGTGAGGCCTTGGGTGTTGCAGCCTTTGGTGAAGCCTTGGGAGTTGCAGCCTTTGGTGAGGCCTTGGGAGTTGCAGCCTTTGGTGAGGCTTTGGGTGTTGCAGCCTTTGGTGAGGCTTTGGGTGTTGCAGTCTTTGGTGAGGCCTTGGGAGTTGCAGCTTTTGGTGAGGCTTTGGGTGTTGCAGCCTTTGGTGAAGCCTTGGGAGTTGCAACTTTAGGCGAGGCCTTGGGAGTTGCAGCCTTTGGTGAGGCTTTGGGAGTTGCAGCCTTTGGTGAGGCTTTGGGTGTTGCAGCCTTTGGTGAAGCCTTGGGAGTTGCAGCTTTAGGCGAGGCCTTGGGAGTTGCAGCCTTTGGTGAGGCCTTGGGAGTTGCAGCCTTTGGTGAAGCCTTAGGAGTTGCAGCCTTTGGTGAGGCTTTGGGAGTTGCAGCCTTTGGTGAAGCCTTAGGAGTTGCAGCCTTTGGTGAGGCCTTGGGAGTTGCAGCCTTTGGTGAGGCCTTGGGAGTTGCAGCCTTTGGTGAGGCCTTGGGAGTAGCCTTTGGCGAGGGTCTTTGTGGACTCTCTTCTGCAATACTCATGGCAATCGGAGTAGCAGCAACTGACTTGCGTTTCAATTTCGCAAAGGGGGTAACATTTCCTTTGGCCATCAATGGAGCAGAAAGGCGCCTGGGGGTAGCTCCACGCTTCACTGGAGTAGCAGGAGGGAGTTGCTTGTCAAAATGCTCTGGGCTCAACTGTGGACCGAAGGAGACACGCTTACGCTTAGCTGCCGAGGCAATACTCTCAGTGGATTTTCTCTTTTTGCCTGAAATGACGTAATAATCTGTTGTATTATGATGTTTCCAGATAAGATCCTAACTTGCTGTTAGTCCAGTCTAAAAATGTTGAGTGCTTGATAGTATTATTCTGGGACATTTCATGATATAAAGAGCTAAGATTGATTTAAATTCTGCTTGTCATAAATTTATTTGCCAAAACTTAAAAGCAGATAAGGTGCTAGGTCAGGTGAGATTTGAAGCGACAAGAGAAAATTCCGATTAACTTGCAGGTTAAACTCACCTGTAGAGGCCTTCTTAGCAGGAGTCTTAGACTTGGCAGGTGTAGTAGGCTTCACAGGGGACTCCTCAATACTCTCTTTTACTGGCTCCGACTTCCTTCTCAGGGCAGATATACCATCTTTCAACGGAGTTTTAGTAGGCACCCTTGGACTTCCAAATGGACTCACCTATTAAAAGTACAAATAGATGGTTTATTTGAACTTGTTTATGGTCCAATTTGTTTGTTGTTTCTGCAAGAAACTATTATTGCCATACTTGTCTCCCTATTTACATGGCCAACTATGATGAAAGTGTTTTTTTTGTTTTTTTTATTCATAGAATTTATCTTACAAATACATAAACTACATAAACATTATACACTTGTAGTGGCTTTGCTGAAGGCATTATCAGCCACTTGATGAAAGTGTTTTCAAAAGATCTTTCTGGTTGTTAGGAAGACTTAATTCACCAATTTCTTGATCCCCATTATATATGAGCAGAAACTAGCAATAAAATTATCTAGTGGTAAGACAATATATCTACCTTTTTGCCTGAGCTCAACCTATTGACAGCTGGGGTCCTCTTAGGAGTTTCCTTGGGACTTGCAGCTGGAAAAGGGGATTTGCATCCATTAAAACATGACAGATACCTAGACATTGCATGTTCAAGTTTTTGGATAAAGTTTTATTATGTTTATGTACTCATTTCAATCTTGTGTAATGGAGATCATGATACCACAAACTTCATCAGAAAAGGTCACTTGATATACATGAAATCATTTTAAAGATAACCAGCCACATACCTTTGACAGCAGCTGGTCTTGGTGATGGTGTTTTTGCCTTTGGAGATTTTGCCTTAGGAGTAGCTGGTTTAGGGGTGGCAGCCTTTGGAGTTGCAGCCTTGGGAGTTGCAGGCTTGGGGGTGGCGGCCTTGGGAGTTTCAGCCTTGGGTGATTTTGCCTTTGGAGTTGCAGGCTTGGGAGTGGCAGCCTTTGGAGTTGCAGGCTTAGGGGTAGCAGCCTTGGGAGTTTCAGTCTTGGGTGATTTTGCCCTTGGGGTGGCAGCCTTTGGAGTTGCTGGTTTAGGGGTGGCAGCCTTAGGTGTTTCAGCCTTGGGTGATTTTGGCCTTGGGGTGGCAGGCTTTGGAGTTGCTGGTTTAGGGGTAACAGCCTTTGGAGTTGCTGGTTTAGGAGTGGCAGCCTTTGGAGTTGCAGGTTTAGGAGTGGCAGCCTTTGGAGTTGCAGGTTTAGGGGTGACAGCCTTGGGTGATTTTGCCCTTGGGGTGGTAGCCTTTGGAGTTGGAGGCTTAGGAGTAGCAGCCTTAGGGGTGGTAGCTTTGGGGGATGACTTTGCTTTTTCTGAGCTAGGTGTCTTGGCATTTGGTGTGGTAGAGACAGGTGGTTTGACCTGCAAACAGAAAGGTCACGTTGAGTTGTTTTGCTAGAATCTTAAACATGAAATGTATCACTTAACTATGGATACAAACATTTTACAATTCATAAGACGTAACATATTTTTAATGTTTACATAATTTACCATGTTGATTATAGCATTATTTTCCACTTTAAAACCTAGCATCACCTAACACTTAAACCAAACATGTCACATGTAAAAACAAACAGTGCACAAACTATAAGACAACAACAAACAATGTACTACACTATAACTATAAGATCTCTATCTATCACACCTGTAGCAGAGCATACTGAATGTCCACAGGCATTGGGGGCTTTAGCTACAAACCAATTAACATAATTTGAATAAACAAATGCAAAAAGCATACTAATTTGCCATCAGTTTGTTAAATAATTAGGAAATGGTCATAACAGTGATTGATATTATTAAAATGAATGTTGTATTCATAATTGCATTAACAGTTTTATTTTTATTTGCAGCTTAAAAATTATCATTAGTTAACTTATTATTAACTCTGAAATAAAAAATTATTGTTTTCTTTTCTTAATTCCATATTTTAAAATAATGACGCCATTCTATGGGCTAACATGGAGTAAATATAAGTTAATTCCTTTGTTAACGAGTTACCAACAATTGAGTATGCATGAAGATATGTCTTTTTAGAACTTATTTTAACTTTACTTTCATCCAGGTATTTTTTAAAAATTAGGTTAAGTTGCAAAAGTAGGTTCATAGTTAAGTCCATGGATCTATACAATACAATTATGTGAAATTATTTTTCTAAAATTTTCGCTAAAAAAAATATACATCCATATAGGTGTCATGGCCACAAATCTCTATAAATGTTATTACATTTAATGAAAAAAATAAATAACGGTCCAAATTTATATCAAGCATTAATCAAAAACCATTAAAGGCTTTCTCATGCAAATTGTCACTACTGCCATTTGTTACAGATGCTGAATGCCAGACGCCAATTGCTGTCATAAAAAAAATGGAGATATGTCACCACTTTTGATGGTGAGACAAGCTGAGAGTCACAATGATACTTTACAACATAAATTCCCTAGGATCATTATGTGAGCCAAAAATCAACTACTAACAGACAAAATTTATTTAGGGGTTTTCTATTTACCTTGGGAGTGAGTACCTTTGAGGAAGTTTGAGTGTCACTAGTAGAAGCTTTAGGAGTGGATGCTGGTGTAGGGGGCTTGTTCTGAAACACACCATACTAAAAATGTGGAAAGCCCCATCATAACTAAGCTAATAATTAGTAAACTAATAAAACACATAAGCTAAGATTCAATCATTCCCACCCAGGCAGTCTTCTCCCCTGGATGTTTTTTGATTAGAGGAATTTGTTTTCATTCTAATGTCTGTAAGACTACCGTATTCTCTCTTATTGCCACAAAGTTTCAATGGACACACACACTCTTTAGCTATAAAGAATGTAAACCATAGTGATAACAACCAAAAAAATCCTTGGCAATATTTTCTCTGATTTTTTCACATGTGTGGTAATTGGAATTTCTCAAAATCTTACCCTTTTAAATTACGATTTGGAAACCACACTGCATGCTCATTAGAGAGAATACGGTATTTCAACTTACTGAAAAGTATCAATTCCTCAACTGGCCTTCTGGTTAATTCTATGTTGGGGGATGACTGTCCTGATGTTAATAGAAAAGACTGTCCTGATGTTAATCAATAACAATACTACATGTTACATTATTAGAGTGAATACAACATAAAATACTGCACAACATTTAAGTGATGTGAAAAATACCTTTGGAGTGAGAACTTTCCCTGTCCCTGGGCTCTTGCTCTTCTTAGGAGAACCCTTCACAGGTGTCTTCTAAAACACATGGAAAATACTGTATTATTACTTTCACTAAATTAGAACACCAACAAACCCACCACAGCTAAAATCAAACTTCTTTGTGTTCTGTCGATGGAGGCTGTGTTATAAAGATGAAATGAATGAATTCCTCGCTGACTGCTAAAAATCTAATAGGCTCAAATGCTTCAACATATTAATGCATTGAAGATGAAAAGAAGGTTAGTCTTACCTTGGGTGTTCTGAAGGGGGAAGATGGAGGAAACTCGAACCTAAAGGATCGATCAATAATTGTGAAGACATCAGAATGTTGAACTTGGACCATATCCTTCACATCACCTTTGTTTAACATTGTAGGATTCACACTGCTCATATTGGTCAAAAATATCTACAATAAAATCAACCAAGATATACTTTCACATTTAGTCATAAACATGCAACAAAGATCAACATTACCTGGATATCCTATAATTTTTCTATAAATATTGAATTTAAACTCATATTAGCCTAGAAACGAGGAAGCATACATACCTCACCATTCTCATTAACATCGATCCTACAGTGCTCTTTTGATACATTGGGTAACTGGATACGAATATCACAGTCATTACTCCTATATAAGAAAATAATAATAACGTTCAAAACAAGATAAACATAGCATCAATACACTATTTTTAAATCAAAATAATATGCCCTCATACTTTTTGGTATAATACAATTATTATAATAACTTATCTTGACAGTAGCAAACATTATTTCCATATGAAAGGAAATCTGTTAATATAAAAGGTACATCACAAAGATAGATATTCAAAAAAGCTGCATGACATGAAATACTATATTCTTAAAACTTGGATAAAGCATTGAGACCTCACTGTTTACTTACCTTCCAAAGAGGCATGTCTTTGAAGTCAATGGAAAATGAGCACCATCACTTCCATTTCTTTTGATTACAACAATTTTTCCGTATAACATGGTTCCTGTAAAATATAATTTAGACAGTAAATACTCTATTTGTCACCTGTTATGAATATTTAGCCTGAATACTCTTATTTCACATGTTATAGCTGGAAAATGGCTATATTACAGCAAAGCAAATGCAAAATGAACAATATATTGTTTCTGAACCATGAAAAGCTCTCATCCTGCAGCAGAGATACTATCTGTCCCTTCAGAAATTTGTATTTTTTCAATTTTTTTACGGAAATACTCACCAACAATGGGAATTGTGCTTAACTTTATTGAAACAAATACAGAATGATGTCCAATATCACTCTGGAGTGAAGAGTAATACAGCTTTCAATGAAGACATAAACTTCATGAAGACATTTAATTTTCTCGCAAAATTGGGAATTTTGTGGATCAAACCCGATTTTGCGTAATCACAATGTGATCGCAGAAATGTAAATTTCTGTAGGGACAGCGGTTGCCTTATAGATCTTAGTCTTACAATTATCATTGGCGAATCAAAAGGCAAGCTTTTTCGAATTTTAATGTTTTGGTCACTGGAACAGATAGTATAGAGAGAGTTGTTCTGAGAGTGAAAAAAGCGGAGGTGGATCTTATTTTAGATTACTCACTTCGAGAGCCATGTTAGATTTTGACACTTATGGCTCTCCAATGGAGAAATGGACAGCTGGATAATAGTGACCTTTGAAACACAAATCAAGTTGATCCGAGGCTTACTTTTGTTCCCTAACTATGTCATACATCATTATCATCCTTCCGTGCAAGTATTGGAGCGCTGAAGTACTTCCTTTTCGATCAAGACTTGCAATTGTTAGTCGAGTGAATGTTTTTTCTGCCAAATTCCAATATCATACATTTTCGTAAATCTCCGTAGGTTGTCCAAACCTAACTCATTCTCAAAATTCATTTCAATCGTTGCGTATCTCGTACCTAGCAAATTGCCATATTGAAAATGGGTTGAAAAAACATTCACTCGATGAACAATTTACAAGTCTTGATCGAAAAAGAAGTATTTCTGTGCTCCAATTGATGATACTGATGTAAGACACAGTAAGAGACCAAAAGTAAGCCACGGATCTCATTATTCATGTTTTAAAGGTCACTATTATTTAGCTGTCCAGGTGCACAGACATGTAGCACTATGATATGAGAGGTGCGCCGTGGGAAAGCTATTATATCAAAATGCACATAGCTTTCGCAGGAAGTAAATTTTAGACATTGATGCGATGCCCCCATGCTATCTATTGCAAGACTTACGCCTGCCACAACCGTCGCCATGTTAATCAGTGTTTTTTAAGTAGCGCAAGGATCCTGCCATGACCGTGGTAGTGTTATCGTGTAAGCCTGGTATAACCGTGGCAGGCTGGTATAACCGTGACAATGCTGTATGATATTGCAAGGCCTGTCATGACCCTGGAAGTGTTATCGTGGAAGCCTGGCGTGACCGTAGCCTTTATTGTGGTTTATAAGCGAATGTGAATATTAATGTATAGTAGTTTTGATTTTGAAATAATTAAGGTAGTTAAACACCATGATCATATAGTATTAAACTGTTTAATTGTAATGACGATCACTTAAAATTGTTAAGGTTATTCCTGGCATTAATGTCATACATATTTACTAATCATTGCAATACATTATAACGGTCATAGTAGGACTAAGCCTAAATTTCTACATTACCACCATCATACCTGGCCTTGCAATACTATATTACATTGTCATGGTCATACCAGGCTTTGTGATCCCATTATACATCGTCACATTCATGCCAGGTTTTGAAATACACATTGTCACGGTCACTTATAGCAATCATATATTTCTACATTACCACTCTCATACCCGAACTTGCAATACTATATTACATTGTCTCGGTCATGTCAGGCCTTGCATAATTATATAACATTGTCACTGTCATGCCAGGCCTTGCAGTACTACAGTATATTACATTGTCACGGTCATGCCAGGCCTTGCAGTACTATATTACATTGTCACGGTCATGCCAAGCCTTGCAGAACTATATTACATTGTCACCGTCATGGCAGGCATTGCAATATAATACAGCATTGTCGCGGTTATACCAGGCTTTCACAATAACATTGCCACGGTCATGACAAGATCCTTGCGCTACTTAAAAACACTGAATAACATGGCGACGGTTACACCAGGCGTTAGTCTTGCAACAGATAGGGTCTCGATGCCATGATGATGATGGCAGTCTAGCCTAAAATTGGGATGTGATTTCAATGGGGGAACAGCATGGGATTTACACAACCCCAAGAAGGTAATAAACTGAATCATGTGTAAATCCTCTTTAATATTAGATTATCATCAAATTTAAATACTATAAACAGGTTGCATTGACTTAGACAAGAAAGGATTTCTAAACAACAAAGACAAACAATCGATCAAGTTTTTGAATTTTTTTCTAAAAAATTGAAAATTATAAACTTACCCTTATTAGTCTTGCAAATGAACGTTGTTTAAAATTCTCGTTGACGTTCCTAGTTGTTCACTGTGTGATTGACTACATTTAGGTCATGTAATTTTACCGTGGATTACCTAAATTGTCCCAAAATATTGATAAAAACGCGAGAAAAAAATTCTTACTTTGCGCGGATTTGAACCTGGGACCGATTGACTCATGTAAATTACATTCCGCAAAAGAATATGGACCCAACTGAAGTGGTAGATAGTGATAAGAAAGGCAATTCAAATAGTAAAAAGGGATACTTTCCAAGATGAGATAAGTATTTGTAATATATTTTATCAAGTAAGGATATATTGTATGTTTTATTAATGAACAAATAGTTCAAGAATTATTAGTATTAATGCGCGGAGGCCTCATCACATTGTTTACTGTTACGTTGAAAATTTTGAATTCAGCCGCCAAGCTATTTGATTGGTTGATCATAACAAGTTCAATAGGTCAACTTCCTTATAAGGTCTACTAGGTCAAATTGAAAGCAACCATTTTCAAACTGAAAAGTTGTAAAAAATTTTACAAATCATTGAATAACACTCTTCACTGGCGCTGTTCTGACTTCTGGCTTAATATAATTAAATATTGGTGAGTAGAAACATGTAGGCATATTCTTTTGATAAAGAATATCCCCAGGAAGATGTCATTTGATCTTTTGATAGAGTGATTTGTAAAAAAATTCAAAAAATGCTGAAACCTCAACCAAATTCAGTTGAAGTAAGGCTAGATCTAAGGTTAGATATCTAGATCTAAATGAAAAGTTACTAGCTTTACTAGGCCTAATCTTGTCTAGATAAACTAAAAAGTTTAATTGTCACTGTCACAATAGGCCAAATTGATAGAGGTGTCCCGGATAGCCGATGGGATAGCCTAGATTACCAGATTTTCTTTTTCTTCTTGGGTCGGAACTCTTGCCCGTAGCCAGCTTTTACCAGGAGGGGGAGCTTTTTCCAGGGGTGAGCTTTTTCACAATTTTGGCTAAAAATCATGCGAAAATTTCTGAGAATGGTGAAAAACTGCATGATTTTGAAAGAATTTCTGGCCGGGGGGTAGACTATATCCTATTTAGTCTGAATTATATTCAGACTATAAGGCACCTATGTTAAAGTTTGGTAATATGAAATATTTGTTTACATAGGAAGTGCTATTCAAAATGGCCGATTGGTAAAATTAATTTGCTCATTTGTTACTTCAACTAGCTTTATTTCCACTTGACAATATGCTGTGTTACTTTTTATTGCATTTAATTGTACCTTACTATTTATTTGAAATTTTGTAATGTTTATTTTATTGAAGAAATGGTTCCTCTAATTGATAATTTTGTGCAAAAAATTTCACTGCAATTTCCACAGGAAAGTAGTACATCATAACAGACTGACTTCTAGTCAGTCTGTTGGATACATACTAGGCCGGGGGGGGAGCTTCAGCAGAAAGAAGTTTGCAGTCACTCTGTTCCGAACTTTCTGTGCATTGATTTAATGTAGAGTCACTCGTTTGAGCAGAGTTTTGGTCCCCAGCTGTGAAAATGCTGCTAAATGTAGGGACTCTGTATATCAGAATAATGTACCAACCATCTGGTTGGTCAAAAATTCAAATTAACAGTTGAATTTAGTACCGCGTGACTACGGGAAATGTTCAGAACCGGCCATTCTGATTTCCTTTGTTCCGTGACATCTCTACAAATTGAATAATTGAACTGTCATTGATTTCAACAATTTGAACTTGAAGAGTTTGAAAGTTGGCAGATAGATGTACATTAGTTTTTTAACAAATGGCTTTATATACATGATTGCAATTCACAATCTAATCCAATATGTTTATGTTTTCAGTTCTCAACATCCAACATGCGGGCCACTCGTACACCACAGCGAGCAGCAGCGAATACTAGACGTGGAAGAACACCACAAAAGACTGTAAAGACTGCAGGGAAAGTTACCAAAATTCCATCATCTAAAGCAGCAGTTTTGAAAAAGTAAGAACCGAATTGCATCAGTGTAAACATCTGATACTCATGTCGATGGCTGAATGAATATTTTGGTTTCATAATTCAGAATTGAATCATTTAATGCTTAATTTTTTGAAAAAGTGATGATCCAATATTATTTTGAGACATACGCAAGTAAAATAGTAATTAATGTCTTCCATATCTTATTATTATAGCTAGCATCAAATTAAGATCACGACATCATAATATTATCAAGGATCTCAAGCACTGAAATAGCACCCATTTGAAAATCCATTTCTATGGTGCTATCAAACTCTGAAAATATTTTGGCCAGTTTTGGACATTCCCTTTGTAGGATTTGCGTTCAATTAAGAAAACCCCTTTCATTTGTTCATCTAGTGCAACTGTGTATAATTCAATTTTATTGAATTTTAGGGTGTATGGGTCCAGTTCCCCTAAAGGCAAAGCTGCACAGGCATCCCAATCCCCTAAGACACCAGGATGGACGTCAGGTCCAGATGCAGCAATTTTATTTAAAACCCCCAAGACACCTGTTGCTAGTACACCTAAAAAACAACCTAACTCTAAAAGGTAGGTTATTCATGATATAGGGTTAATGGGAGTGAAAAGGAATGCTCATGCTTGGTTCAAGGTTATTTTAAGTCTGGTCCATTATATCAGCTTATTCCTAACGTGTAAAATTTATTTATTTCCGAGATACTCTCACCCCATAGAAAGAATTAAGAAATTCTTAGGCTGCTATCACTAATTTAGCAATTTTTCATATACAGGGTGGTCCAAAAAAAAGTGAACCCCTGCAACTGGCCATATTTCCCTTATTACTTGCAGGAATTCTTATTTATTTTCACATGTTGTAGATGAAGGTCTAAGATTTATGTTGGTACCATACATTTTTCTTAGTCTTGAAATTTACAGAAATTATAAGCCCTAACCAAACATTACTGAAAATGGACAAATTGTGGTCTTCAATATCCGCGATTCTTCAACCCTTTAACACCTTTCCCCTGAGAATTTTTTAAGCTGCAGTCTTAAAGAACTGATATTTTCTGACTTTGTTCAATTTTAAATCCTGCACATTATGGCTTAAAATTAGCATCGTACATTTGTTAGTTGCAAAGTTATTGTGATCCAAAGAGATGTGCTAAGCTTCCCAGACGAAAACATTTTCCAGTGAAATCATGAGCATACCCCTATATGATCTTGAAATGTCAATATCTTCATAAATCATGGACCAATTCTAATGATATATGGCTCAAAACATAGAATATTGGATTTTCTTTTGATTTTTTAAAGATATTTGATGAAGGGGTTATCAGATTCCTGGTCACAGGGGGCAACTTCCTTCCATAAGAGGCCCCCCTCTAACTGTTGGTGTAGGTAACATACCCCTGAACTGTTGAACAGTTAAAAATACTTCAAAATGATCAATGAAAGTGTGAAATGTGTTTTCTGCTTGAATAGTGTCCCCTTTGTCATATGGTAGGGTTTTAAACTTGTATCTCTAACTGAAAGCTGTTTAAGATCATCCAATGTGTTTCAACAATTTCTGTGAATCACATTTGTAAAATTCTGTACAATATCTAATTTCCAGGCATGTTTGTTAAACGCTTGTAATTTCTTCAAATTTAAGACTGAGAATAAATTATGGCATCAACCAAAATTTTAGACCTTTTTCTACAACATGTGATAATATGAGCCAATTCATGCATGTATTAAGAAAAATGTAGCCTGTTGCAGGGGTTCACTTTTTTTTGGACCACCCTGTATATATATTTTAACACCCAATAAATATGAGATATTTTATATTAGGGCCAAAACAATTAAATTCTCATTACATACCAAATATTCAGCTAGCTAATCAGCACTGAATATTTGCTATTGCCTAGTGTGATGTACATGATATGTCTGTTAAAAAAAATCAAATCAGTGTGCATGAATATTCGATTACCACAAAATAATTTGAATTGTACTTCCATAGTACCTCATACCTAGTTGCTCCTGAATATTTGTTTAATCCCTACTTTCTATGTTTTTACAGCATCGCTAAATCTGTGTAACCCTTTTCAAAAACTCCTAATATTTAAGTTGAATGCATTATTATTATAACAAGATCTCTGATCAATATACTTCTTTTCCATTCCAGATCATCTCTAACCAAGGCTACTAAGGCAAGGCAGACAGAGGTTGCATCATTCATGGTACCTTCACCCCCCAAGAGGGCCGCCCCTTCCTTGCCTAAATCTCCCCCACTGGCCCAACGCAAAGGTCGTAGAGCATCCGTCTATCAGAAGAAAAAACAAGCCTCTTCCCCAAAGCGTAAAATCGCACAAGCACAAGTAAAATCACCACCCCTAGCGCAGAGACGGGGTCGTCGAGAGTCTGTATATTATGGACGTAATATAGTTAAGGCTTCAAGCATTGAGAAAAAAGTGACCCCAAAATCCAGTCCAAAGAAACGACCTGCCAGTTCAAAAAGATCCCCTTCTCCAGCAAAGAAAGTTAAGTCTGCACCTGTAATTGCCTCTCCTGTTGAAGTGGTAAAAGCAAAGGCACCACCTAAGCAAACCAATGCTAAAACCCCTGCAAAGACCTCTGCAAAACCCAAACCAAAAACCCCAGCTCAGATTGCTAAACAAGCAGACCCTTCAACACCATTCCTTACACCTAAAACAACCCTGAAAACACCTGCATCCAAGGCAAAAAAGAACCCCGCAACAAAAAAGACACCTGCTGCAAAAAAGACCCCCGCGGCAAAAGTCAAAGCAACCACTGAGAGCCCGAAAACTCGCAAAACTCCAGCAAGAAATGCTACAAAGCGCCCCGCAGCTGTGGCAACTCCTGCACAAAAATCAAATTCATCAAGCAAGAAAGCTAAACGAGAAGATCTCAACTCACCTGTGCCAGAAACAAATGGTACATCTGCCACTCCTAAACAATCTGATATTACACCAATTGAATCTGACATTGCATCTTTAGATGCAGTTGATGCAGTCATTCCTGAAACCCCATCAAAAACTGATGCGAAAAAAGATGATAGGAAGTCATGCACAATATTATAAACAATTTCAACATTGGTGAAAGGTGTGAGAGTTGACTGTAATAATGCACAAGAACTGAGGATTAATGACAAACACTCCAAGATATGAATCGCAGATCCTAAATTATCTCAAGACTGAGGAAGTTAGGAACCTAATTTATTTAAAGAATGTGTTAGAAGAGTCTCATAAATATAAAAGGCACTCTAGTTTTCTGCAAGTTGAAATTAAGATAAAATTTTCACATTTGCTGTTCCATATTTCAAGATTTCCCTTTCACATCATAGTATGTAGTGTAATTAAGTTGTGAAATGAATGAATGGCATAATGTAACATTTACATTTTCGCCAAGGTATTACCTACAAACACATTTTGCCAAGGTATCACCTATAAATAATGTACTGTTATTTACATTTTGCCAAGGTTTCACTAATGATTACATTTCAGTGTCCATTGCACAAGCTTAAAGAAGACAGTGGGACACATTTGGATTCTTGTAGAAATTCTAGGTACATTATCTGAAAATGGATTTTTGATATAAAATGATAAAGGCATTGTCTCTTTAATCATCCATGGATGTTGTAAAAGTATGTTGATTACTTTTATAGTATATTCTTCATCTTGCTTTGAGATTCACAATAATAACTGAAGCTTGATGCTTTATGCAAAGTACATCACACAGAATGTGTTCTTCACAAATCTCAACTCAGGAATCCGGATTGCGTCCCTATTTTATGTTTATTTATACATTATTGTATCATTTTAAAAATATTACTCATCACAGACTACTTATGTACATATACGCACTGAATTTTTTGAACACTATTTGATGCCATATGAAAAAAGTTTATGACTGTTATGTACAAAGTTCTCCAGTTGACTGTAAAAATCTATGAAGAATATTTATATACAGGGTGGTCCAAAAAAAAGTGAACCCCTGCAACTGGCCATATTTCCCTTATTACTTGCAGGAATTCTTATTTATTTTCACATGTTGTAGATGAAGGTCTAAGATTTATGTTGGTACCATACATTTTTCTTAGTCTTGAAATTTACAGAAATTATAAGCCCTAACCAAACATTACTGAAAATGGACAAATTGTGGTCTTCAATATCCGCGATTCTTCAACCCTTTAACACCTTTCCCCTGAGAATTTTTTAAGCTGCAGTCTTAAAGAACTGATATTTTCTGACTTTGTTCAATTTTAAATCCTGCACATTATGGCTTAAAATTAGCATCGTACATTTGTTAGTTGCAAAGTTATTGTGATCCAAAGAGATGTGCTAAGCTTCCCAGACGAAAACATTTTCCAGTGAAATCATGAGCATACCCCTATATGATCTTGAAATGTCAATATCTTCATAAATCATGGACCAATTCTAATGATATATGGCTCAAAACATAGAATATTGGATTTTCTTTTGATTTTTTAAAGATATTTGATGAAGGGGTTATCAGATTCCTGGTCACAGGGGGCAACTTCCTTCCATAAGAGGCCCCCCTCTAACTGTTGGTGTAGGTAACATACCCCTGAACTGTTGAACAGTTAAAAATACTTCAAAATGATCAATGAAAGTGTGAAATGTGTTTTCTGCTTGAATAGTGTCCCCTTTGTCATATGGTAGGGTTTTAAACTTGTATCTCTAACTGAAAGCTGTTTAAGATCATCCAATGTGTTTCAACAATTTCTGTGAATCACATTTGTAAAATTTTGTACAATATCTAATTTCCAGGCATGTTTGTTAAACGCTTGTAATTTCTTCAAAATTTAAGACTGAGAATAAATTATGGCATCAACCAAAATTTTAGACCTTTTTCTACAACATGTGATAATATGAGCCAATTCATGCATGTATTAAGAAAAATGTAGCCTGTTGCAGGGGTTCACTTTTTTTTGGACCACCCTGTATTTTATGGAGCTGTTTACAGGTTCTGGTTGGCTACAGTCCGCTGCAGCACTCTGTCCACTCTCAAAAGTTTTCAATGGGAGCTTTTATATTATTTTTTTAAATTTTAGTAACAGAATGTGATCTCAATGTTATTTTTGAAATATATTTATCAGTTATTCAACATTTTAAAATAATGTACTCCTCATGCATGTATTACTTTTAAAATATGCAATCTGAAGATTGTTAACTTGAACAAAGGTTAACTGGCAAAATTATATACCAAGGCGGCCATATTGCCAGTTCACATGATATTGTAATTGACAGTCATTTATTTCTGAATTCAATACGAAAATGAAGATCCATTTTATTATGCTACTTTTTAGAATACTAAATATTTTATATTTTAGACAGGTAGTGAGATATTTGTATTGTTGGACCATTCAATGGGCGTTTAATATCCCATTAGGAGAGAGGGGATGTTAAACATAATATGCCTTTGAATGGCCTGACGTCAGCGACATTAAACTATAGTAGTTTGTCTTACATGTCTTACATTACAATCCATTAGTAGTGTTTTATTTATGCCATAAACAATGTATTTGTATTTTTTTGTACTTATTTAAAGTACTGATTTTCAAACCTGTGTACATACTTGTGTCACTCAAAGAATTTATTGTAAAATATATTCCTACATAATAAATGATATATTGTAAATAGGAAAGTAGATATAAACATGCTGTTAGTTGGATTATTTACATGAGATGAAAGTCCACATATGAACAGGTGTGGAAAAATAACTTCAGCTACAGAGGAAGGGATAAATGATGGGTCATTTGATGCTACATTTTATAATACAATGGTAATTGCATTGGTTCACACATTATAAGTCTCAAATAATGGTAAATTATGTCATGAAAATCGTAGACAATATCCAATTTATGTCCTAAATTCTAAACTACATTGCCAGCTAATCGATTTGTAATTTTGTTCTTTTACAATGGTCAAACAAGTGTAGTGTAACAAGCCAGACACTATAGACTTGAAAGGGAGTGTGCTAAATTCAATGCCCAGTACGGGAATCGAACCCAACCACTGTAGTAGCGACTTGGTATCGAAGTTCATTACAATACAAGACTTTCTTGTTTTAAATTATGTATCATCTTGGCAGCAAGAAGATGAAAAGTGTATTGCATAGCATCAAATGATCAAGTTTGTTAAATCAACAAGATCTAATTCATCCCTAAAATTCAAGAACTCTTGAAGTTTTGCTGGTAAAGGTAATTTGGTCACTGAATAGAAAGTATTGTACTTCAGTGTCCACCTTATGACAAGTCTTGCAATATGTTGCAAACTGGGTGGTTTGGTATGAGACTCCATAATGTAGTTCAACATGTCAGTATTTTCCGATTTGGTTTTAGCAAATTCAACCTCAGCATTAGACAGTTTATTTCCCGTCATTAGATACACTTTAAGTATGTTGGTTTTATGCGACTCTTCTGTGTATTGCTTCACGACGTTTGGTAAATTCTCAATAATGTGACGTTCTAAGTCAAACTCAAATCCAGGGACATTTATTGAATTGTTTGCATACCGACTTGTTCTTGTTGGTATTATTTGTAGAATTGATGTTAGTTTATGTGTGCTTGCACAAAGAAGCATCTTCGTGATATCTCTATGACACGGAATCTGAAATGTTTTCTTGCTTATTGATGCCTTTCCAAGAAGTAAAGATTGAGTTGCCTTCAGATGGTTACTGGCTAGTTTATCATTGCGTACGTGAATTTCTAATGGAGTGATACCAAAATCATTTGGCTGATTGGTATCTGCCCCAGCTTCAATAAGGATATCAATACACTGATGATAACCTTGGTGAGCTGCAATATGAATAGGGCGGTTCTCACCATGGACTTGAACGGCCATGTTTGGGTCTACGCCATCACGTATGAGTTCCTGGATGCACGCTACATTTCCAGTAGTAACTGCCATTAGGAACTTTTTTCTTACGTCCAATTTTTCATACATACAGCCTAGTAATCTTGGATCCATCTTAAAAGTAGTGGTAAAGTATACAAGTCTTTGTATTGTATAGTGGTGTTATTCAGTATTCATAGACATTTATAATTCAGATGGATTCCTCAGTCATTGTTAGCCTAGATTCCCTAGATAGTGCATCTACTTGCACACAGAGGAAGCTGTGCAAGTTACAGCTGTAAACCTTTCCAATACTTTAATTTTGCCTATGACACATGTTTCAGATAGCCTAATAATCACTGTGAATAATCATCATAGATGTCAAGGTATGTTTTACAGAATTTTTGAGCCTGTCAAGTTCCCTGGTAAACTGACTTTGATATATTATTTTTCAGTTCACCACTTCCTTGTTTACATCAGAAAGTAGTGCTATATTTTGATGCGGAATAATATGTGTTTCTCATACTGTATTGGTGATTTGCTGTCAGATTAACAACTGTACATCTTTAATCTATGATCTGATTCATCTATAAGTTGAAACTGAGCTCCATCATGTCCATTAGTGCTCAATATACATAGAAAAATGAACATAAATTATAGTACTATTTTTTCTACGCGGATTCATACTAGAGGAAGTGTTCTTCGCCCTTTAAAGTTGACAAATGCCATTTTCTAATTTACTTGCTAATAGTGTAATGCCCAATTATTATATTCAGAAATAAAAGTACTAAAGTGAGTATAGATCTATATTTTTTAGGAAGGCGCTATCAATTTAAATATTTTTGAGGGTTCAATGACATAAATTGACAGTTCATTATATTATCGCCCACTTTTTACGATTTTTATTTTCATGTTTTACTATTTTTTATTTAGTCTTACGGAGTGGCTCCAGGACCGACAATTGTCGGTACTGGAGACTGTCCAGGGGTATTTGCTGGGGTACCGACAATTGTCGGCACTCTATCGTCACCTAGTAGTGCCAGATAGAGAACCGACAATTGTCGGTACGCAAGTGGCTACTACGTATTTTTGCTAGAGAGCCGACAATTTCATAAATAAATCGACTACTTTTACTTTTAGAAATAACCTCATCACTGGTAGCCTCGTGGTTAGCGAGCACGACTCGAACACACTCGGTCCCGAGTTCGAATCCCGGCAGGACCTACTTTTTTTCTTTTGAGGGCGGGGAGGGGGCATAGTGCTTCTGATTTATTTCGACAAAAATTGATTCAACTTCCATCAAATTGTCCTACAAGCTACAATTAAAAAACATTTTAAAGCTCTTTTCTTGTTCTATCTAATGGGTCGATATATACAGTTAGGGGAGGGGATGCTTTCGCCCCCGTCACTCTCTACCCTTACTACGCGATGGCACAGGAGAAATATCTCATTTGGAATATATCACTGTTTACTTTGCGTTTGGTAGCTCTCTCAGGCGAGATGGAATCGTGGCCATTAACTAAGGGAGCCAAATGCAACTTCCATCAAAAATTGTGCTATAAGGTATGAGTACCGTAATCCAACACCAAATTCGAAAATTCATAACAATACTTTGCACATATGGCGTTCGTGACCAACTATGAAACGCTTACCCCCCCCCCCCCCCATAGTGTTATATATCAAAAGGCACCTGTCCATATAGGGGTTCGATTGACCTACATCAAATTATAGGGAGTCAGGTTACTTTTTGAGATATCAGCGTCCGTTTATTGTAACTCGCGTTTGCTACCACTTCCTCAATTCTGATATGACGGGCAAACGCGTAGTAAACATGCTCACGTTCGGAACTATTTTGACCTACATCGCTATTTTCGTAATTCAAATGAAAGTTGAACTCCTCTTTATTTTGATACCAAATAGTGGCATACTAGGTACCCTAGAAGCCAACTATGGGTTATTTAGAACGATACCACAGGTTTTTAAATGGACTATATAGGAGTCATACCTTTTGGCGGATGGATATGGAACCTCATACCATAAGCTTCAAATAAAAAACATTCGAGCTATTTTCTTCTATCTAATGGGTAGCAAACGCCCGTTTCTACGCCTGATCGGCTCAGGAGAAATATCCTGTCTGTTTAGAATATATATAGCCGTTTACTCTGCATTAATAGCTTTCTAACGTCTTACTTGTTCATGTTTTTATTGGGTTTTCAACGTTTGCTACCATTCCCTGTTCCCGGGCTACCATTTTTTGACTGGGTTTGGTAATCCCCGGGTAACCGGGGCTAATGCCCTCCCCGGGTTTTGCACTTGTTCCCAAAATATCCGTATGATATCTGAAATATCCCCCGCGCATTGCGCATGCGCCAGAAAATTCGAAAATCAATATTTGTCGGTCCTCTAGCGTGTTAACACAGCATATCTCCCGTACCGACAATTTATTTGTCGGTCCTCTAGCGTGCCACCACATCAGAGTCTAGAGTACCGACAATTGTCGGTACTCTAGCCTTTACGTTAGTCTTAATAGAGGAAGGGCAATCTATGCGAGGTTCGTAAGGAGGATTTGGTCCCAGGAGTCTGATTTGATATTCTGCCATATATGGAGTCATGTCTTGATTACTAAATTTAATATTATAAACAGCTGCCATTTTTCACCTCAGAATTTGAATTGTGAGTTTTGGTCTTACATGTATCTCCAAACAAAAAATTTAAAACATACAAGAAGTGTTTAAGATATCAGTTCAACTATTTTACATTGATTATTATGAATTTATAGCCAGTTTTAATGTCAGAAAATATGACATTTTATTGTTGTTGATATTGTTACATGTAGAATATCCGCCATTCTCCTTGCAGTTTATTTGTGCATTCATTGCCTTAGAAATCAGCACTGAGCAAATTGCTTGGAGATGAAAAATATTGAGTTGGGACCCTGGGATCCAATTAGGAGGTTCGTTTTTTTCTGGTTCGGCTTTTCATGCAGGTGCAAATTGAATGGCTTCTTTCCCAACATTCTTGGTCGTTTTCTTTGATAGATTTAGTTACCATTTTCATTCAAATTTTTCTCAAAACAATGTTTTTTATTTTCGGGCTCATAAAATTAGTATATTATGTGTCTTATACATACCAGGGTATTAATTTAGTATAACAAATAAAGTACTAATGAGCCTAGACGGTGAACACCGCCTCTAATGCTTTGGATTGTCGTAAGGACTTGCATTAGGCCAACACGATCCTCAGAGACCCAGAGGGTGCATGAATGCACCTATTATGAGCCCTAATGATTTTAAATTCTATTTTGTAACAATTTATATCTATAAATTTCATTAATGATTCTTGCGCTCATGTTTGATAGATGTAAAGTTTCTCAGTTGTTTGAAGACCAATTTCATTGTGGTAAAATTAAAAAGACATATAAAATGACAATAAGAGCTTTCTAATGGCTTGCTTAAAAAGAGTTGGGGGTAGGCATAGTAAATCACGATGAAAAAAAATTTAACACTTCAGTTTGTGAATTCAAGTTATTTACAGTATGATACCTAATGTTTGATTTTTAGTGGTTAGATGATGACCAATCATAAACATATTCTTCTAAGAATGACATTTTAGACAATATTATAAACCTTGTAAGTGTATGCTTAGTCACTTTTCAATCATGAGAATATTTATAAAGCAAGTAAAGTAGGTGTAACATTGGCTGAATCTATTTTATCTGTTGCAGAATTCCAAGTGCGCCATGGGTTGATGAGATAGTGTGCAGTACTTTCTATAGCCTTGATTTGGTGTGCAGTGTACATCACCATGACAACACCACCAGGAAGTGCTGGCCTACCTATAGTTGGCGATAAGTCTTTAGAATTCTACAAAGATGCAATTGGTATGTACATTAGTTGTAACAGCTTATGTAGTCTCAGTGTGCTTACCAGGATTTGGGGCAATTTTGACAAATCATTTGCCAATGTCGAGTTAAATTTAGCTAATTTGATCTGGTTCATATGAAAATCCTCCAACCTAGTTTATAAAGGTTCCAAAAGCACTATAATACACAAATATTTTTAAAGTTACACTGTTAACAATACATACAGGATGGTCCAAAAAATGGGACACTCGTATTTCAAAAATGAATATTGATTTTATTGATGAAAACATATCATATTATATTAGCTATATTATATACAAGTGGATAGGGAGTTTAATTATCTTTAATTTGATATATCATAAGTTCAAATTTATTATTATTATGCCTGTCAACCAGTGTCCATAATATAAGTGACGTCATTTTTGTTTCAATATGTTTTTTCAAAAACTTGCAAAACCAAGTTTTTTTGTCAACATAAACAGATGTTCAATAAGTCCACCATTTTGATCAATTATAGCCTCAATGTTGGCATAAACTAGTCAATAGCATCATTGATATGGTTTTGAAATAATGAATTCCGCTTCTCAACAATTCTGTCCTGAATAGATATAAGGGGTTTATGGTACACCAACTCTGTTAGTTCTCCCCATAAGTGGTAGTCGCAGACGTTGACATCGGGTTTTCTTGGGGGCCAGTGATTAAGGTGGAGGAACCAATATGTCCTACACAGAGGACTAATTCCTGATCTCATATTTGGATCATTACATTTTCCACCAAGATGGGGCTCTAAGTCATAGATCCCATAAGACAGTCAAATATTTAAAGGAGAATGTGCCTCGATTCATCCCCCTTATCACTGGCCACCCAGATCGCCCGATGCCAATGTCTGTGACTACAACGTATGGGGAGAACCAACACATGAACTCCTTACATCTACGTATTCACTCCCTTAAAGGCAGAATCAAAGCTATAGGGGTGACAAAATTACAAGTAACATGTACAACTGATCTACTAATCTATTCTTTACAATATCAAATATAATATCTCTAAAAAGATTCACGATATGTTATAAATTGGTGAAGTTATTAGGGATTCAAAGTGCAAAAATAGGTGGAAAATGTGTAATTTCTCCCAAATAATAAGAATGGTAACCATTTTTATAGAAAAATAATACATTATTGTAAAAATCTTGAGTTTTCCTGAAATAAAGTGTGCACTTTGGGGATTTTTAGAAAATAGACATGACAAGGAATGACATGAACCATAAATATTCTAAAATTGAAACAATTTTTTGTTGGCCAGCTCGCTAGATCTGATTCTCTCTTTAAGGAAATAATTGTTGAGAAGTGGAATGCATTGCCTCAACAGCATATAGTTTAGGCCATGATCGAGGGCTATGATTGATAAAAATGGAGGACATATTGAACATCTTTTTCTGTTGACTAAAAAAACTTGGTTTTTGCAAGTTTTTGAAAATCTGTTTTGAAATGAAAATGACGTCATTTGTATTATGTACGCTGGTTGACACTTATTGTGAGAAATTTGAACTTATGATATCCCAAATTAAAGATAATTTAATTCCCTATCCACTGGTGTATAATATGACATGTTTTCATCAATTAAAATAATGTTTATTTTTGATATATGAGTGTACCATTTTTGGACCGCCCTGTATACAGAATGTGCTTATATTTAATTGTGTTTATGTTTTCAGGATTTGTTGACAGAAACATCGCCCATAATAAATCTCGTATTTTTCTCTCCCGACTACTCAGCAAACCAACTGTATTTGTGTCTTCAAATAAAGGCGTGAAGGAGTTACTTGAAGGTATACCTGTTTCCTCATTTCCTTCACAATCAATAAATGGGTATTTTAACAGAGTACTCCAGGTTTTTTGTCAACAACAGAAAATGGTGACAGAAAGTTATGACCTACAATTTCTAGGAACTTGCATCTTTGTTTGGTGTCTGTTATAACAATTTTTACACCTTTGTGAAAATTTTCAGTAATTAAAAGTGAGCAAGGGAAAAATGGAAAACAACAACCTCAAATTAAGTTACAAAAGAATTGTCACGATTTATTTTATAATTGATACTATGAATTGATTTCGAAATATTCTCTCTTTTCAAGTTTTCGATATTGTTTATCTCGTGTCTTGTTAAATAACATCTTTATTCTGTATGCATTTATTCCAGATAAAGCCATGAACTGTGATCTTGGATACAAGGCATTTATGTATGAAATATATGGTGACAACATACTCTTCACAGATGGCATCAATTCAGTTGTTCTACGGGAAATCCTTCACAATCTTTTCTCTGCAGAATCAGTAGCTTCTTATCAGGAGTCTATTCAGAGGTAAGAGTACCAAGTACAAGCATAATTTGTGTACAAACTCCTTCTTTTTTTGTAATTTATCAAATCTCTTTTCCAATTTTAAAGTAAATTCTAACAAACTTACAATCATAAAATTTTGAGAATTTCTGGTTTTCGATATCTCAAAAGTCCAGGAAAGAAAAATTTGTTGTTGTTGCCCAGTGTTAGGCATTGGGCAACAAGAGGTGTTGAAAATAGCGACACGGGAATCTGAGATTGTCACATATTAAATCAAGTTGTACAACATATGTTTATATGACTTTCAGACTTACAAGTCGAGCTTTGGAAGATTTACATTCCAGGTAAGATCATAGTTAATGTTGGCTTATTTAACTTTAATTTAACAACAAGTAGGTTGTTTCTTAAAATATTTTGAGTTATGATTCTTCAAATTAGATTGTCACAGTAAGATCTTGAAGCTTTACTCAACTATGACTACGTGTAAATCGAATGAACATACGCATGCGCTAATAATCAGTTATAGTAAGATAATAAAGATGTCGCTATGCTATTAAAAACTATTTACTTTGTAAATAATCATTGTACATTTGAAAATGCAAAAATAGAAAAATAGAACTTAGACCAAATCTACCGAATTTAATATTTATTTCAGTACAGAAGTTGTTGTGAGATACGGATTAACCATATGATACTTGTTACAAATAATGATAAATTCCCAGGGTATCATTCATTAATAATCCTTAATTTTCATGCTTACTCTTTCAGGTCTCCAGTGAATGTGTACAAGTTTTTCAAGAGGCTTACAACAGAGATATGTCTCAGTGTTTTCCTGGACATTGACTTCCAGACGGCACAGGAGCTCAGCTCTCAGATTTGTGAACTCACTACAACTCACTGGCATGGTGAGTAATACATAATTAGCATATCATTTTTAGTATTGATATTGCCATCATTTTTTGTGGAATTCACACAGTGTCAGCTGTTGGCGTTAGTATCTGTAATTGCTACACTTTTGTAACCATCCTAGGGTAACCATATGCAGGTGGTACATTGTCATTGTCATGTTAAGTGCCTTATTTTTTTATAATCATAAACTATTTATCACTACTTATATATTACATACATGTATAGCTGCCCATTTATACATGTCATTTTGGAAAACATTATTAAAACATTTAAGGCTCATAGGTATAAACATTTTTTTTATATAAGAGAGTCAGGCTTTAATAATGTTAAATGGGTGAGGTGGGACTGAACAGGTAGAATTTAATTTATATATATGTATAAATAACTTTTTGTAAAGTACATGTTTATTGTTTTCTTCATTATGCCATGTGACTGGTTGATAGTTACATTTTATGCAGTTACATATTGGCCCCCTTCCCATTCACTTCTGTGCACGTCCTATGCTTCTAACCCCTTTTATGTCCCTTTCATTTCAAAATCAAGGGTTTTCCCCATAGTTCTTCTTCCATCCAAGTCTTCTTCAGCACCATGAACAGAATCACGGTATTGACTCAAAAGGGGAGGTGTGCGTTGGGTGTGACCACCACCTCCTTTTTGAGCCCTCTTCGGACGCCCATAAAAACACTGCACATTTCTTTGTGAATTATAATAGTAAGAAACATCTATGCGTTATATCCCGAATTTTCTTGACTCACTCTCAATGGTCTGTAAAGTTAGGTGGATTCAAACATAAAGTGTTTCTTGATAGGAATGATTACAGGACAATGGATAATGTGTCGATAATCAAATATCGTTGAACTCTCGTTTGCGGTATTCAAGAGGAGATAATCCCCTGCATTTATGGCAAAGCAATACATATTTGAATGCTCTACGGAAATTTGAGTTCAATCCATAGTACAGGAACGGATTTATAGTTGAGTTTATCCATCCAAGCCAATGCGTGATCATATTACTAGTGAATGTTGTTTTATAGTTTATAACTGGTCCAATGAGATTGTTTATGAAAAATGGAAACCAGCATATAGAAAATGCACCCATGATGACAGCAAGTGTCACAGCAGCTTTATTTTCACTTGATTTGTATCCTCTCCCATTTTCACTTGATTCTTTCCCTTTGCCCATACCAGATGCAAGTTCCATGGAACGAATTTCATGTGCCTGTTTGTGAGCTACCTTAAAAATTTTGATGTAAACTATTGTCATGAATATAACTGGAATGTAAAATGCAATACATGAACAAACATATGCATACGGTATGTTTACAATAAACATACAGACTGTCCCATCAGGCGGCACCATCGCAGCAAATATGTCCTGGATGCCAATAAGGTTCCATTCCATGAGTATAGGTAAGAATGATATAAAACAAGGTAATGTCCAGCAAACCGTGATCATAACAGCGACTGATTGTTTTGTGATTGTTTCATGGTAGTGTAATGGATTGCAGACACCGAAGTAACGGTCCATTGCCATACAGGATAAATGAAGTATGGAAGATGTGGAGAACAGGACATCAAAACATATTGACAGTTTGCAAACAATATCTCCAAGTGGCCAATATGTATTGTTCACTTGCTGATAAACTCCAAATGGCATAACCAACGCTGCCACGAGCATGTCCGCCACGGCTAATGACACTATAAAATAGTTAGTCATTGTTCTGAGATTCTTAAACAGACAGAAGACGGTGACAACCAACATGTTCCCGAAGAATGTCACAAATATAATGAGGATGAGGAAGAATCCAAGAGCTATACGCTCTGCATCTGAATAGTTAATTGGCGGTCCACCACCACCATCATCGGCTGTTGCATTAGAGTCAGCCGTTGTGCTCATTTTGCTGGCCAACAAGAACGCTGACAAGAACTCAATTATGAATTCAAATAGTAGTTATGTTTGCTCGCATAAGTTAATGAACTTCCTTAATGTGTGACTCTATATTAAAATCAGAATCAATTTTTTTTCTTCACTGTTAGTTATATCCTCTATCTTATTGCAATTATCTTAGTATTTAGCAGATTTCAAAAAATTAAGAATGATATGTTGGTGTGAATATCAACCACTCTCCGCAATCCTTAACTTAAGTCACCTAATGATGAGCTTGTCATCTTCAGTATACGTGATATAAAATAATTTCCGATAAAATATTCATTGTTGTATCATTAATAATAAGTTAATGGATGATACTTAGGTAATAGGGTTTGTGTCTTATAACAAAAGGGTGTTGTTATATTTTTCCAATAATTGGCTTTACCTTAAAAGCTGCCAGTTGCCTAGCAATCCTTTGAGACTGCATTCAGATGATTAAACAATATATCCTAGATGTCAAAAATCATGTTCTGGTACCATTAGTGCTATTACATCACCTTCCTATTTTCTGCGAATAACACTTGTTTTTTATTGTACCTAAAAAAGGTATGATATTGTCATCAGCTTGTTTAATATTCGTTGAATAACCTACAGTACTTATGTCCTTTAACATGATTGTTTCATATGAATAAGTGTAAATATGGTACATGTGAATACTTCAATTATTATAATGGAGATATCCTTTCAAAATTATGTAATGACATGGTGTCTTTTACAATCGGGTAACAAGATTTTCTTCATTGTTTGTTATTAGTCCTATAGGCATAGCATACATTATATATGCTGTACGTAACATTTTGGTATAAATTTAAAATCTAATTTTATTTATTTACAGGAATAATATCTGTGCCAGTTAGTATCAAGATGCCTATGATGTCATCTTTTACTTATGGAAAAGCCCTTGAAGCCAAGGTATAATCATCTAAATAAACATAAGCATGAGGTCATTCAAAGTTAAATATATGTTTGAAATCACCTCCCGTCTACAATTCAGGGATTTGCTTTTCAAAACACAAACAAATATTTTAAGTGCCCAAATATGTACTCGTAATGATTCCAAATGAGAATGAAGCATGAAAATTGTGACCTTAGATCATATTTAATTATTGTAAAAGAAGTTTTCAGAAAACGACATCTATTTCAGCTTCAGTTTTGTCCTCATTAAAAGTTTATTGACAGCTCTCTATGTAAAGTATATTTTCTGTTATTTTGACTGTTGAATATTACAAAATCTAAATAGAAATACAGGTATAATAAATTAAAGGTTTGTTTCATAATTTCTCACCCTCCTAAGATATGGCCTCTCAACATGACGTTAAACATATTATTAAATTTTAATGGCCTGGCCTTAGACATTAATACTTGTAAAGCACCAATATTAATTTCAAATTGTTTGAGTACAGGACAACAACATCAATATGTCATCATTCTGCAAATTAATTAAGGGGATGGACATGAAGTTTTAGGGGTAAACTGAGGCATAATCTCCCTTAATTATGTTGAACTTTCACTTATTCCAGGCTCAGCTGCTGAAAATAATCCAAGACAAACTCAAGGATACGACCACATCAGGGTTTCCTCAGAAGATACAAAATGCCAGGTTCCCGCATGCAAATCTCGCACACAACCATTTACTGCTGTTTACCTCTGCTTTAGTCCCTAAAGCTCTCGCCTCACTACTGACGTCATTTGTTATTGCTGTTAAAAAGGTAATAATAGTCATCTGTTATTGTTCATTTGTTATTTTACTGCAAGCATATAAGCAAGGTTTCCATTTCCTCGCATTCCATTTTAATATTCTCAAATCTCGTCCCTTCATAGACATAGTTTCAAAATGGGTCTTTGTGACCTACTTGACTTAGATAGGCAATTCAAATTGATATTGTACTGTAGATATCATTTATTTATTTACCTCAAGCCAGAGTCTCAATTCATTGATTTTCTGAATGTATGGAAGCAGTTATATGAAAAATAATTATTTAAAGGACAAATTATGAATGTACTATAGTATCTCACCATGACCTACTTTCAATTATATATTTTTCCTCTTTGGAAATTATTTATGTTCTATCGAACTCCAATGCAGTGTCTCGGTATAGACACTGCGGCGGGCAGATTATGGAATCCCCAAAATTTGGGGAAGATAGTCCCCCTTTTTGTCACAGATGTACTTGATTTTCATACAACTTATAAAATATATGTTCTTTTATGTTCACCAATCATTATTTTGTCAAAATATTTCAAAATCATTGAAATATGAGAAGAAATCACCGCGGAAGGAATTCTGAGTAAAAGTTTTGCTGATAATAGTTTACCGCACGTGTTGTTTATTAGTTAATACGCGCAATTCAACCAATGAAATTGTCTAAATTTTACAATCACGCGACCTGAGCATGGGACTAGAACCAATCACGTCAGTTGTTTATCATGAAGTTACCATGCTTACGGTGAGATACCTGCCCGCCGCAGTGATATTATCACTGCACGGGAGTTCGATGTTCTATATGAAATATGTGTAAAATAGGTGTTTCTACATTACTTTTCAGGATGATTTTGATAAAGCAAATTGTGGCTCTACATTCCTTGATTGTCTTTTACTGGAAGTTCAACGTCTGTACCCTCCCTTTGTTGCTGGGAGACGACTAGTCCGAAAGGTATTAAGCATATGATATGACTAGATACATGTGATCGAACATACTTAGATATTTGTGAAGGACCCATCCCATAATAAGCAACCATTACGTTTCACAAATTTCAAGATTGAATAAATTGTGAGAAAAAGATCACAAAGTGCGAAAACAAAGCAAATGAAGGCGTTTGATCCTTGTTTAATTCAGTAAACAAAACTAAAACATCCACATCAAACTACAACTCCATTGCTCCATTGCAACTCTTCAAATTATATTAGGCAATATTTTTACAGCACTGCACATTTTTTATATGGGCACTTTTTTTTAAGCTGGCATTGGGATGGGATTTTCGTTTTTTAGCACGCTCTTATTTTTCAGGAATCTTAAATGAAAGTACATGCACATTACTGTAGCAAGTTATACCTCTCTCAATCACTCTCCATTTCCAATCACAAATTTTGACTTCTCTTGGTTGTGCTTTTTCAGGACTGTGTGGTTGACGGTTACAAACTTCACAAGGGTCAAGCTGCAATGTATATGACAAGGCAAGCCCAGCGTGACCCACAGGCTTTCACAAAACCAGAAGAATTTCTTCCCCAACGCTGGATCAATGCGTGAGTAATTGTTTTTACATAACTTCACCCACTATAGAAGATCCCTGGTCATAAATGTAATATACATTGATAAAAAAGTTACCACATTCACAGTATCACAATACATACGGTAGGTTGTATTTTTTATACATGCACATATTTGATTACAAGTTCGTATATGAAGCCATGATAATTTATAACTGTATGCTTTGTTAAAAATCTTGATACATAAAGAACATGATAGACTATTCCCCATAGCCAGAATTTTCCAAGGGGGGTTCACTTTTCCAAAGATTTCTAGGGGGGGTTCACTTTGGCAAATTTGGCCAAAAATCACTAAAAATAGTCAGAATGGTGAAAAACTGCATGATTTTGAAAGAAATTTTGGCCAGGGTGGGCCGAACCCCCCGAACCCCCCCCCCCCCCCCCCCCCCCCCCCCCCCCCCCCCGGCTACGGGCCTGCTATTTTAGTCATCCATTATGAGAAAATGAATAATTTTGCTAGGTTATCTCGAGTCATATGCAAGGATCTAACTGAATTGGACAAAACCATGCTAAATTGCATCTTGTAAGATAAACAGTAGATAAAAGATAAATTGTTTGGTTTCAGTGAAAAAGATGAACGTAAGAAACTATTTTGTTTTGGAGCTGGACCACGTTGTTGCATTGGACAGAATTTTATATGGAACATCCTCAGGGTATGGATTTCTATTATTTCTGTATTTCACTTATAGAATTGTCATTGTAAATATTTATCACATTCAGTTGTAATGAGTTCTCTGGTGAGATTTTCATCAGGTTGGGCCTTCCTCTAGAGGTGCATCCATTCAGCCGGGGCATAGCAACAGGCATTTGAAGTTGTCGTCCAGATTTCCCATGGTTAAATTGTTCAACATGTTCCTTGTGGTACATTATTTTGAAATTATTTTTTTCAGACTATAACCCAATCTCTACTACGCAAATACACATGGAACATTCCAGAAGGCCAGGACCTCTCCTTTAAATGGCTTCCAGTTTCAAGACCTTCACATGATGTCCTTGCCAATTTTGTCGAACGGTCATGAACATAGCCAGAATTTTAGAATACACGAGGGAAAACGAAGGCATTTAGCCATGTAATGATGATAAACATATTACGTTCACATTTTAAGATGCAAATTGCTTTTACATTGATGCTATACCTTGCCATTATTCAGTAGTTTTCTCAGCTACTATTTCTCACTTGATGCGATGCACTAGAAGTGTACAATATATTTAAATAAATACCCTCTGGTCCAAAAAAATCTGTGCATCGTCATGAAATGCTCATTACTTTTACATATTATACATGGCTAAAAAATGCTTAAATACAAAAGGCAAGTAAAGATTGGTGGAGCTGGCAGGAGAATTATACTAACATACATAGACCATTTAGGACCTAAGTTCTGAGATTAGGTTAGATAGATTTTGGGTTCAAATTTTCTGCGAAAAATATGTAGACTGGTTAGGGGTAATAAAAGGTTGGGTCCCCAGGATCTACTGGTAGAGAGTTCTATATTTTGATGTAAGCATTTACAACTTTGTGGTGTAGAACATGCATATCCATTTACACAATCAGAACATGAGTATACTCTACACACATATTAACATATTTAACTAGTATATGTAAAGTGTACTTTTATTGTATTTTTAATCTTTTAAATGGATGTTTATTGTTATTGCTATTAATGCATTTATCAGATATCTCACATAACAGTCTTGCACAAAGCCACATAAAATGGGAAATTTGATAAAATGAGTCTTTCTCATTTGAACTTCAGTTTCAGACACTTGTTGGAGCTGTGTATCAGCCTGTGTTCTAAACAACGAATTAATGTAAACGTTTTAGTGAATAAATATATTGTTATGTCACCACCAGAAGTGGTGTGGTGACATATTGTAATAGTCTCCAACTTTTTTCTGGACGGCAGTGAGCATCTATTACAAATGGCAGGTGGTGACATTTTGCATGTTAATGCCCTGTTTTATATTGAGGTACAACAGAATTGATCTTGCTTTGTAACATTCAATTTATTGTTGTATTGTTAAACTTCAGCTGTTGAAAATGTGCCATGTTTCTTAAAATTTAACAAACCGTCTGTTGAACAGAAGTATTTTTATAAGAAAATTATACTCAGAGTTATTGTGAAGATGCTTGGACTAGTGCGTCTAATAATGTACATCGAGAAGGATATTGATACTAGCTAACTAGCCTTTGCTATTTTTATCCAACCTGCTTAACAATTTTTTTCAATAATCATTGAACACAATCATTGAACAAGGTCAGCAATTTCTTTATATTCATTAGTTTTGAAAGAATATGAATATTAGAAATATTTGGTATTAGATATATACTAGTAATACAGGGTGGTGCAAAATTTTGTAAAAAATTATTATGCAATGTTTGGGTATTCTCAAAATATAATCTATAATAGGTAGCAGCGTTATCTATATTATTTCTGTGTCTGGAGGTGGTAACACAGGGTTTAAAATGATTCATTTAATTATCCAATATTCAAGTAAATTTTACAGATGTAGCATATGATTGTATGTATCATGTTGAATTTTCAGTAATCTTGTAATATCTTCTTAATACTTGATTTAAATAATAAAGTGTGGTCTGCAAAACAATTGGAAAATACTAAAATCTAGTTTACATTGTTCACCAATCATGACTTCTTTATGTACGATGATGTATTTTTGCATCAGGTATTCACCCATAATAATAAAAATTAAAGGTTATAAATAAAAACAATATATTCATATAAATATATCATATATTTATGTTTATTTTTTTTAATAGTACATTTAATATTTCAATTGCACCATAATAAATGTAATCAACAACTTTCAATGTTCTTAATTCTTACCAGTCTGTTCCCTTTCAAAAAGTTGTTTCTTATCTTTGACATGTATCTTTGAGTTTCAAGGCTATGACATTGACAGGGTTTAAGTCTTACTTCCAAACCTGTATACTCATTTCTCCTGTACAGAGGTTGATGTAACGTCATCTAGGCAATGTCGCCTATTTTAAAGTCAAGTAAATGGAAAAATAAGACACAAGACAACTTTCAAATCCGTGTCCAGACTGGTGAGAGTCAATTGAAAAATCAAATTTATACTTCCAGAGAATAAATGTCTCTGAAACATATCAGAGACACCTTGGATTGAAAGTCTAGTCTTGACTAAAATATAAGCAACATATAATTGCAAATTTTCAAAATTCATGTATAAAGTAATCAACAAAAATGTCCAGTTTTCTCTTAAATTAGTTAGTAATCTACCATCCTCCCTTCCCCTTCTTCTTTTTCTTCTTTTGTCCGCCACCCCCAGGTTTCTGTTGACGGGGTCCCACTGGAGCTGCAGCAGGTGATGGGGTGGGTTGGCTGCCTGGCTTAGGGGAGCCTGCCTCTGTAGCAGTCTGTTGAGCTGTTCTACTCTGATCTAGGTCCCCTGCCGATGTTGTAGCACCTTGTGGTCCCTTACCTGGAACATATCAATGGTTTAGACAGTACAGGTACAAGAAAATTTAGATCTTTTAAGAGACCTCCCTTTAATAATGTAATACTTATATAGTATCGTACGGTATTCCTTTTGAATGATGTTCTAAAATATATCATGGTGCATATGGGAAAATGACTAGTCAGAAAACATGCAGATATATTAACGTTAAAAAACTTTGGGGACAGTGTGTACAAAAGTATGGAACATACCTATATTTTTTGACTTGTACCCTGTGTACAAAAGTATGGAACATACTTATATTTTTGACTTGTACCCTGTGTACAAAAGTATTGAACATACCCACCTATATTTTTTGACTTGTACCCTGTGTACAAAAGAATGGAACATACCTATTTTTTGTCTTGTACCCTTTTTACAGAAGTATGGAACATACCTATATTTTTTGTCTTGTCCTTCCTCCTGCCTCTGTAATATGACCTCTCCTGTCTCTTCAGCCAGCGTTCCGGATCAATTGGATCGTCAAGATTCTTGGGTAGTTTACCTTTCTTTTTCTTCTTTTTCTTTTGAACAAGATCATTTCCAGCTGATCCTCTGTAACATTAAATCAAAACCAATTAATGTTTTTGTAAAAAATAAATATTTCCTGTTTGTCAATGTGACTATTAGTACATAATACTGTATTGTTCATGACAACAAAAAGTTATTCTTTTTTTGCCAGAAAATATATATGAGGGAACCTTCTATTATTTCCTGTATTCTAACTATAAAGGTGAGTATAGTTTTGTAACTTACGGCCTTGGAGAAGTCTGCATGGTGGCTTTTTTCATATAACGTGGTCCTAATGCACTAACTGAGGCCTCCAGGGCTTCTACATCCACATCAGAGGCAACAGCCTTGGGAGATGGCAGATGTTTACTAAGAGCTTGAGCTTTGGACTGGTCAAACTTGGAGTAGGCAGATATCAACTGGGCCAATGTCTTCAAGTCCTTAGGATCATTTCTACAATATTTACAGTAGCTTCTAGATGTTATGTCTTTAAATGTTGAATTTCATGTTCAAGTGAGCTTAGTGTTTCTTGCTCATTAATCAAGTCATGTTTTGGATTGTATGATGCACCCATTTAGCATAGGAGTTAATAAGAGATAAATAGCATCTGTAAAAAATTGACAAGTTTGCCAGATCATTGATTTGCATATAAAGGATTTTGAATTCATAATTCACATGATGTTACTTAATGATCAGCTGATAAATTATCATTATCCTTATGCTTATCAACTACAATGGAAAATAAGACCGAAAGAAATCCATACTTCCTAAGTTCCTCCAAGACTTTAGTGGCAGACTGTGGCTCTCCGTATCTCATTTCAAAGTTTGCAGTGGCCCTCATAATGGCGATATATTCTGGTGATTTGGGTGAGTTGACACCATACCAGGCTACAGCCTTTTGTAGCACCTCAAGAGCTGACTGGTGGTTCTCCTCACTACTGTACAGAGCTACTAGGGTGGACACCTGTACAGAAATAGAAAAAATGATTGCTAGTTTCAACAAGGCATTAACATGCAAAACGTTAAAATTAAAAATGCCAACTGCCAAACACCAACAGCCAAACACCAGCCCCAAAAAGTTAGAGACTCTAACAATATGTAGGTACATAAAAAGGAAAACATTTATTTGGCAAATTGCCAAATTAAACAGAATATCAAAATACACTGAACATGATATTGATTACTTGTTATTGTATGTTTAATACATGTAAATACAATGTAGGTGACAAAATATTCGATGATCACAAAAATAATTCCGAAAATTAAATTCTTTGATTACATTGAACAATTTGTTGGTTGCACTAAATACTTTCTTGATCACACTAATTTTATTTTAGCTATGGAACTTACCACTCCTGGTTTGTATGTATCATCACCAAGAGACTTCAGGACATCACATGCCTGATAGATGTTACCCTGGCTGAGATTCAACTGGGCTAGGATCAGTTTGGTGTTCAGTGAACTATCTGGATATTTCTCAGCACACTCCTATAAAATTAAATAAAAAATTTGACATATATTCATGATTCAAGGAGAAACTTCTTAACAGTTCCTCTTCTGAATGGTTCTTCAAAAATATTGTGAATTATGATATGACCATGAATATGTTATGCAAGAAACATGTAATTAATTACTTCTAAAATTCAATACTGCATTACTTATAACTATATACTTTTAAAGAAGCATTTTAGTCATCTTAATCCATATTTGGAATCTTTAATTAGTATTATACTGTATACACAATGTTTTGTTCGTAATTATATACCTGAAGGCTGGCCAAAGCCTTGTTGATCTGTTTCTCTTTAGCATAGTGTGATGCTAGGATGAGGTAAGGTGAGTCACTCTCTGGGTACTTATCCTGCAGACTGCGCACTGTTTTCCTACACTGGTCTCCCTGATGAGAAAATCAAATTCTAAAGTCAACACATATATGAGTAATTTCATTGAATGTTACTAGGATACATAGGTAGTTAGATACAGCTGTAATCTAGTCATGAATTTCTCATAATCCATTTGAGCTTTTTCTATTTATTGCAATTCAAATCTACACTCATCCTTAATTTGGAATCACAGTATTGGCAAGTCTAAAGAATAATAATGAACTCAAACAGTTGTGAAACTGACCAAACAGCCTTTGATATAATGTACATAAACTGCATCCTTGGATTATTTACTTATTGAGCTTTTAAAAGTACAAGTTTGTACCTGGTTTGTGTACATCAGCAGTAGGGCTTGGTTAATTGCGATCAATTTCCTCTGCTCTGTTGTCAGTTTCTGATGTAACCCATCCGCTGTTGCAACTTTTATCTTCTTCTTGGAGTCAAACACATTCTGCTCTTTGTGTATGGTGACGATATTGTTGGAAGCAACAGCAAGGAGACCCATGTCCGATGGTCTGAAACAAAAAAGAAATAAAATTTAAACATAAATATGGTCACCACCTCACCATGGTAACTATCTTTATTTACATTCTGCAACATATCAATGATGTTAAATGGTTGCATGTACTCTCCTCTGTTTCACCACAGTATTGTACTCACCTCTGTTTCACCACAGTATTGTACACTGTACTCACCTCTGTTTCACCACAGTATTGTACACTGTACTCACCTCTGTTTCACCACAGTATTGTACTCATCTCTGTTTCACCACAGTATTGTACTCATCTCTGTTTCACCACAGTATTGTACTCATCTCTGTTTCACCACAGTATTGTACTCACCTCTGTTTCACCACAGTATTGTACATCTTCATAGCCTCTTCTTCCTTGCCCATCATCTGTAGACAGTAGGCCCTCTGTACCACTACAATCCCCAGTTCCTCATCTATCTCATCTTCTGTCACATCTGGATCATCCTCAAAACTTTCACGACAGAGCGCTGAAAAATTATGAGAGGTTCTAGTGCTCATTCAAATATGAATTTGTCATTTTTGAATGTGAAACTAAATTTGCTTGATTAGGTGTAAAAAGCCCACTTTTGTTGAAATCATGAAAATTAAAAGAGAGAAACAAGTTACAAAGGGGAAAAATTAAATTCATGAATAATTCATAATATCTTTATTTACAAGAATGTTATTATACATACATGGTAAAAAGATAGAAAATATTGTATAAAAGCTCATGAAATAGAGAGTGATGTGTAAAAATGTCCATTACTTATTGATCACCCCCCGTACCTTCAGCTTGTCTCAGCTTTTCTTCAGCCTCCTTATACTTCCCCTTTCCCAAGAGAAGGCAAGCATTATTGTAGCAGAGCTCATATGTATCCTCCTTCAAACCTGGGTCATCCTTTAAAACAAAGGTAATCAGTTTAAGTGAGATGATGGAGTCTAAATTTTATATTATGCGTAGCATAACTGTAATGGAAGTTGTTTTACTTTTTTTAATAAATTAATACAACAGAATAAAGACAGTACAGTTCAAAAATTGATATGGTGTACACATATACTTGATAAAAGAAAATTGCAGCAGGTACACTATTAAAACATACCACATCTTGACCAGTCCAGTTCTGTAAAGCTGCCAAAACAGCTGAGAGATTTGTCTCTCTTTCAGTCTCATAATCATCATTAGAGTTCTTGATGACATCTTTATACACACTAAAGCATTCATCATACTTCTCCAGACGATATAGCTGAAAATACATTGTACAATCATTTGAGAAGTTTTACTTAACTATGAGTGATAAGTGACTATAAGTGCATTTCATTTAAAAAACAGAAAATAATTATTTATGAAAACAGCAAATTGGAAATATTTTTCAAGGATATGGTTGCAAAATTCTACAAAATGATGGGTAATTTTTGTAAAAAGACTAGTACTAGTAGCAAATCCCCTATTGAATGCTGTTAATAAGAACCCTATTTAAAGTATTTACAGAATTCAGCTTTGCTTCTCTCATCAAACTCCTTGGAAATCCATGGCTATAGCCTATAATATGTCTCAACAAAAACTCATTTTTCATTTCAACCGTGTTGAAAGATTTAAAGCTGAATTTTAAATTGCATAATTTGACAATATGGTGTTTGCTAAAGACATGCTCTAGCGTACTTCTTATTCCAAATTAATCTTGAAATGATTCTAACCACTTGAGCTAAGAGTTCTTTTGTCCTTGGTTCAGGGTCTTGAATGCTGTGTATAGTCTTCAGTGCTTCCACTGACTGGTTCAATCTGTACTGGCAATATGCTCGTTCAAACAACAGTCCCCTGGAAAAACAGTGTACATACGCACCTTATTAACAATATTTCATGAAGGAAATAGTTCAATCCAGTGTGTATAGTTTATGTAATTGTTACAATGCAACATAAACCCAGAGAATATTGTTAATAACTTATATTTTAATAAAAAGAAAGTTCTTACTCTGATAGTTTTGATTCTTTGTACATAGCCTTCAGAGCTCCATCAAAGCGTCCCAGTTGGATCATGCATACAATGCGACAGTGAAATGCAGTCTCATCTCTTGGAAGTTCTTGGAGAACTGGAATGATAAAAGTCATAATTGTGAAAAGGGTTTTGACAGGGGCCCAGTAAGTGATATAACAGATTTACTGACTACTAACGCTAACCTCTGTTATCAAATCTAAATCTAATGAATATGAAGACCCACAAATTGGTCCATAAGGAAATGAAAAGTTTATAATGGATCTTTCATTGAAGGACATGTAATCAATGTATTACTATATAGGTATAGATCTATTTAAAACTATAGTCGAGATGTCAGTTATTTTTTGCAGCAAATCATTTGGGTCAATGGTGATCAAATGATTCTGTAGTTCAACGTCGTTAAACTCAATAACGGCGTTCTTTATTATTAGGAATTTTCTTGGGGCCATTATTGAGTTTAACCTCCTTACTATTCTTTCCTTTGATGCAAGTTCTGAATCCATCGAAACCATTTTTCCGCGATAAAGTGCAACTGATACTTGACAATAATATAAAAACACATAACATCAAGCGATTTAACACAATATTATTGTGTTAAATGTTCATTTATACGAGTAAAATGAGGCTACACTTACCAATCTCTAAAGTGACATTTCCGCATGTCTGTCATTGTGTCTGTTCGTCTGAGTGTCCCGGATCGTAAAATTAAACTACCAGCGAAACGAAATTGTTGTCAAATAGATTGATAATTATTATCGCGATTACTCGGGATAAAAAGATCAATTTTGAGGATAACAGGTATCTTTGATTAATTTATATAGCGCGTATATACACGCAAAATAGTTATTAATTGCAAACCAACTGTTCGTTAATGCAGTGCCGTGACGACGGTTAATTCCTGAAACGATTTGCAATTTCGATGTTACCGAAACTGACCGACATTTTCGTCATATTCCAAACCTGTCTCCAATATTTTCGTAATTATGCATCAATAGGGTCTAAGGGGGATACGGGACGGGTGTATGTGTTTATAAGGTATGTATGCATGCTTGAATCACATTCTTTGTGTAATATTGCCATGTTTTCAGGGTTCAATTAGTTCCGCTTGTCGAAACCTGCTGAACGATTAAATTAACGCATCAAAGGCAAAATGGTCATGGAGGTTAGACCTAGCCGGGCCATAACACATGTCAGATAAGAAACGAGGCCTAGGTCTAATGTTGTTGGACTAATGATTCTGCTGCTTGAAAATAAAAACTGAAAATCAAATGAGAAAATAAATCCAGTTGGACAATATGTGCCATTATTTCTACTCTCAAAAGTAATTTACCGGTATGAATATAGTATCAAATGGTGACCTACTTTTGTTAGATAATTTCAAGGATCTTTCCCAGTCTTGGTTCTGTCCATATTTCTGTAATTCAGCCCATAAAGCTGGAATATTTGCTTCTTGGGTTTTCGCCATCTTGAAACGTGGTGGCTCGTTGGAAATTTCAACAAATTCATTTCCGGTACATTACTATAGGGTTTGACACCGAATGATAGTACCTATACTGAATTTTATTCTAATTATAAGTCATGAAAGATACATTCCTGGTACAGACTGTCTCCATGATGTACTTTTTGCATGATTTTTAGCTTTTAAGACAGCTTTTTAACAATGTGTGTGAACACTTTCGGTTTCGTTTAAAAATCCTTTTCAGGCTTGATTAACTGCACTGGGAATCGTGAGGTAGCTAAATAAGAACATATACAATGTTACATGATAGCTAATATTCTTTCTACAATACTCTTTATAGCCCAAAAATACAAATGCATATTTTCTGATAATTTTTTTTCTGATTTTCAACCAATCAGAATCGCTGTTAGAACTTCCAAACTTTTGGTCACGTGACTTGTCTTCAAGAAGTTTTTCTTACTTTTTCTATGATAAAAGTTTCAAATTGAGCTCTGAGATGGCTGGGTGGCTCCCAGTGCACGAGCGGAGCAAGTATGGAGTTGGTGGGTATTTTATTATACTATTTTTACCCGTGTAAATGATAGATGAAGACTCAAAATTGAGGTATAAACATTTTGTAGGAAAGAAAATGTAAACATTTCCTGATTCAGTGATTGTCTTCCTGTCTCTTCTTTCTGCCACCTTGGGGTAACTTTCTACCTTCTGACATTCAAAATAAAGAGTATCTATATTGGCATGAATAAGTTGCCATTTGCGACATGGTGTTTAGTTAGTTTGTTCATAGCCCATGGTTCTTTCGAGTGATCACTGCTGCAATCCGCAGTTCCAAATGCCAAAATGCTGTCCTGTAGTCTCTGTACAGTTGGGGACATAAATAAATGACAGGTGGATTTGCTGAAGTGAGGATTTCCCATGTTAAAAATAAGAGAATTTACAAGAGGCCATACATCAGTGGATGAGATTATACAAAATGTAAAATATACAAATTTTAAGGGATATGTATCTAGACAATATTGGAAATTATGGGCTTTCAGACCACCATAATTAGGAAATGGTGATCGAAAATCGACCTGTCATTTATTTTTGTCCCCAACTGTAGACCAAATACAAGTTGCTCAGACACATGTTATAGCAGATGTAAAATATTCTCTGAACCAACTTCTTCAGAACACTTTGTTTCTTTCCCTGTCACAACATTAGACATATCCGATAAATTGTGCCCTCTCTTGATCCATCAGAGAAACTATAATACATGTATATTGGCTAGATTGATGATGTCATAGGTTATAACATGGGTTTTTCCTGGTCGTACTTTTTCAAAATTAGCAATAAGTTAATCCTATTTTCGCAGAGACAGATTGCTACCTACAACCAATGGTATCATCAATCTTGTCAGGGACATGTCTCTGATCTAGTCAATATATTAAAGTTCCTCTGATGGATCAAAAGATGACACGATTTATCGGAACTATCTATTATTTTTATTTTTCCAAAATGTATCATTTTTGTGATAAAGCTGTAGCAATTTGCATTATCTGTCAATCAAGCCTCAAATGTTCTATAAGCTAGGAAGAATGTTTTTTTGGTAGGACTACAGACCCTATTTGTTTGATAGTTTGTTAAAGAACATAGATTAAGGGGTTTGGATGCAATGGTCTATAGCCTTCCCATTATGGGGCTTTATGTGAAGCATTCTACCCCTAGAAATGATATGCTTATGGACTATGGATGAATGCCCCCACAATTTTTGAAACCTCCATCAACAGGTTGACATTATTTGTAAAGTCTACCCCCCCTTCCTTCTAGAAATAATGAGTGACTATGGATGTAATGATAAAATACCATCCCCCTGAATGATTCTTTTTTTTCATGAACTTCCCCCTCCACTATAGATTTAACATCCATAGCCCTTGAACATGTTTTAATGGGAAAACTTTTCCTTTTTATCGTTAATAAATGTTTTTATAGTAGCATATGAAGATAAATTAATGATTTTTTGAATTAAAAAATGACAATGTTATGTTATATGAGGCCAGTCAAGTTCCATAGTGATGCCTTCAACAATGAACTTATAAATGAGACAATGCTACCACTAAACAACATCTCGTTTCACAAAATCTTTGACAAAATGGAGGACACTTCATATCCAAATGCAGTAAATCATAGATTTTTATCTATTTTAGTGTATGAAATAAGTCCTGGGGAAATTTTGGGAAATTTGAACAGATAGGACTTAAGGTTCAGGGAGTGGCATGGAAATAGAATTAAAACCATGTAGAAAAATCATGTTGGGTGGCATATTTATAATTCACTATGCATAGGTAAATTGGAGGCGGTGGTTTTATAAAGTGACCTTTATGTTTGCAAATCACTAGAGGACTGATAAAAGATGCACTTCTCCCTTTAGAAGATTTTAGTAGTTTGAAATAATATGTGAAGTCGGTTTCTGGGCACTTTTGTCAGGGAAACAACAGTATCAAATATACATGTAAATGTCCAGTATATTACGCCTATGATGCATTTTATTTTTCAGTGATAGCTAACTTCAAAGATAAAGGTTCGCAATGTCTCAATCTAATTATCGGAGAAACAGTTCATATTATGGAGGAAAATGAGGGTGAGTTATCATATAAAGATTGTGCATTTATTTGAATTACCATTTTTCAGGGAGCGTACATGTAACCGCAAGCAAGATTGCTTGGATGTAAAAATGTACTCATAATTAGATACTATACTTTTCTTAATTTGGCGGATGTTTTAATTTGGCCGCCAAATTAAGTAGCCACCAAATTTCCCGATAATTTTGGGATCATGTAAATAAGTATTAGTACTAATTACTAATTAGTATATTGCAAGGCTCCCAAATTAAGTAGTCGTCAAATGTTCAAAACAGCAAATCCACCACAGAAGTAGCGCTAAATTAAGCAGAAGAACAGTATATATTGTCATAAGGGTCTTACAATTTTTATTCTTTATTCCATAGGCTCTATTGAAAGGTCATGTTTATTCTTTGCTTATAGGACAGTTCATTCAAAAATTTCATCACATTTGATATTTACAATATTATTTCTTTGTGAATTTTGCTGATATTTAGTCATAGTTAGACTTTACATCTCCTAATTTTATCATCATCACATCATGTACATATTGTATCTGTTTACTGTTTTGATTTGTCAATCTTGCTTTTAGATTGGTACAGAGGATTCAATCCGAAAGATAGGTCAAAGAAAGGTATTTTCCCCAAAAGTTACGTCCTGATAAAAGAGGCGATTATCACAAAAACTGGGTGAGTACACTTATTTATAGCGATCTGATACAGTAGATACATTAATCATTGTACTGTACATGTATAAATGCATTATTATTATTGTATAGATGTATAGATATATTGTACGGAATGTATAGATGCCCATTTGATATATTAAACATGGAGGATTGTTTACTTAATTGATTATTCTGGAACTGGAAATTAATGATTACTAGTAGATATTTTTTATGTTATTGCTGGCTTTATTACTTCCTGTGATATTTTATTATGTACTTTCATGCAATTACACTTCTACTTATATTCAATTCAGTCCAATAATATCCTATTGAAATACAGTAGAACCTGTGTTAGTCGAACACCCTTGGGACCACAAAAAAGTGTTCCACTCGTGAGGTGTTCCACTTACAGAGGTGTTCCACTTAGCAGGATCTACTGTATATGGTTTCTCTAATCTCATAGACCTTATTTTGTAATCTTGGCCATATTTGATTAAGAAATTCTTTCTCTCTGTGCTATGATGAATCAACGTGCGATTTGATTTCAGAACATATGATCGTATATATGGTAAGCTCATGATATTAATTAATGATTTGATTTCAGAACATATGATCGTATTACTCCCAAGGAGCCCCCTATTGTCCAAGAGATCACATCAGTGTTGCGAGAATGGGGCCATATATGGAAAAATCAATATATGGTAAGATAATTATATTATTGTTGGTAACCATGGTAGAAGCGTATATGATTTCCCAGTATGGCACAATTGGGAATTGGGTCCAAATTTCTTAGATTAGTTCATATCATAACTGACCCAATTATTCATTCTGCACCCAAGCCAGGGGGTTTGATGCATTTGCCCACATGGTGGAGGTAATAACCAGAGTCAAGGGATTGGCATGTGGCACCAAACTCTAACATAATCATAACTCTTAGTTATGTATGGATTTAAACAGATCAGTCAAAATACACCCTTAACTCTCAACTTCAAAATCATATTAGAACAGACCTGGGGAGGTGTTTCTATATACTCTATACCTACAGCATTACAGTTTTCAGCAGAACTCTCGCAACATTTTGTGATCATGTATTCCCATGTGGGTTTTAATGTTATTTTTTAATATCTTCGTAGCTTCAGTGGTTATGGTTTATTCATTGCATTGCTTTAACATAAAATTATATTTTCCAGAATTCGGAAGCCAACTCAGAGTTTGAGAACTTGAAGCGCATGATGTTAGAGTTGATCGATTACAGACGGAGGATTATGTCCAAGAAACTCACTCTGGTATGTCTTGTTAAAATATATTATAATTTTATCATCAATATTTATGCTAATTTTTTCAAGACAGTAATTGAATAGTCAAATGATTCAAAAATATCTTTTAACACATAGACCAATATAATTTTTTCCTTTAGGATGAGATGAAAGAAGCTAAAAGGAAAGTGACATCTAAAATTGACATGGGCAATGCGTAAGTACAGTCCTATATAAGACTTGGTGACCTCATTAAGTGATTGAAAAAGCTAGAAAATCTTTATGAATATCCAACAAAATATGCAGGATATTTCGTTACATTAGTATTTCACATAAGAGGTTGTCTAAAAATTGAATAACAAAATATTTTCTTTTGAAATTCTCTTTTTCAATTAGCAGAAGTTTTTTTAAGTTTGTACTGATGAGATCTCAGCCTTGAACAATAAAAAGTTTTTGATTTTAGAACAATTCATGATTTATTGGACAACTCTCGTATAACTGATTCTGTTATAGACTACTTGGCCTTGACCTTGTTATACGAGATGAAGATGGGAACATATTGGTGCCTTCAACCACAAGTGCAATAAGCATGTATAGACAGGTAAATACAAAAGCACAACTACCATAAGAAATATAAGAAGCTAACATGCATATAAAGAATGAGTATCTTGGAATAAAGGTAATGAACACCTAAAAATGTATTCCAATAAAAAAATGCAGCTACTTTTCAATATCTAAAACACAAAATCTCAAGTTGAAAAATAAAAATCTCAAAATCAAGCCAATAGATTGAGAAAAAAAGAGAATAAACAATCAAGACACTTATGTTAATTTCATAAAATGTATTGCAGTTGTCTAATTGGATGTGCTGCTTCTTCATCTATGTAATTTTATTTTAGCATGTTAAAGCAACTGAACGGATACAGACTGCTCGCCAAGCAGTTTCGGCACGGCGTAAAATCAAATCCAAGTACTCATTCAACCTATATGTCAATGTAAAGAACTTCGTGTGTCGTATCGGAGAGGACAGTGACGTGTTGATGACACTTTATGATGCAAAAAACAGCTGCTTTCTAAGGTGAGTGGCATCATTAATTAATTTATGAATTAGATATGATGGTCACATTTTTTTCATGAATGAATAATAGAAATATTCTAGGTCTGGGAAATAGTTCATATTTCAGACCTTATTGATTAATTTAAAATGTGAATTGTTGCCAGTTTTATCAGTATTTGCACACAAAAATGTGATTCTTTTTATTTTAAGTGAGAACTATCTGATAGAGTGGGGGCCTCAAGGGATGCCCAGGGATATCAAAATGTTGGACAATTTACGTGTCCTCTTTACAGTAAGTAAAGTCTTGTACAGATCTTTGTAGGTTATCACTTTGTTAAGATCGAAATATTGTCAGATTTGATTTGTTGTGATATTTCTTCATGCTAATGCCTTTTTTCTTAAATAAAGGACCTTGGTAGTAAGGATGCACAGAGGGAGCGTGTCTACTTAATCTGCCAGGTGATCAGGATAGGTACGATGGATATGAAAGATGCGGACACTAAGAAACTTACTAAAGGCCTACGAAGAGCCTTTGGTGTAGCAGGTACTTTTTATTATGAATTGTTTTTTAAATTGCTGTGTCAAAAGTGGGGATTGAGGTGAAAATTAGGACTACTGTTGTATTCTTACAGCAGATTTTGAATTCATAGCTATATCTGTACTTAGGTCAGTGTGTACTTTGAGCAAATTTCTTGACCATGTTCTACTTTCAGATAAACATAACTCATTCCACACATGGTCTACATCTTTTATTAATTGAGGGTTGATATTTTTTAGAATGTATGAATAACTAGAATATTCAGTTGTCTACTTTTCAAAATTGCAAAAAATCCAAAGTACACACTAACCTAATGTCAGACCTTCAAATGTTTATCAACACTAGTCATCATTACTATTATATTGTTGATTACTGTATTTGATTTAAAAACAAGTATATCTTCATGCACATTGTAAATGGTGTTTCCGGTTTTTATCATGAAATGGTTTGATAATTGCAGCCATGGATGTCACAGATATTATGCGTAGTGAAAATGAAATTGATGATGACAAGCAGCATTTTATACCATTTTTGCCGTGAGTTTAATACTTTGCTTATAATGTAGTTTAGTTTTTAAATCGATAGCTATTTGTATACATCTCAAGGCGTATTGCCTTCATCATCTTCTCCAGTCATAGTCATGGGCATAGCGCCCGGTACGCTGGGTAGGCACAGGCGTACCAAACGGTTGCAAATCCTCTCCAAATACAACCAAATTCCAAAATTTTCCTGGGGGAGAACCCCCAAACCCCTTGAATGCTCGTTTTTTGATTCACTCAACTCTTGTTCCTGTGGTGGTGGCGTACTACTTAGAAAAATAGCGCTACGCCCATGATAGTTTAACAACGATAATTATTGCAATGATCCAATTGTGCATGTGGCAATGTATTTTAGGTGTGGTGACAAGGAGTCTCTTGACTCTGCTATCAAGCGTGCACTTGGGGGTAAGGAGATTAACCATAAGAGTCAAGGACTCTGGGTTACATTAAGAAAACTACATGGCGACATTAAACAGGTAAATTTTATTTGGAAATAAATTCTTAAATTCAACTGAAACCAAAGTAATCAAAGCGTTCCAGTAAAAATAAACAAAACCAATGTTGTAAGAATCATAGGTTTTGACATTTATTTGAGTCAGGTCTATACTGAATTAAGCGGAAGCATTAAGTGAAAAAATCATGTTGGTCAGCTCAGCTGGAACTGAGGCCTCTGTGTTAACTGCCTCTTCCATTTCTTTATATTGGTAACTCATTTAGTATGTTCTTTTCAGGTGCGAGAGGATTTCCCACATCTTTTAGGCAGTGCTACTACTATAGCCAGAAAAATGGGCTTCCCTGAAGTGATTCTTCCAAGTAAGATATCTCTTTAAAAAGAAAACATTTAAAGGTCTCATATCAAGTTTGAACCACTTTGGCGCATATTGTAGTCTTACATCTTACTTTGCATGGGGCCTTTAAGAATCGTAATGGAAAGTGACTTTGAGCAATACTTCAATATGCAAAATCATTTTTTCATCAACAAAAGGAAAAAAAATCATACAGAACTATCCTTTTCTCAATTCATATGACCATGGAACTTATAGTAAACAAGAATAGACTAGATGCAAGTAGAAATTATCTTGATTTTCAATAGATATTTAAAATTTAGTCAAAGTGATCATATTTGAAATCCATATTTGAAATTACATCAGAGATATGGTTTTAAATATATATTGTGACATCTAGGTCGGGTAGATTTCCCATAGACCCCCTGTTATGTTTTATTGACATCATGCCAATAAGATGAAATACATGACAACAGTATCCATACATAAAAAACTTGAATTCTGATAGCAAAATGTTTGTTGCATAATGCAATGGAACAGTTCAGGTGAAAAAGGCATGACAAGAGAGGATTTAATTATGGGTTTATCATTGCAGGTGATGTACGGAATGATCTGTATGTAACAATAAATATTGGAGAGTTTATACGTGGTGCTAAAACTGCTGATAAGAATGTCCAAGTGACGATGACTGTCTGTAATGACGATGGTAAAGCATTACCAGTAAGAGGAACCATTTATTTGAAAGACTAAAATACAACATAGAGTTAAACCTAAAATATGACAATCTATATTTCATATGGTTTATAACTATAATTAGTCATCTCTTTAGAGAATGAGAACATAATAAAAAATACACTTTCAACAAAGGTGTCAGAATGGTGAATTTAGCCCTAACTAAAATAGAATATTATCTTGATATGTTTAGAAAGTGATCTGTGTGGGAGGGGGCAGTGAGCTGTTAACTGAATATAGATCTGTTGTATATTACCATGAAGACAAACCTCGCTGGTATGAAACAGTCAAGGTTAGTATGTACATTATTATTCTAATATAGTTGAATGACCAAATAATATCATAGTTATTATTTTCATTGTTATTCACTTATTAAAATAACATAAACATATTTACAAAACAATGATATAGACACCCCATGTAAATGGCTTATCATAAATATCACATGTATTTTGAAATGCTTTGTAAAGATTTTTAGTTACCCTGAGGAATAAAAAGAACATCTTAAAAGTATCCTGATTAAACCATATAAGTTTTTTCTTCATTCTAGGTGTCAATAACAATAGAGGAATTCTACAAGTCCCACCTGAAGTTTACATTTAAACATAGATCCTCATCAGACAGTAAGTACATGTGCACTTAAATCTCATTCCTCCAATCTATTTCCTATTATCCCAAGTTTTAGACTATTACTTAAGTCATTCATTGTAACAGGAAAGAACTATCCATCAGATCTATCTACTGTATTTAGAAAACGGTTCAAGTTCAGAAATTAGAGAAAAATGAAATGGTATTTTGCAAACAAATGAAGAGATTAAATCTGTTTAATTGAGAACAATTTAATTTCATGATCAGAATTTCTAATTTTGTTATTTTTGTTGCAGATAAAGACAAAGGTGAAAGACCATTTGAAATGGCATTTGTTCGTCTCATGCAAGACAATGGCACCACACTTAGTGATAGCATACATAACTTATTAGTCTACCAGGTAAATCAATTGAAGGTTTCTTATACAGTACTTAGCTTAGCATAAACAATGCTGTAACAAAAATCCCTCCAAAAATGTTCAGAAATTTACTCATTGAATGATTGGATTTTTGAATTAAATCTGTTTGCTCAAATTCATATCAATATCTAGTTTTTATTTATATGAATAAAAAGTGCATTGTTGATCAATAGGAATCTGCATAGATGGAGTTGAGGAAAACACTTGAAATTGTACAGACATGTGAAAAAAATCATTGAAATTTATGGATGAATTTCAGATTGACTCTAAAAAAGCTGACACCACAAACATATACCTGAATCTTCCTGCCACAAAGGTTGACCTTGAAAGGTCAGGTCAACTAAAAGAGACCCCTTATAATAAAGTAAAGATCCATGCAGGACCTCTGTCAATCAACACTAAAGATAGTTTTAGTATATCAACTCTGGTTTGCTCAACTAAGCTCACGCATAATGGTAAGTTCATATTGTTGTAGATTGTCAAATGTCTAAATGCGCTGGAGTAGAAAGTTAGTACAACAGCGTGTACCGGATAAATCCCCTAATTTATAGCAAGTTTCTAAAAATGAAATGAAATGGCTGTAATACTATAAATGCCGATTTGTAAATCAAGTTCAGTTTAATCACTTAGACTTGGCATTTGGAGAAAACTTTTTCATCCAAGTGTAGAATACACTCGGGAGAATACAGTTTGCTATTCTATGTGTAAATTACGCAAAGACTATTTGCATTGCATATTTATTACTGTTCTAGTTGACTTGATGGGGTTGCTGAAATGGAGAGAAAAGACCGGGACGAGTGGACTGAAGAACTATCTCCTTGCTCTGATGAAGGTGGACGGGGAAGAAGTAGTCAAGGTCAGTCTCTTTTGAAGGTCACTTTCCTTAAAAAGAAAGAAGATATTCTTGATCTCGGTGCCCTAAATTGGAGAATGGTTTGAGACAATCCTTTGATATTATCCAATCAGAATGCTGTGAATCAAAATCCAGTTAACCAAACAAAATATCAGAACACATCAGTACACAGATTTTTGGATTTCATTAATTTTTTGTCATTTAGATTCATCAGTATCAAAACTGCACACTTATTTCTCTTACTTAAAACTTAATTACTGCCACTCAGGGTATTTTTTATGGACAGTTTGAATTTGAAAAAACATTGAAATTTTGATTCCATTTACCTCATGAATACATTTAGCAGTCTCATATGAATCACTCAACTTTTTGCAGTTCCTCCAAGATGTCCTAGATGAGCAGTTCAGTATTCTTATGCAGAATTCGGAGAAAGACACCTATGACTATCTAGTGTTCGATGCTCTGGTGAGATACCTATCATATGTTCATCATTGGATGGCAATGATGTAAATGTGATGAGCCTAAAATGCTCCTTCATATTTGATACCTCATGGCATATATGCCTACATAAGCCCAGTTAAAGACCATTTTTGAGTGTCAAGTTGGACTGTAATTACACTACCAGAAGTAGTGACATATTGTTGTTATGGTCTCATATTCTTTATGGATTGTGTTCAGTGGAGAGCGTTCAGAGTTCAACATCTGTAACAATTTGCAATAACTTACACGGTGGTAACATTTTGTCATGCTAATGCCTTGTTTTCATAAATTTTCCATATTCTATATTGAATTGTTATATTCTGCAGATCTTCATCATTGGTTTGATAGCTGAGCGGAAGTACCAACAATTCAGTGAAGTCCTTAATGTCTATATCAAAGAGAACTTTAGCGCCACACTTGCCTACAAGTAAGTTAAAGGGCACTATTTTCACAAAGGCCATCCTATGTTTAAGTGAATGAATATAATTAAGTTGATTGCATTGTTTTCTGATCATTTGTTCCATAATATGAGCCTTGACAGAGGAAAACCGGTGTTATCACAAAAATTAAAATTGTGTAACAGAGCCAAAAATGTGCCCAAGATTAAAAGGAAAATGTGCTAAATTCAAATCTGTCTTTTTGGTCTGTATCTGCAAAGAAAAATTGTTAAGATGTAAGCCATGGCTAATTTGAAAGATCTCTTTGTGCTTTTTAGACAAGAAAAATCAAGATATTGAAAAGATCTGTGATAAGATCCATTTTCCTGTGTACCTGGCATATATATTGTTCAATTGATCAATGGCCTTTTTAATGATCTTAAGGTCTGTCCATAAATTGCATTAATCTCCGTGAGTTCAATTGTGTACATTAAAAGAAGTAGGTATTCAAGAATGATACCATCGATAATATAATATAAACCAGTTGATATTGAATCTTCCATAATGTAAGTACAGAGTAGTAAAGTAAAAGACCTTGATGAGTCTACATGTATATAACATATATTAGCACCAATCAATGATTGTTTTCTTTATTCTTCACCAGAAAGCTGATGACTGTGCTGAAATCATACGTAGATAAAGTTCAAGACAGGAAGAATCATGATGTTCTGTATAAGTCCATGAAGGCTCTAGAATACATCTTCAAGTTCATTATTCGCTCCAGATCACTTTTTGCATCGTATGTACATGTTCACATGTTCTTCATGTATTATATTTAAATTTATATCTTTATTTCCATGTTACTTCATAGTTAGAACATTGATACGTTATACATGTATATCCCAAATTAAAAGAGAAATAAAAAATAATATTTCTAATTTATATTTGACAACTCAACGCCATAAAGATTGTAATAAATAGAGAATTAGGAAAAATAGTTGGACACAAATTCAATGATTTGTTCCTATTCTCCATTAGTGTATTGTGTGTGTCTTTATTTCATTGAGTGTATTCTCTTTCATTGAGTGTATTTCCATTTCAATGATTGTATTTCTGTAGATTGAGTAGCAACCAAGATCAGAAAGAGTTTGAGGCGTCTTTGGGTGAACTGTTTGAATCACTGACCAACATGATGAAATTCAAAGCAGACAATACTCTTTTAGTCCAGGTAAATAAAATAATCAATGTGAAAGGTTTCTTTACATGTTGTGTTGTGATTTAAGAACCATGGTGAACTAAAAGCCTAAACTTGTTATTAACATGTTTTTGCAACTCGTTTTGCAACAATTTGTTGCCTTATTCGGGCTAATAAAAGCTAATAAAAAACAAATAATTCTTAGAGTATTCTACATTTCCGATACCATACCACTAATAAATACGACTACAGTGTATATTAAACTCTACATTACAACAATCCAGTAAATCATGCCACCTATTAGTTATGTTGTGAAATCTTCTTTCAGTTTTGTTATGTAAACCTACATTGCTGCCTTCAAACATCATACGTATATCCAGCCACTATAACCTAGTTTCTTTTGTTTGCCAATAGGGGTCAGGATTGATCTGAAAGTTCGACTGAGGATTAAAGTGATTTATACTTTTTGTTTATAGGGGGCAGCACTGAAGTACCTTCCCTCGACATTGTCTGATCTCATGACTGTGTGTGACAAACGGGAATTGAGGTTAGAATTTTAATTCTCAATTGTATTTGTGAATGAAATGAAAAACTGATAATCTAGTTGTACAGAGTGAGACAATGAAATTGACCCCTTTAACTAATTACTGCATTATAATATATTTACTACAATATTATTTACTATATTGGAAAGGCAATTTAGTTTCAAACACCATGATATGTATTCAATACATATGGATTAATATGGACAAGAATACAGTTTGTGTAATACAATAGGGGTCATTTACTTTGAATGTGTATTTATGTTTAAATGAGTGTCTCTGAATCGGAATTTACGTTTCAATGAGTGTCATTGAATGAATATTTTTTTGGAATGAGTGTCTTTGAATGTATATTTTCTGTTTTTACGAGTTTCTCATAACAAGTGCTTATGTTTAAATAAGTGTATTTATGTTTAACTGAGTTGTTTTGTTTCAGCAATATGCTGGTGAGGTTCATACAGACTGTCCCCGCTGATAGACTTACCAAGCAGAAAATGTTATGTTTGAATGATATTGTGCACAGTGACATCTTTCTAGACCCAGGTATAAGATATAAATCTTATAAATCAAGTAACATCACAGAAGTTGCATCGTTGCAGGGAATCTATTCTCTTGTTAATCCTGCTGAGTCTCTAAGATCATATTAGTCATGTAGCAATGAATTCTTGAAACTCGGGAAGACAGTAATTTGTAGAGGTGTCACAGATACCCGATTTTGTTCCGATCCACGGAATTATGCCCTCGGAACGGAACACGGAACAAAAATTAAGAATTTCGGTTCGGTTCCGGAACAAGAACATTTTACCCTTTCACATTTTCTGGCCCTTGAATCGCCACAAAACAGCATTTTTCTTTCAATATTTTGTTTCAAAAGAGGTTCATTCCTCTTACTCCTTCTCTTTGAAGAGTTTTGAAGAGCTTTTTGCTACCAAATAGACCTAGATGATCAGATTATTTTAATCTAATACATGCAGTCACTCTGTTCCTAACCGTTCCAAATTATTCCGTTCTGAAGCAAAATGTTCCGAACCGAACCGTTCCGATTTTTTTTGTTCCGTGACATCTCTAGTAATTTGATAATGTTTGATGGAGGAATTAACCCCAGATATTGTGATATCTCAGATCATTTTTGCTTCAGTGTCTGAAACCATTTTTACACTCAATGACGTCAATGCCTTGTTTTTCAAGATTGTCGGGATATTTTGCTGCCAGTGATGTGCGAGAACATAAAGCATCTACTTGAGAGAGGTTTTGAGTTGGATGTCTGCGTTGTTATCATGTCAGACATATTGGAGGTTTTACATGTGAAAGATGCAGTAAGTTGTTATTCAGTTTTTAAGTACCACTAGTATTTTTTATTTCAGAAAGTTTGGTCCAGTTAAATAAATGGACATTGATTACATTATGTTTCTGTTTCAATATATGCTTGGTAGTATTCTGATTGAACAATATTTTCAAACTTTGCATATAATCTTTAAAATACTCAATATATGTTATCCCATGCAAGACAATGTTATCCCATGCTAGGCAATGTTATCCCATGCCAGGCAATGTTATCTATGGTAAGCAATGTTATTCCATGTTATGAATGTCATTTCATGTTAGGGAATGTTATTCCATGCCGGGTAATGTTATTCCATGTAAGTGAATGTTATTCCATGCCAGGTAATGTTATTCCATGTTAGGGAATATCATTCCATGCCAGGGAATGTTATTCCATGTTAAGGAATGTTATTGCATGCCAGGGAATGTTATTCCATGTTAGGGAATGTTATTCCATGCCAGGGAATGTTATTCCATGCCAGGGAATGTTATTCCATACCAGGGAATGTTATTCCATGCCAGGCAATGTTATCTATGGTAAGCAATGTTATTCCATGTTATGAATGTTATTTCATGTTAGGGAATGTTATTCCATGCCAGGTTTTTTATCCCATGCCAAGCAATGTTATTTCATGCTAGGCAATATTATACCATGTTGGGGAATGTTATCCCATGCTTGGCAATGTTATTCCATGCCAGGCAATGTTATTCTATGCTAGGCAATGTTATCCCATGCTTGGCCATGTTATCCCATACTAGGCAATTTTATTCTATGTAAGGGAATGTTATTCCAGGGCCCCACTGACAAAGATATAACAATGTTGGTGCTTGCTGTTATGAGAACAGTCATACAAACAGTCATACATATGAACAGGAATTCACCACTCATAGTAAGTGATTTTAATTGTGAATATCTTATTCCCCTCTTTATAGTTGCAGATCCCTTCCTTTTCAATATTAAACCACATTATTTGTATTATATCTGTATCAAAACAAGACACAAAAAAAAGTAAATAAGAGATCGTAAATTCATAATTAGGAATTTTATTTTTTAGAACCTAAAGCGGTTTTTAATAATTATGAATACTACTTTGTTGATTGTATCGCAAGCGAAATATTCCGATATTCCCCTTAGTAAAATTAACTTACTTATCCCAACTTTGCCTATTGTTCCACATTTTATGGTTGGTTGTTTAATGTAAACTAGTTCCCCCATTTGGTTAAATATTGAAATGTGAAATCTAAAGAGTTTTTTTAATTATTCTATATTTTTTACTCTGTAGGCCAAAAATTATTTTTAAAACATGCAGTTTATTACCATTCTGAGCATTTTTCCAGTTGGCAAATCTGAACCCCTCTCTGGATTTTTTTGAAAAGTGAACCCCTTGACAAAACCTTGCCAAGGGTCTGATCTGTCATTTATCTCAAAAACAACTATTTCCAGGGCAACTATGTAGCAGTGACTATTGGTATGCTACGCCAGATGAAAGAAACACATTATTTGCAATATGTCAACAACTTCCCAACAAACCTTGACTTGTTAGACTTCCTTATGGAGATACTGATGGTGTTCCGGGATCTAGTGGATAAAAACTGCTACCCCTCTGACTGGAGCGATATGGTCATGATGGAAAATAGGTCAGTCAATATTTTATGTCACTACCATGAAGTTTTAATTTTCAAACATATTTTCTAATTCTGATAAATCATGGCTTTTCCTTGGAAATCTTAGGATTGTGCGAATTTACCAACATTTTATTTGGATAAATAATCTGAAAATTTATCTTGATGATATTTGTCCGAGGAGTCATGAAGCCATTTCTGTCAGGAAATTACACAGGGGATTTTATAGTTTACAACAGTGAACTCAAATATAGAATATTTCTTTTGTTAAGTCATACACGTCTGTGCAAAAACTTGTAAAATCCTTATCATGGCTTATATGGATCAAGTATAGTCAAATGTTTTCTTTGATGGTTATAGTTAAATCAGCCATTTGGCTACAGATTGATGAATGAGTTTATTCTTTATTTTTCAATATTATTAACAGTGCTAATTATTATGCTTGGACTCTTGGACCTCTAAGGAAATAGGTATTGCAAGGAGTGTAAGATTGCGAGGAGAGTTGACTCATTTTCCAATAAATTAACTTCAAAACATCTCATACATTTTCCCCCCTTCTGAAAACCTGATTTTTATTAAACTAACAGGATATGAATTATGAAGAACAATAGGGCCACGTTTATTACTCTAGTTAATTATATACAATTAATATACAATATGCAATTAATTAATAAACACTATGTTTTATTAGATTCTATAGGTATAATCTTCAAACATCTGTTGCACTAATTTTTTGCAGATGTTGTTTTTACTATACCAATATTTTCTATACTGCCGTTATATGAATAGTGAATACTTTGCGACTTAAAATATTTTTAATAAGAAAGTTTTGCCTAGTTTAAGTAATTATAAGTTTTTAAGAGAAGAGTTTCCCTTGAAAATTCATAATAGTTTATATCAAAATTATACAGGGTGGACCAAAAAATGGGACACTCATACTTCATAAATTAATATTGATTTATTGATGAAAAAATGTCATATTATATACCAATGGATAGGGTAAGGTACAAATGATGTCATTTTCGTTTAAAAATGGTTTTTCCAAAACTTGCAAAAACCAAGTTTTTTTCTCAATTTTATTTATTAAACATATGTTCAATATGTCCACCATTTTTATCAACTGTAGCCTTCTATCTTGGCCTAAACTGGTCAATAGCATCATTGATATGCTGTTGAGACAATGAATTCATATTCTCAACAGTTCTGTCCTCAAGGGACTGAATAGATGTAAGGGTGCGCGCGCAGATTGACATGGGCACTGTGTTCATTTTGATACAAAATAAGTGATGGCTAATCCAGGTTTTATCGTACATAAAATTTTTATATTCTATCATAGGGTTGTCTTTTTGCTGGTTTATAATCCTATTTCAAATTGTTATTAAAGATCAGTTTTCAATTTTTTTTAATTGGTTAATAATCAATTCTTTTCGATTCAGAGTCCCGTTTCTATTATTGTGGTTGCTGTAGGCTTCCAATGCCCCTTTGGAAGATTCGCTACTAGATCAGGCATTGACCTAGATGTGCTTTCATCATCTTCAGTTTCATCATCCCCACTACTGTCAGACTCTATCATGAAAGTCTTTGGTCTCTCAAGTGGTCTGTAAGCTGAGAATGCTCTACTTTGACCACTTTCCAGCATCTTAACATTGTCATAGTTCTTGTAACGAGATCCCTGTCGATTTGTTGAATTTCGCACATTGTTTTCATCATCGTGGCGGAATGAACTACATCTAGAGCCGAGGATTATTGCCTTAGGTGTCTGGGTTTTATTTTTGAGAGAGTGATACATGTTGTCTTTTATTGGTTTCAGAGGTTTAAGAGGTCTTCTTTTCCAGCTCTGAGCATTATTTTCTTCTTCAAGGATTTGTTTCTGGCGCTCCTTTCTTTGTTTTTCGATAAATAAGTCCAGGTTTGTGACTGTCGGGGCAATAACTGAGGCTGGAGCCTGAGGGGTAAGAAGCTTGGGAGGGGCTGGAGCTTGTCTTTTCTGCATGGAAGGTGGTTTTGGTGCCCGACGTTTCTTTCTTAACCCAGTATTGAGGCTAGTTACAGAGGAAACACGGTGCAAAGTGGGGCTCATCGTTACACTCAACATTGGCCTGGGTATCATTGGTTTTGGTGCCTCTGATGTATTCGCTTGCTTCGAAGAATCCCTGAGTCGATTACTCAACAGATCACTTTTGGTGATAGAACTGTCAGATAACAATCTATGCTTATATAAAGGCCATCCTGGGGGTTCACTTTTACTACTCCGTCCTGAGCTCCGCTCTACTGATAGCTTAGAGCCAATCAGGTGGATTTCTTCCTGAGATACTGAATGTCTGATGTTATGTCTCAATAATGCCCCTGTCGTAATATTATTGATATTATGTCCATTTGTTGATGTGTTTGATTGTGCTGTATGTTGAGGATGATGTGGCTCTACTAAAGGTGATTTAGATTCTTGATGTCCCCGGGGTTGCTTTGTTTGTTGTTTTGCTCTTTGTGTCGTATTGTGGTTGTAAAGTTGTCTGGATTCGGTTGCATGGTTTGTTATACGTGCCATATCATCTCTTGTTAGTCGAGGTAGGTTTGGAGGGGGGTAACCCGGAACGGACCTTGAGTCGGGGTTACAGAGAGACATTGTCGAATGAGCTCTGAGGGTGAAGTTAGATTTAAAGCCTGTTAGTTCAATTGTAGAATTCCTGTGTTCTTGATTAATGTCACTTGTCGCAAGTGAGTCGATTTTACGAAGGTATGTTTTCTTGGGAAGAAAACTCTGTCGATCTTTAACAGTAGATTTATCATTCCTCAAAAGTTTTTCTTGGATGTTGGATTCAACATGACGTTTAAACATGGCGGAATGAACCTCATTGTGGATTTGTTTTCTTGTACGCCCAGCAACTACTGCTTCTTCTAGTTTACGTGCCCATTCATTAGCATCATATTTTGTCGCCTTTAGGTCCATCTTGGTGCCATCTTCCAAATGTATGGTCAAATACTTGTGTCGTTTTGCGAGAGGATTCGATATATGTCTTATCAAATGTAAATCTATTTTCAATTTGGGATCTAAACCATTCATAAAATCAGTCTCTTTATTGTAGGTCAATAAGCAAAATCGACTAAGCACAAAATGTCTCAATTTCCATTTCTTCCTCAACCAGCCTTGTTTAGTCTTCTCCCATAGGGTACCAGAGCGGATGATTTGAGAATCATCTTTTCCACGAATTATCGACATTGACATATCTTCCGTTGATACATTGTTGTATTTTGCTAATGTCAAGTACTGGAAAAATAATCTCCCTTTGTCTATCGTATTATCAAATGCCTTTGTTAATCCTGACATTTTTGTTTGTCACAGATTTGGTATTTTTGCTCGTAGTTGTTCAAAGTTAGAATGTTCGATATTTTGCTGCAATATGCATACTCGGTAGAGAATTCAATGCCGTTAGCAAATGACTGACAATAGCCAATTAAGGCGAATGGTAATTTATGAATATTAATTAATGTCAGACGTATTTCATAATGATGAGTTGAGAGTCTTAATTAATTCTACAGACTGAGTTAATTTATACACCCTGGACAACTTAATTCAAAGTGAATGTATAATACAAGGTTTGTAATGACATTCCTGTGCTTTTGAAAACCTCAAACCTATGAAATCCAAGTAGATTGAATGTGATCAATTTAAAATGCAAATCAGTCACAATGCATAGAATAAGCAAAAGGCTCATAGCAATAAGGGTTGAAGTCCACTCACTGAACATTACTCATATCCAAGAAAGTGTCACGGGGGGAGGGAGGAACATAAAATAAGTTCTGCATATTTTTTGCAATTCATCCAATTCATCTATTTTTTATTTAATTTATTCATGTTCACTCATTAATTTTTTTTAGAATTTTTCACATTATTCTGCAAAATTATGCAGGAATGAAGATCTAAATTGTTTTTAAAACTTGAGTGCCTCAAAATACTATTGTAACAAGGGTGCAATGTTATAAATCAACCACATGTGCAGTAACACATGTGTCTTATATTAATGATTTAAAGAATACAGCCCATTATTAAAAAAACTCTTAAAAGTTCTCAAAATTCTATTTTTCTTTACATTTTGAATATGCATTGTCAACAATTCTTGCATTTCTGTTATTGATAGCGTCTGAGGATTGTGCATGTGCTCACCCATGCAAGCTATATGCACTCTTCTGAAAGAATTGCTGATTTGAATCCTGTCAACCTTCTAGTTTATTTATGGGTTGCACGTCATAAGACCAGGTGGCACTTGCTAGTTATTTTCATTGACCAGGTTTCGCCATATTTTTCCTCACATTATATGGACATTATTATCTGTAGGGGAGTATGTCAAATGTTTAATTGAAATGTCATAGATATATGGATTAACATCGGACTACTACATGTATTTTGGACTCTTTCCCAATCTGTGGTTGCACGTTCCAACTTTGTGCCACTAATATGATTTAAACTGAACATCCAGTATATAAGCATAGAGACCCTCTACTATTTATGGGTCAATTTGGTGGTAAAAAGTTTGGTCACTTTAGAAAATTGATAAGTAAAAGCAGGCTAATTGGCTTGCTACTATAGTAACATAATATGGTGTTGGTGTTGATCTATGATGACCACAGTAATTTTGGAAGGCGAAACTATACAGTGCATGCTCAAGAAAATTGATTATACTTTCTGTATTTCTTATCTGTGAATGGAAGTAAAAAGCCTCATCAATCAAACCACCTTTGTTTACTTTCTGTAAATCATGAAAATTGGTGGAAATGTTTGAAATTCTAATTATCGGAACTGATTTCACATGATTATTTTAGTCCAACTCAAATTAAACGAGTCAGTATTGTCTGTAATATCTCCAAATAAACTGCTCCAGATATTGATCAATTGTCATGTGTTTTGGGTGACTACCTCATGTGATTTCATTTACATATTGTGACATCATCAAATCAAATGGCATGACTAATAGATTTATTTATTTCAGTGTGATCCTGAAATCGTTGAGGTATTTCTCCCACACAATACGGGACAAGTTCTCCACACCATTTGAATATCAGGTAATTAGATAGAAAATAGAAAAAACACAATCCAGCTATCAGTTAATCATTTGTTAAACAACAATGTTGTTCAGGAATCTATTTATGTCTCTGATGTCTTGCCTTTCTACTTCACCTTCCTGTGGACCTCAGATGTTTAAGGGGCTATGGGGTGTCACAAGGGATTGGATAGGGTTGGGTAGAGTGTGTTTGGGAAATATCATAATCATACTTTTTGTACGGTACTATGAAGCTTTGTAATCTGCTACCTGTATTTTTTCCAGTTATGGAACAATTTTTTCCACTGTGCAATATCCTTCATGACGCAGAAACCTCTACAGCTGGAGCAGGTCTCCTCATCAAAGAGAGCCAAAATAGTCTCAGAGTAAGTATATTTGTCTTTGTGTAAGTAAAATAGTCTCAGAGTAATAAGATTAGCCTCAGTGTTATCAAAATGGTCTCAGAGTATTCTCAAAGTATTCTCAGAGTCAGTAAATTAGTTTCTGTGTTATGTTACCATTTTTGGTACTTTCCCATTTAAGCACTTGCGCATACACATTCTGCGTAAGCCCCTTTTGGACTGGTGTCTAATTTGTTAAGATCTTGTAATTTAAATGTGTATGTGTATTTGGGATTTTCTGAGTAAAGTCCTAATATCAAAAACAAAATTGATTGCAGGTATAAAGATATGAGAAGAGAAACAGGCTTTGAAATCCGGTCAATGTGGTTCAACCTTGGACACAACAAAATTCAGTTTGTACCCAGCATGGTTGGCCCTCTCCTTGAGATGACTCTTCTCTCAGAAAATGGTATGTACTTTATATGTATTTTTAATATGTGTTTTTCATGCAAGAATTTAGTGTTTAAATTTTTGAATTCTACTGGTACCTAGAATTCTTGGGGTTTACCTCAGATGACACTTCTCTCAGAGAGGGGTATGTACCTACTTTGAACATGGGTTTTTCAGTCAAGAATTAAATGTTTTCACTTATGAATTGTTAAACCTAGCACGTTATTATTTTCCTCATTTCAGAGCTAAGGAAGGCTACAATTCCTATATTTTTTGACATGATGCAATGTGAATTTACTCAAAGTGTAGGAGGAAAACTCAAATCTATTAAAGGCAACTTTGAAGAGGTAAGTAATATAGTGATTGATTATTTAATCATTGAAGCTAATCGGTGAAGAATGTGAATCTCAATTACCCAAGAAGGGTTCCATCTATGTTGAACTAATTCTATTGGGCTTGACTCTTCTAATGATCACCCACCCCTAGTAGGTTAAGTTCACCAGGGCTTCTCTCTTAAATGATAGATTCATAAAGATGAAGAAATTAACTATATGTATTTTGGCTATGGTACTTGCCCATTGTATATTCTTTAAGGAAAGTTATGATATCTTGTTTCAGGTGGAGCATGAGATAATAACCCAGTTAGATATCCTGATAGAGGGTGGCAGGGGAGATACGCAATACAAAGATCTCTTTTACAAACTGTGAGTATAAGTGCAGCAACGAAATATGAGGAGATTAGTCACTGTTTTCATGCCTTAAAAAGAAATACATGTAGTAGCTTCAGCTAAGATCAAGACTAACAGCCATTTAGTTATCACTCTTTCTAACTCATCGCCAAATGACCACAGATCATCCATATATTTGGCATGTCTAGTGAGGTCTAGTGATAAGAAAGTTATTGCTTCAGTAAAAAGATGTCATCTCTTAACAGCATTTTATGTCACCACCGGAAGTTTTTGCTTCTGTTAAAAGATGGCACTCCCTTACAGCAATTCTCTTTCAACTAATTCCAGCTCTAATAGTGGTTTCAAAAAAATGATTAGCAAGTCAAAGCAATTTAGTTAGTTCAACGAACTGATCATAATGGTTTAGAAAAAATTATCTCTATGTAAGCAACACACCACAACAGAACTGTAACAGCTACTTTGAATAAGTGATTCTTTGATGTTGAGGGAAATTATTATGTTTTTGTAATATGATCGATTCTTATTCAATAATAGGATGCATGGCCAATGTGAGAATCATTCAACGATGCGTGAACAGGGCCTGGTCTTTGTTGAAATTGTCAAAAACTTGCTGCAACGTCTTTTAGAATATCGTGATGTCATCGATGATGAAAACAAAGAAAATAGGATGATGTGTACAGTCAACCTGTTGGTGAGTGTTTTTTTGATTTTATCAATTTATATGTTTTTCACTGGCTTTGATTTTTTTTAAGTGTTGAAGACTCACAAGGACACAAGATGTATGTGTACGATATAGTGTTAAGCTAAAACAAAAGACAAAGTTTGCCAATAGAATTCTTCTTATTTAATTCTTCATATGTCTTCATGAAGAGCACTGAATCTGAATGTTAATTATATTGAATACATTTTTCATGTATTGAAAAATTTAGATATTGATTTCAAAAAGTGTGAACTTATAAATATTCCCTGAAAGATTATACTCACTATGAATCAGAAGTTTTATAATTATATATAAATCACAATTTCATTTCAGAATTTCTACCACGATATCAACCGTCAAGAGATGTACATCCGCTATCTGCACAAGTTATGTGACCTCCATCTGGAATGTGATAATTACACTGAGGCAGCTAACACTTTAATGCTCTATGCAAAGCTACTCAAGGTGAGTGGAACTTGGGAACAAAATATTCTGCTCAATACAATTTGAAAATGAGGATGATAATTGACAGTTTTTAGTAAGTTTTGAAAAAGAGCTATATTTTGGGTTTTTATATCACCACTTGTGGTGGAGACATATCGTAGTCTCCAACTTTTTTGTGGACACTGTTTAGTGGTTGGTGTTTGGCATCCGGTGGTTGGTGTTTGGTGGTTGGTTTCTGTAACAAATAGCATTCTCTCTCCTGTAGCAGAAAGCTTTCCTTATTTTGTTGAAATATGAGAAATGTATTTTTAGAGAAACCTTGGAAACCATAGAAAAAACATGGCTTAAGCAAAAAAGTAAATTGTGTTATGATTATTATTTTATTTCAGTGGTCTAATGAGACTCTCCCTACAATGTTTGTCAGTGATAGGCACCCCAACTGTAGGTCACATAGAAGCCTCAAGGAGGTGCTATATTATGACATCATAGGCTATTATGACAAAGGAAAGGTAAGCCTCACTAATGTCTTTTAGAGAAAGATGGGATAGCTTTTAGTTGAAGCTTTGCGATCGTTTCATCATTTTCGCTTATCAGTAGTTTTTATTTATTTTTTTAAAAGCAGTCTGCATATCATTTAGATAACTAGATTCTCAAAATAAAAACATGATTTATTAAAATTCCTATGTTTTTTATTTCTTTTGTTTTTGGCTCACACAGTGATCATATGGGATAGACTAGACATCATTCAGGGAATGTAACACAATATTGAAAAATACATATTTAATATGATTACTGCTAGGTCCTTGATACAACTAGGTATTAGCAATATGTTGTAAGTTTATAAATCATTGAAAATACTAGTAGATATAACATATATTCATTTTTTCAATGAAATAAGAATACAACTTGTAAACCCTAAAATTGAACATTTCAGATGTGGGAAAGAGGAATTGAATTGTGCAAAGAACTGATTTCACAATATGAAGAAGAGACATTCGACTACAATCAACTTAGCAAACTACTGGTGAGATACAAATACATTAAAGTTTTACCATTCCAGAAATGCAGGATATTTTCGTCAGCTTGTTTGGTGGGTTAGTACTGATAGTTGGGCAGGTTGCAGTGATTTTAAAGTTTTCTTTTCAGCAGATTTTCTACTGCTGAATGAATTGATTTGAAATTTTCATTGATGTTTTTTAGAATGGAAATCTAGAGGTGATTATCTTTTAAATTTCTGGGTAAAGGCAGTTACTTTCATTTTTTGACTCAATGTTGTTTATCCCGTGCCTTGTTACCCTACATAAGATTTTGTTGCATACTTTGATGCACTATAGTGAAAGATCCAACAGGAGCTTGATCATCGATTTTTCCATCTTTAATCTTACACAATTTGTGACACTCAAATTGATGATGCTTATGAAGTTTGTTTATGCAGTCTTAAAGGGATAAGCTGAATTTAAGTCAGTTTGTTTGGTGCATCCCCCTGGAAGTGGCACATTTATTCAAAGTCTGTTGCCTCAATGCATCCTGAGCGTGGCATCCCTGGAGCTACTGCTTGGAGGGTGTATTTCTGGTCAAGAGACTGGAAGACTTTGATGTGGATAAAGTGGATATCACCAGCATACTTCACTTTTAGCTGAAATTAGAGGACATGTTTTAAAAATGTTATTCATGGCATTCATGGTTACGTTTGAAGATTGGATTGTTGATTTGTTGTTGAGGGTGATACTATAAACATTTAAATGATAGGATATATAGGTGTAAAATATGGCCAATTTAAGAAGCTTTGAACCATATAAATAGATGGCTCTCACCTCAAAGGATCTTACTCAGATTTTTGTGTGAAAAATAAGTATGTGCTGGACAATATGGTCTCAGACATAATACCATAATATTACATATGACATGACGTGACATGACATGACATGAGATGACATACTAATTACTAACTTTCAAGTAGTAGTTAACTCCAGCCACAACTTGAGTTCTGTATTTCCTCACTTTCCACTTGAGTATAAGAACATTCCCCAATCGTGCAGCGACATCATCAATCACCTTTCCACAGAGTAAAGAAAATCAATTATTGCCACTGCGCTGATTGACATGGCATGACATGACACAATTTGACATGACATGACATAACATAACATATTATTATATACCCCATATGCATTCTATATGCTCATTGGCTTATTCATGATCACATGATATGAAATAGATGAACTAATTCCCTGCAAAGTTCTAAATCACTGCTATCAGGGAAGATGAAATGTTCTAATCACCAGTTAGGTCATGTGACCAGTAATTAGTATGTTTTATCTTCCCTGATAGTTGAGATTATAGGAGTTGACAGGCAAAACACCTTTAAATGCCAATAATAACCTGTCAACATTAAATGTTGGAATGAAAAATTTTGTTCTTGTTTACAGAGTACATATGGGGTATACAATAAAACAAATAGTGACTACTTACATCATCAATCACATGGTGGTAAAAAATTGAAACATGTAATGCTATAAGAGGTATCTGTGAAGTGGGATACCTTATAAATGGAACATTTTTCAAAGTCCTGTCACTCGTTTAGTTTTGATTGAACCACTCAAAGTGGATTACTTTATTAATAGTTGAACATTAATTTGAGGTACCATTTTAGGCTTTCTTGGTTTTTCTACTAAAAAAATAAAATGGTTCTTTCAGTTGCATGCTTCCCTTGTTCAGATTGAACTTAGAAAGAACTTAAAATTGATATGATAAATTCAATGGTCCTACCGCTTGTACTACTCTCTGACTGACATCATCTGGTTTCTTATATATGCCTAGGCCCCCTGGCATCCGTGTGATGGGGCAGTGTATTTTCACGCCTTCAGCAGCATTGCATACATATGCAACTCCAACAACTAGGAGGGCTATCTTCAACATGGCTATGTATAAAATGATTTAAATGTTTATTTTCAGAAGGTTTTGATCATTGAGTTGTAGCTTTGAGCATGTCACATGTAATAATGCATTCATTGATTTGCTCAATGAAGGTTGATATACAGAAGCCTTGCTTCTTTTCTTAATTCGTAAATTGTTATGCTTCATTCAAGTAAACTCAGATATAACATTTCCCTCAATGAGTATATCCTTTAATTTTTGAAATTTGTTTTCTTGTCCTAGTAGTCTATAGGGTCACAGTTAGTTTATTAGAATGTATGCCCATGAAACTGTATAAAATTACAGTAACAATTGCACTTTGGGAAGCAACTTCTAACTTGTGCGAAGATCTGATTAGGTCTTAGGTATGCTGTCTAAACTACATGGTGCTGCAAATTGACCAACTTTTTTTAAATTGTCCAAAAGTTCTCAGGAGTTTAAATCTGACCCTAGATTTGAGATTTTACCTTTGGTTGATCTTCAGTAACCTTAGAAAGGTCAAAAAGTTGCTTTTTATTATTAAATTGATTATTAGGATTCAAATTTAGGTCGGTTTAATCCCAAAAGACCTACCGAGGTCTGAAATTTTCAAGGTCAATGGTCAAGGTCGAACTAGGTCACAAACGATGTTATTTTATTTTCTCAAAGTTTGAGACTACAAATCAATTCTTGTCATCAAAATTACAGGAAACTGCTAAACTCTTCAAAGTGCGATATTTATCACAATTTGTCTTGTTACATCAATTTATAGCCGCCATTTTCCTGTGACTGGTGTTTAACCCTGTCAGTGTCTTTGAAAAGTTGATACTTTTTCTTTTGCCATAACAGTGGTCATGTTATTACTTGTCCATGTTTGGTCATGTTATTTGTTCATGAATGAGGTGGGTCAAATATAAATATTTTTGTAATATTAACCTATCGACCTAGTCCCCTTGTAACAATTGCTATTTCTGGATTCCAAAAAATCTTAGTCATAGCATGGGCTTTCTCTTGAAAGCCTATGATCATAGCCATAAGACATAGAGAATCATAGATATTCTAGAGTAATATTAAATTATCTTACCATTTAGGTTACTCTGAAATCCTTTTCCGTAATGGTTTGTTAAATGAAGGCAATACAATTGAAATGATTTCTTTTGATTGTCATAATGATAGCCATTATTACTTATATGTCACAGTTGGCTAAGCGTATGATAGATAAAAACAATACATATTTGAAAGATAAATATCATAGCTTAACTAAATCGTATTAGAATACTATACCATATACTCTGTATACATTTTCTATAGTTTATAGGGCTTGATATCAAACTCAAAATTTTTAAAAATAATTGCTGCTTAGTTTAGCCTACCTGTGTTGTTTGTATCCTTGACGGTTTCAATGTGAATGTTAATCAGTAATGTGTTAATCTATCGCAGGCGTAAGTTCATTCGACATGCTCTCATAACATTTGTTCACTTCAGTAGAATTGAAAAGAAGGTCGGAGATTGAATTGAATTAATGTTTAGAGGATACGTCAGTCTCTTGTTTACTAGAAATATTATAATATTCATTATGTCGTCAATGTAATAGTGTTGTTGACATTTTAGAGTAATTCATGTTTTTTCAACATTATCTTGGAATTGGTATGTGATATCTTGCAAGAGAATAAAAACAATTTAAGAGATTCAACTTCATGATAATATTATTTAGGGTTTTTGTGGAGGTCAATCTCCAACATAAACCTAGAATATTGATATGTTAATGTTGAAATGTCATATAAATATGAATTATATTTGATTTGAATATGATAAAACAAACATTAAATTGTTATGACATTAATAAAACTAAATGGAAAAAACTACAAAACAATATCTGGATTCTTTTTTGAAAAGGATATAAGTCATGGATAGTAATGAAAAAAATTGATGCAATATTGATTGCTATTAAGTCAAATGTTATCTGTATTTACATGTACGTCAGGGCTTGTTTCATTTTTTTAGATCTTATCATTGAAATGTTGATATTAAAAATTAATATGTTTTCTATTTGTTAACCTAGAAAATATGTCACCTTTTTAGAAAATCAGTCAGTATTTTTTCTATTAATTTTTGACACATGCTCTTTGAATTTACTTTTTTTTATTTAAATAAATAAATATAAAAATAAGTTTATGTATGTATACATCGGAGAGACTGAGTGTCAACAAGAAGATATATTACATTTCAAAAATGTTTAATTTACATGATCACGTACTTGTGTAAAAGCAACAAATAGTATTTCATACAGTGTAATTATCCCATCGAACGAAGTTCGGAGGGATATAGGGAACGCCTCCGTCCGTCCGTCCGTACGTACGTACGTCCGTCCGTATGTATGTCCGTCCGGGCAATAACTCAAATACCGTTAGCCCGATTTTGTTCATATTTTGTACACATATACCCAATGGGGGTAGAAGTTCTGCTGGAAAACCGATTTTCAAAATGGCCGCTCATTTAAAAATGGCGGCGATTTTAGTGCCGATTTTACAGTAATTTAGGTACTGCATATAAAACTGTAATAGCAATATGTTTTAAATGTAAAAAAAGTTATATAGGACATTGATTAAGCTAGAAATGTAAATACAGAAGAAATACCTGGCAGCCATCTTGAAAAATGGCTGCCTCTGCACGTCTTTTTACGATATTTGCTGTAACTTGAAAAGTAGTGGAGCGATTTTGTTCATATTTGGTATGTGAATACTTTAAGCATGGCACAATGTCTGATGACATTTTTGGTAGTAGGCGGCCATTTTGAAAAATGGCCGCCATTTTTACGTGTGTTATTTAACATTTTTTACTGTAAGTCAAAAAGTAGTGGAGCGATTTTGTTCATATTTGGTATGTGAATACTTTAAGCATGGCCCAATGTCTAATGACATTTTGGGTAGTAGGCGGCCATATTGAAAAATGGCCGCCATTTTTACGTGTTATTTTACATTTTTTACTATAACTTAAAAAGTAGTAGAGCGATTTTGTTCATATTTTATATGTGAATACTATAAGCATGGCACACTGTCTAATGACACTTTGGGTAGTAGGTGGCCATTTTGAAAAATGGCCACCATATTTTACGTTTTTTACTATAACTTGAAAAGAAGTAGAGCGATTTTGTTCATATTTGATATGTGAATACTTATGAGCCTTGCACACTGTCTCATGACACTTGGCGTAGTAGGTGGCCATTTTAAAAAATGGCTGTCATTTTTACATTTTTTACTATAACTCAAAAAGTATTGGAGCGATTTTGTTCATATTTGATATGTGAATACTTTAAGCATGGCACATTGTCAAATAAAACTTAAGGGAGTAGTCGGCCATTTTGAAAAATGGCCACCATTTTTATGTGTGTTATTTTACATTTTTTATTATAATTCAAAAAGTAATAGAGCGATTTTGTTCATATTTGATATGTGAATACTGGTAAGGATTGCATACTGTCTTATGACATTTTGGGTAGTAGGCGGCCATTTTATAAAATGGCCAGCATTTACATGTATGCGTGGGCGATTTTTTTAAAATTTTATATGTGGCTACTTAAAAGCATATTACTTCTGCTGATGACAACTTGTCTAGTGAGCAACCATTTTGAAAATGGTGGCCTTTCTTATGGGTTTTATTTTACGATATTTGCTATATATTTTGTTTGTAAAATGCCAGCCATTTCTGTTCGATGGGATTCGCTACGCTTTGGCGTTGCCGTTGTTCTGGTTTGGAATTGCATGAATGGAGTTGCTGATCATATACACATGTTTGTGTTTACATACTGAACGTTTAACTGGGGTGATGTTAAGTTGGAGTTTAAGATGACATTGTTTTTCTTGAAACAACAATCTCATGGAGTCATCAGCTAGACTATTTACCTTTAATACAACGAATAAACAAACAGTTCAAGAAATGAATGATAAATAACTGGTCTTGTATTATTTGCTAATGATTTTAGCAGTAATAATGACTTCACCTAGCTGTACAGTATCCATTTGAAATTGATTTATAACTGGGAATTAACCTTACATCCTTTGGTGATTTTTTCAAAAGTATATCTGAACTTAATATCCTTGATTTTTATTACTCAATACATTCTTAATGGAAATATAATGGTTTATTTTCAATGTGAAGAAGATTGAAATAACATAAAACTACCCATCCATGAAATAAATAGTTTTATAGTAATTATTCAAATATCAAATAGAGACCGTTTACATTATGTGGAAAATAATACAGTATATAAAAATGAAAAGGTGAAAAGGATTGTAATTGTAATTTTTGCATTTTAATTGCTTAAAAGCATTTAAATCATCTTTAAATATTCCATAAAATTTTACAATTTCAATAAATTGTAGTTTTTTTACATGTAGCAGCTGTCAATATGGAATTTTCTTGAAAAAAGTAGTTTAATGAAGGGTAAGACTCCTTCCCCTCTTTATTGAACACTTCTTGACATAGATATGGTATTAATGTAAAATTCTGGGAGAATCTTAAGAATCTTTAATTCTTATATTTTCAGTTGCGACAGTCTCAGTTCTATGACTGCATAATGAAACAAATGAGACCAGAGCCAGAATATTTCAGGGTTGGCTATTATGGAAGAGACTTTCCTCCATTTCTGCAGGTAAATGCTAAATATCTCACCACATATTTTCCACCTTACATTTTACTCTTTACATCCACAATTTTGGCTCATTTCCTCCTATTTTATTGTGTGTATGAGTCATCTCAAGTGGAAACATTTTTTGGGACTGGACTTATATGCATTTTCTACATAATATTCTGTGACATCCTAACAATGGGAAGTATGAAGCAATTGAAAGAAAAAATCTATTTATTTGAAGCTGTTTTTATTTGAAGCAATTGAAAGAAAAAATATATATATGTTATAGGACTATGTGAAGCTGGTCTTTTAACAGATAACATCATACATGATAAATATTTGCTGAAGGGATTTCACACGCCCCTTTACTCTCCAAATGGTCGCGGTTTAATGATTTACACCCACGAGAACATTTTGCAGACACCTAGGCCTGATCTCAGTATTGATGGCCTTGATGCAATGTGGGTTGAGTTAAAAATAAAACATAAAAAATTTCTTTACGGGGTCTTTTATCGTTCCCCTTCGCAATCAGCCAATCAGAGAGATGAATATTTAAACTTGATGAATCAAAAACTCCAACAATTGAACAACATTAATTTCGATGGGATTATTCTAAATGGAGATTTTAATGCAAAAAGCAAATCTTGGTTCCTCCAGGGAGATGAAGATTACACCGGGAAACTTCTAAATGATATTCTATTTCAAAATGGATTTGACCAAACTGTTAAAGAACCCACAAGAATTACTCCAACATCATCTAGCTGTATCGATTTGACAATTACCAATTCACCTGGCCTTTTGAACTTTTCCAAGGTGTGTGAACCTATAGGCTCAACTGATCACTGTACTCTGTTTACCCAACTTGATGCATTGTTACATAAAGAGGAGTCTGAACTTAAACGTGTATGGAAATATAATTTAGCAAATACCGAAGCACTTAATCAAGACATAGAGGATATTGACTGGAATGAATTTTTTAATCAGTCTGAAGATGTAAATATTTTGACTGAAGTGTTTACAAATAAAATGATGGCATTGTTTACATTGCACATTCCAAGCAAACTCAAAAAAGTAAAAGCCAACGATAAACCCTGGTATAATGAGATAATTGCTCATGCTATTCAAAAAAAGAAAAAATTATTTTTGAAGTTTAAGTTAAGCAACTCAGAGCAACACTATATGGCTTATAAGGCCCAAGCTGAAGTTGTTAAAAATCTCGTAACATCTACCAAGGAAAATTTTACAAATGAACAGGTTGACTCATTGGATGGCCAGACTCATGCCAATGACAAATTTTGGGTACTTATCAAAAAACTTTTAGGCAAAAAATTTAATAGTCAAATTCCGACATTGGAACAGTCAGGCATAATCTTCAGTTCTAGTCAAGAGAAATCTGATGCCTTTCTTAACTTCTTTGTTGAAAAAAATCATTCAAATGAAAATGTTGACCACTTTGACACTCCATTTCCTCAGAGGTGCGATAATCTGTTAAGTGATATTACATTTGATAGACAGGATATTACTAACATAATAAATAATCTTGACCCTTCCAAGGCCAATGGCCCTGATGAAATCACCATCAAAATGCTCCAAATATGCTCAAATTCAATTTCATTTCCTCTCTACATTTTATTCAATAAACTTTTACAGGCAAACACTTTCCCTCAAATTTGGAAACTTGGGAATGTTTGCCCTATACATAAAAAAGATAGCAAAAATAATCTTAACAATTACAGACCTATCTCTCTCCTTAGCATTGTTTCCAAAATCATTGAAAGGATAGTCTATG